TTTATCTCTTAATTACATCCGCTGTGTTCCCTCCCAAGCAGTGGCTTTTACAACTTATGAACTTATGAAGCAGTTTTTTCACCTCAATTAAAAATAGCTGTGGTTTCTTTTCCTTAATAAACTATCAGAAGGTGAAATAAAGACATTAATTATGAGGGGAACATTATTTGAAGGGGATGTTTACCCCCTCACAGGAGGCACTGGTATGTTAGTACTTGATTTTAGCTTTTTTTCATGACAAATCAAAAGCACTTACCATACTTTTGAGTGCCAAACATTATATTTTAGAGGACCGAGGAACTATTCCTAAACTGATGCTGGCCTATCAGTTAGGCTATTTGGAACATTTTAAAAGTCTTATTTGGAAGTAGAGTTAGCTTCACAGGGGACTCCAACGAGTTTCCATCAGGTTTTTCATGCTGTTCCAAGCTTTTAATTGTCATCATGTTTTTTTCTGAAGACTGTAACATTGTTTATTATAATGGAAATGAGTGAGCTTGGTCATAATGTAAAAGAACAATGAGAACTGACTTTTTAAATATTTTAAAATATAGCCAGCATGGAAGTATTATTCTTCTCTCTGTTCCATTGGAAAAAAGGACATTTTTCCTTCTTTTTTTTTTTTTTAAGTAAGATAGGTATTATATTTAAAAAGTAGCCATGTAGCAACTAAAAAAAATGAAGTATAAGGTCTTGCTCAAATGTTGTTACCAAGTACTTTGTGTGATTTGTGAGTGTTTTTAAAAGTTGAATATATTATTCTGTGAGGAAAAAGTTAATGTATTTTCCTAAGGCAGTAATAATTCATACGGAATAGATCTGGTTAGAAAGCAGAATAATACAATAAATATGTTTTTGTTAGATGATTTGAATATGTGGTAAATATTTAATTTAAGTGGACTGTGAAATATCCACTAATGTACATGTGAATATCAAAAAATGTTTCTAAGATATTATGTCAGGATATATCAACTGGTTCTTCCATGTAACATAATTTAAGTGTAATAGAAACCTAAATGGGAATGTAAAATATGATTTAAATGGCAATCCTTTGTATTAAGAAAATGGATTCAAATGTAAGATTTCCATTACTGCATTGTAATGTTTTATTATAAGCATGCTAGAAATGTGTGCAGAACATTTAAAGTTTTATCTTTAAATATAGTGATTTGTAGAATTGATGTGATTTTTAAGACCTTGAAAAATTAAGTTGAAAGTATTATTTCTGTATCAATTTTTAGAATTTTTTGCATAAAAGATTTGTGGTCATACTTCAGTAAAAGTTGAAATTGATTTCATTTTCAATCTTTAAGACTAAATGTGTATCTTTATATGATTTTTTTATTATTATTTCATTTTATGACAGTTTCATAGGCTCTGGGATTCCCCCAACCCCTCGCCAAGCCCTCCCCCGATCTTTGTCTGATTTATACTTGTATCAGCAGTTGGAAATTACCTGTGTTCCTGAAATTATTTTACATATTTTAATTTCTGGGTCACATTGTAACTATTATTATTAAACCTTAAGATAATTTAGTATAAGTATCTGTTATATTATCAATAAAATGAAATTGCAAATATTTTTAAATAAAAATTTGAATTCTATGTTCAAAATACATAGTATATTAAAAATAAACTTTATGTTTTCAAAGTATCTTTTAACTATTTATATTACTGAAGCAAAAAATGCTCAAGATAAGTTAGAATGGAAGAATATTTAAAAATGGTGCCCGTGGTTTTGTCTGATTTATTTCTTATTGATAACCATCATGCATTTTTCCAGATATTCTAAAGATTAGAAATGTATTTCATTTTTGATCTTCATTGTTCCTCCTCTTTTCTGTCTTTCCGTGAGTGCAGCCCTTGGTAGATTTTAGAATGGGAAAGAACATGTTATTAGCTTTAGTTCCCAATATTTGCCTATATGCAAGTAGAGAGGTTTAGCTGTCAAGTGCTAGATATGTAATAGTTATTTTGCTCGTTTACACCAGGATAATAAACATCTGTTTATTTAGCACTAATAGTTCTAGGCATTCTGTCAGCATTACGGGGGATTTTCCTTGAGACGCCTATAGCTAAACTTGCAGTCAAGCATTACAGTCTGCATAGTGTCTAATACTGGTTATTTTTTAATGTAAGAATTATTTATTTTTATTGCAAATTCAGATGTATACAGAGAGGAAGAGAGAAAGAGAGGAGGAGAGACAGAGAGGAAGATCTTCCACCTGATGATTTACTCCGCAAGTGACCCGAGCTGAGCAGTCTGAAGCCATGAGCCAGGAGCTCTTCTGAGTCTCCCGTGTGTGCAGGGTCTTAGACCATCCTCTTCTGCTTTCCCAGGCCACAATCAGGCAGCTGGAGGTGAAGTGGAGCAGCTAGAATACAAAACAGTGCCCATATGTTATCCTGGTGGATCCAAGACAAGGATTTAGCTACAAGCTATTATCCCAGACCCCATTTTTTTTTCTTAAAGATTTATTTAGTTGGGCCCTGCGTGATAGCTTAGTGACTAATGTCCTTGCTTTGAACACGCCAGGATCTCATATTGGCGCTGGTTCTAGTCCCTGCTGCCCAGCTTCTCATCCAGCTCCCTGCTTGTGGCCTGGGAAAGCAGTTGAGGACGGCCCAAGGCTTTGGGACCCTGCACCTGTGTGAGAGACCTGGAAGAGGCTCTGGGATCCTGGCTTTAGATTGGCTCAGCTCCAGCCATTGTAGCCATTTGGGAAGTGATCCATCTTATGGAAGATCTTCTTCTCTGTATATCTGACTTTACAATAAAAATAAAAAACATCTTAATTTTATTTACAATTAAGAAGATTTATTTAATTAACTTGAAAGTCAAATATATTGAGGGGAGTGATCTTGGTTAGTTCACTCCCCAAGTGACCACTTCAAGCTTAGCTGTGCCCATCTGAAGTTGGGAGCCAGGAGCTTTTTCTGGATCTCTTACATGGTTGCAGCAGCCCAAGGCCTTGAGTCATCCTCTGTTGCTTTTCCAACTATTAGCAGGGAGCATGATTAAAAGTGGCACAGCCCAGACATGAACCTGTACCTATATGAATGCTGGTGCCAGAGGCCGGGGAGTAATTTGCAGTGACATTACACTGGCATTTGAAAGAAAGAATGATACAGAGAGGGAGAGAAAGAGACCACCCATTTCCTGGTTCATTCTGCAAATGTCAAATAGCTGGTACAGGGCCTGGTTAAAGTAAGGAGTAAGCAACTGAAGTCCTAGAGCCATCATCATTTACTTCCCAGGTGCCTTAGCAAGTAATTGGATCAGAAATGAAATAGCTACAACTGTTAACTGGTTCTCCAATGTGGGCCGTGGGTTTCCCAGGCAGCTGCTTAACCCACTGGGCCACAGGGCCACATACATCTGTTACAGGATGTAAGTGAGATCATGTCAGATAAGTCTAAGGGTTATTAAATAGTCTTTATTAATCAAGCTTTGTGATATCAGAGCCCATTCGAAATCACAAATCACAAATCTGTATAGCAATCCAGTCAAGCGAAGCCCCCCCCCAAAAAAAAAACCCCAAATGGTCATTAACCTGAAGTCCATCTGTGAAGCCGAGCTCCTGTGTCCCAGCTTCCCCAGCAATGGAAGTTATCCATAGAAACATATAACGAACAACCTGGGCACACTTAAAAAGCTGCAGACATTCACTTCTCCCTGGCTTCTTTGCCCGCATTTCGTTACTGTTAGGCCTTGCTTCTCCTGGAACTCTTGAAAAAACACAAATTCGGACCCGGTGTGGTGGTCTAACAGTTAAAGTCCTTGCCTTGGATGCGCTGGCATCCCATATGCGTGCCGGTTCTAATCCAGGCAGCCCTGCTTCCAGTCCAACTCCCTGCTTGTGACCTGGGAAAGCAGTTGAGGGCAACCTTGGGATCCTGCACTTGTATGGGAGACTTGGAGGAAGTTCTTGGCTCCTGGCTTCAGATCGGTGCAACACTGGCCGTTGTGGTTACTTGGGGAGTGAGTCAGCGGATGGAAGATCTTCCTTTCTATCTCTCCTCCTCTCTGTATATCTGACTTTGCAATAAAAATAAGTAAATCTTTGATAAGAAAGGAAAATGCACAAATTAGAAATACAAAGCATCTTAGCATTGCTATCTTTACTGTCCCACCCAAGCTGTGAACAGTGGGTGAGGAATACAGACATATAGGAGCCATGCTCAGGGGATACCTGTCTTCAGTTTGTCCTTGGGAAGCAAGCAGGCACTGGGGAGGTCAAGAGAATGCCAGAGTGGGGGAAGCACACGACCGAGAGACCCCTCCCTATCATGGATCTTTATAAGGTCTGGTGAGGGGAGTGGGTATACAATGCAATACTGTCCCCTCTCACTTTCCAGGTGAGCATCACAGGTGGGCAGGAGGGAAACCTAGGTGGGTGGTGGGGAGTGGCTTTCAAGCTGGTAACCCTGAACTAGCTGCCTACCTCACTACTCATCTCCCTCTCAAGTTCAGTTAACAAGCTTGGCCTGTAGGTTGTTACATTCATCTGAAAGGCAGAGTTACAGAACCTTCCATCCATGGTTCACTTCCCAAGTGACCATAACAGCTCTGGCGCCAGGAGCTCCATCTAAGTCTGCCATGCGGGTACAGGGGCCCAAGCACTCCTCTGCGCCATCGTCTGCTGCTTTTCCAGGCCATTAGCAGGGAACTGGAGCAGTTGGAACTGCAACCGCTGTGGACAAGAACGCACATTGGGAGCCGTCTGGAGCGTCCAGAGCGCACGAGTTTTTAGGCTGGGTGTGGTATGAACACTCCCCGTTGTCCTGGCTCAGGCCAAGAGAGCGAAGGGACGCGGGCGCGCAGGTGAGGCGCTGCACGCGGAGTCACCTGGGCTCGTGGCCCCGCCCCCGCGCGCGTCACTGGGGCTCGGCGGGCCGGCGCATGCGCGTGGGCGGCGCTGGCGCCCGCGGCTTTCCCGCGTCCTGGCTTCTTGTGATGTCTCCCCTTTAACTCCAGACTTCGCTTGGTGCCGGGGTGTAGGCGCCCGGGATGGAGGAGCCGGACGAGCTGGAGCTGCTGATGGAGAAGACTTTCGGGGAGGAGGCTGTGCCGCTGCCGGAGCTGTGAGCCGGAGCCCGGGGAGGGTTGGGAACCCAGCGGGAAATTTGAAAGTCGGCAGCGAGAGAACCAGGCTGATGTGCGGGCACCCCGGCCCCCGTGGGGTGCCCCGGCCCCCTGTTAGCACCCCGGCCCCAGGCCCCCGTGGGGTGCCCCGGCCCCCTGTTAGCACCCCGGCCCCAGGCCCCCGTGGGGTACCCCGGCCTCCGGTTAGCACCCCGACCCCGGTGGGGTGCCTTGGGCTCCTCAGGAACCTCCGGGAGGGATTTGTCCCTCGTTTACGGCACTCGGCCGGAGCCTGAGGGCCTGAGAAGCCGAGCAGCTTAGGCTTTGCCTTGGTTTCACCTTTTTTTTTTTTTTAAACAAATTTTGGGAGGCTCGTCTTGCTGGAAGGTCCCGGTGAGAGTACCTTGTGGATGTTTAGTTAGCTGGGAGACCAGCGCCGGGGTGAGGCCCCTCGGCTTGGAGCTGCCAGTCTACGGATGTATGCTTGCCTGTAGGGTTTTGGCTCCAAACTTTGCCTAGATGCTCAAGGCTGAAGTGGGAAGGGGGTAGATGAGTAATGAGGCCCACAGGGAACGCAGGAGAACTCGCAGGGTAACACGAGGGGCAGCATGTTTTGGTTTCATAATGCGACGGAGACAGTGACTTCGGATTCTCCTTTGGTCTCATCCTGATTAATACTTGCTGTAGTCCAAGGGACTTCATAGGAAAAGGGTTGTTTTGCGGAGGAGAATGTTTTCTGTAGCCCCTTCCCGCTGGTTGGTTAAGAAAACCTCTGCTCTGTAAAGGAATGAGCTACTGGGGAACAGTAAGCTTGTCTTCCCTCCAAAACAGGGACCACTTGATCCCCAGATTTGATTGAAAAATTTCCCGATTTTATTGAAATATTCAGTGCTAGGTTGAACTAGATGATTTCGAAGCTCAGAATTTAAATACTAATGTAATTCTGTGTTTCAGAATTTTCAGCAAACCAGTGGTGGCATCCTTAACTCTCAAAACACAGAGAGTGTAGTATACAAAACATCTGCTTTCTTTCATTTGTGCTTTGGAAGGGCTAACAACAGGGGTGGACATTTGTTGCTTAATCTTCTCCGATTTGTGGTGGGTAGACCTTAGAACTCACAGAGATTACATTCAGAAAACCCTTAGCTTAAGCGTGTTTTCAAAATGGCGTGGGCTGTGGAAACCCCTTAAGAGAGGAGATCTTTGCTATGTTTTCTTTTTTAAAAGATTTATTTTATTTTTATTAGAAAGATAGAGGAAGAGAGACAGAGAGGAAGATTTTCCATCCAAAAATTCACTCCCCAAGCAGCCACAACAGCGAGAGCTACACTGATCTGAAGCCAAGAGCCTGGAGCTTCTTCTGGATCTCCCATGCAGATGCAGGGTCCCAAGGCTTTGGGCCATCCTCGACTGCTGCTTTTCCAGGCTACAAGTAGGGAGCTGGATGGGAAGTGGGGCCACCAGGATTAGAACCAGTGCCCATGTGGGATCCTGGGGTGTGTGAGGCAACGATGTTAGATTCTAGGCTACCATACCAGGACAGATCTTTGCTGTCTTGGTTTTACTCAGTTTAGTTGGAGATCCTTTGTAGTAAGTTTTCTGTAAGAAAAAATACCTAGATGACTAGAAGGCTTTACAGTGGCTTCTTCCTTCATGTTTGTGCTAATATTTTGTCTTGTGTATTCCCCAGGCTTCAGAGTAAGGTGGAAGCTTCTTTCCCAAGAACGGTTTTGAGCCGAGGAGTGGATAACCGGTACCTGGTGTTAGCAGCCACTGTTGAACAGAATGAAGAGGGCAGCCAGGAAAAGCATTTAATCATCACTGCCTCCCAGTCGCGGGAGCACAAGGAAAAATGCATCTTGAGAGATGGCTGGTATGTGTGTGGCACTTGGAGCAGAGAGCTGGCAGACGCTTAAGGGTATTAAGATTTATTTACTTTTTATTGGAAAAGCAGAGTTAGAGAGAGAGAAAAAAATTTTTTTTTGTGTGGCGGTTTACTTGCCAAATGGCCACAGTGGGCACAGCTGGGCCAATCCAAAGCCCCACAATCCAATAGTCTCCTCTGGGTCTCCCCTGTGGGAATGGGAGCCCAAGGTGTTGGGCCAGACTCTGCTGCTTTCTCAGGCCAAAAGCAGGGAGCTGCATTGGAAGTGGAGCAGCCAGGAAGGTGAACCTGGGTCAGTAGGGGTGACTGGTACCACAGTCAGGATTAGCATGTTATGACACCATGCTACCCACAAAGATATCATCTTGAAACCTGTCATATGGTTTGTATGTTACCACAGTTTAACCATTAAAATGGATAGATTTAATGTCTTAAAGATTGATTTATTATAGCAGTCAGATATGCAGAGAGGAGGGGAGAGAGAGAGATGATCTTCTGTCCTTTGATTCACTCCCCAGTTGGTTGCAAAGGCCGGAGCTGTGCTGATCCCAAGCCAGGAGCCAGGAGTCCAGAGCCACCTCTGCGTCTCCCATGTGGGTGTAGGATCCCAGTACTTTGTGCTGTCCTCAACTGCTTTCCCATGCCACAAGCAGGAAGCTGGATAGGAAACGGGGCTGCCGGGATTAGAATTGTAACCCATATGGAATCCAGGCATGTGCTAGGCTACTGCACTGAGCAGTATTTCTTTCTTCTTCTTTTTTTTTTTAATATTTATTTATTTATTTGTTTTTGACTTACTGGAAAGTCAGATATACTGAGAGAAGGAGAGACAGAGAGGAAGATCTTCCGTCCGATGTTTCACTCCCCAAGCGACTGCAATGGCTAGAGCTGAGCCAATCCGAAGCCAGGAGCCTCTTTTGGGTCTTCCATGCGGGTGCAGGGCCCCAAGGCTTTGGGCCATCCTCGACTGCTTTCCCAGGCCACAAGCAGGGAGCTGGATGGGAAGTGGACCGCCGGGATTAGAACCAGCGCCCATATGGGATCCCAGGCATGCAAGTCGGGGACCTTAACCACTATGTTATTGCACTGGGCCCCAAAAGATTTATTTATTTTCATTGCAAAGTCAGATATACAGAGAGAGGTGGAGAGACTGGCGCCCATATGGGATCCTGGTGTGTTCAAGGGGACGACTTTAGCCACTAGGCCACCGCACCGGGCCTAGTTCTTATTTCTTTAAATTTTAAAAATATCCCATCATTTTTTGTATATACATATATATATATATATATTTTTTTTAATTTATTTATTTTTATTACAAAGGCAGATGTACAGAGAGGAAGAAAGACAGACAGGAAGATCTTCCATCTGATGGTTCACTCCTCAAGTGAGCGCAACGGCCGGTACTGTTCCAATCTGAAGCCAGGAGCCAGGAACTTCTTCCGGGTATCCCACATGGGTCCAGGGTCGCAAAGCTTTGGGCCATCCTCGACTGCTTTCCCAGGCCACAAGCAGAGAGTTTGATAGGAAGTGGAGCAGCCGGGATTAGAACCGGTGCCCATATGGGATCCCGGGCACATACTAGGCGAGGACTTTAGTCGCTAGGCCATGCCGCCGGGCCCAAGCTTTACTATATTTTAACATAGGATCTGCAACTGTGTGTTTATCCTGTTACCTCCTTGTGTTTGCAGGTGTTCTGTGCCGGTACAGCCAGGAGACATCATTCATTTAGAGGGGGACTGCACTTCTGATACTTGGATCATAGATGAAGATACTGGATATTTGATCCTCTATCCGGACATGCTGATTTCTGGAACAAGTATATCCAGCAGTATTCGGTGTATGAGAAGAGCTATCCTCAGTGAAACTTTTAGGGTGAATAACACACTTTTTTAAATAAAGAATTTAGTTCATTTTACTTTTATTTTTTCTTTCTTTAAGGATCCACTTCATTTGTTTAATAGGCAGAGTTATAGATTAAGCTCTCTTGCATCTCCTGGTTCACCGTAACAGCAGTCGGTCAGGGCTTGACCAAGTGGAAACCTGGAACCTAGAACTCCATCTGCGTTTCTGCGTGGTGCAGCGGCGCAAGTACTGGGACCTTTCTGCTTCTTAGGTTCTCTAGATCTAAATCCGAAGTGCAATATATAGGACTCCAACAGATCCCCATGTGGGATGCTGGTGTTGAGGCTGGAGCTTAACACACTGTGCTACAATGCTTCTCCGTAAAGATTTTATTTGTCCGAATGGCAAAATGATAGAGATGGCAGGGAGGTAGGGAGAAAGTATCTTCATATGTTGGTTCAGCCCCCAGATACAATAATGAGGGCTGTTAGGCTGCAGCTAGGATTCTGGAATTCTCTCTGAGTGTCTCTTAAAATAGCAGGATTCCAAGCACTGAATCATCATCTTTTGCTTCCCAGGTACAATAGCAGGAAGCTGGATCATAAATTGATTAGCCAGGAATCAAACTTATACCCTGATGTGGCATATTGGCATCCCTAGTGGCAACTTCAGTCATTGAGTCACACTATCTACTAGCTTATGCCTGCCTTTCCTTTTTTTTTTAAGATTTATTTTTATTGAAAAGTCAGATATAGAGAAGGAGAGACAGAGGAAGATTTTCTATCCACTGACTCACTTCCTGAGTGACTGTAACAGCTGGAACCAAGCTGATTCAGAGACAGGAGCCACAAATCTTCTCCGGGTCTTCCACACGGATGTAGGGTGTTAAGGCTTTGGGCTGTCTTCCACTGCTTTCCAGGTCACAAGTAGGATGGGAAGCAAGGCTGCCGGGACATGAATTGATATCCATATTGGATCCTGGTGCATGTAAGGCGAGGACTTTGGCTGCTAGTCTACCACGCCAGACCCTATGCCTTTATTTGAGTAGATAAAATGTGAAATTAGAGAAGAATTCTTTGTGAATGTTGACTACTTAAATATTTTGAGCTTTTTCTTATTTTGTTTGTTTCAAGATAGAAATGACCAACTTTAAATGTCAATTTCATTTGTAAAATAGTTCAACTTATAAAATAATTACTCACGTTGGTTGTTAAGACCCTGTTTGAGATACTCAGATCCCTTGGGAGAGTGTCTGCATTCTAATTTTGGCTCTGTTCCCATTTCTGCAGTTGGCTTAGTGTCCCCACCCCCCCCAAAATTTATTTATTTATCTGAAAGGCAGAGTTACAGAGAAAGAATCTAATAACTGCTGGTTTACTACAACAGCCATCACTGTACTGTCCTGAAGCCAGGTGCCTTGGTCTTCCGGGTCTCCCATGTGAGTGCCATGGTCTAAACACTTGGGTCATCTGTTACTTTGCCAGGAGACTGGATCATGAGTGGAACAGCAGGACTTGAACTGGCTCTCTGAGATGCTGGCCCTGTAGGCAGTGGCTTTACTCACGTGCTGCAGCAACAGCCCTTTGCAGTGTATCCTAGAAGGCAGAAGATTACAGACTCATGTACTTGAGTCCTTGTTTCCCAGGTGGGAGGCCTGGATGGAGTGCTGGGCTTCTGTCTTCAGATTGGTCCATCTCTGGTTATTTCAGATATTTGAGTAATAAACTAACAGATGCAAGATCTCTCTATCTTTGTCCCTGTGTCTTTAGGAAAAAGTAAATAAGAAGAAAAAGTTCTGAATGGAAGAAAGTGGGAGTCACCTATAATCTAAGCTACTATGGGTGTAATAGTTTAACAGATTAGTTAGTAAATAATATGCACATATCTGTTAATATGCTGTGAAATATAATGAAGGCTTTGTTTTCTTAGAGCTCAGATCCAACAACACGCCAAATGCTCACTGGTACAGTTCTCCATGAAGTATTTCAGAAAGCAATAAGTGATAATTTTGCCCCGGAAAAGCTACAAGAACTTACTTCTCAAACTGTTCAGGAAATAAGACATCTGAAGGAAATGTAAGTAGTTATGAGAAGAACTGCATGTACAGCAATTTTACAGTATGATTTCTTTCCTGTTTTCTTTATGGTTTTTAGAATTGGTCTACTGTGTGTGTATTATTATAACCTAGATTCTACTACCCCATTGTAACATTGTGAAGATTTCTGAAATTTTAGGATAAGAAGTCTGGCTAAAAATGTGGAAATCTGTATGTGCACCAGATTGTTTAGCTGCTCTCAGAGATATGCAAGATCATGTTTTTGCATCAGTTCTCGAAGCAATATAAAAATGGTGTGGATTTCGAAGTCAGATGGAATGAATTTCGGAATACATCTTTTTCTAGTTTGGTGACTAAAAAAGTTATTTCAAGTTGTGAGGAACAGGTGGGCAAGTTGCCACTGGGGATGGCTACGTCCCTTATAGGCGTGCGTTGTTCACATTCTGGCTGCTCTGCTAGTGCATGGTGTGGAAGACAGCAGATGGGGCTCAAGTACCTGGCTCCCTGCTACTTTTCACTCAGATGGAATTGCAGATTTTTGTGTCACCCTCACCCATTGCTGTTTGTTTGGGCAGTTGGGAAGTAAACCAAATGCTGAAAAATCTCTTCTGTTTGTCTTTCTGTCCTTCAAAAAACTGAAAGTAAATACTTAAAAAAAAGATTTGGAAAGAAATGAGAGGACCTATTTTTGTAGACTTTGTGGGTGACCTAGATACAGTTCCAAGTTCCTGGCTTCAACCTGGCCTGGCCCCCGCTGTTGGTGGACACTTAGGGGAGTGAACCAGTGGATAGAAATTTTTTGGGGGAAAAAAAAGTTCTGGATGCTTGAAGAAAGTAATTTAGGAAAAGTTCTCCAGTTGTGCTTTTTTTCAAGATACATTTTTATTTGAAAGGTAGTATTATAGAGAAGAAAGGCAAAGAAAGATCTTCCATTCGTTGACTCACTCCCCAAATAGCCAAACCAGCCAGAGCCAGGGCTCTCATATGGGTGGTGGGGCCCAAGGATACTGGCCATTTCCTGCTGCTTTCCCAGACAGTTTAACAGGGAGCTGGGCAATACTGCTAAGAAGATATCTGGGCCATATGTTAGTTTGCTATAAGGATTCCTTGTTACTGTCCCCTTCACTTGAAAACATTCTTACCATAAGCTGAGTACCATGAATTCTTTTAAAACCGGCTCTGGGAGATGGTTGTTCTCTCTGCTTTGCAGATGAGGATACAGGTCCTATGAACCGTCAACACATGGAGTTAACATTCACAGCCAAGGCTGATCCCCACACAAGGTGACAGGCTTCTGATTTCCCAGAGCAGTTACTAAGATTGGGAAGCTTAGGGAGGCTTAACGATAAACTGCAGCCATCCTGGGCAGGTGAGTGTTGATATGCAGCAGTTCTCCAAGAACTAGAAAAATCATTTACATTTTGAGGGCCATGCATGGGTTGGAGGGCGTGGGTAGGCTACAAGCAGACCAGAACTCTGGTCCACTCTGCAAATGCCTACAACAGCTTGACCTGGGCCGAACCAGTCTACATCTTGGCATGTGGGTGGTAGGGACCCAACTTCTCTGGCTGGCACTTGTTGGCAGCTGGGGTGCATATGGTAGGAACCTGCAGTCAGGAACTGAGACTCTGATATGGGATGTGGGTAAACCAAGCTGCGTGTTTTTTTGTTTTTGTCCTTTAATGTCTGAAAAGATTTATATTGCCAGCATTGTGGTATGGCAAGTTAAGCTGCTTCCTGTGATGCCAGCATCACATATGAGCACTGCTTTGAGTATCTAGCTGCTCTGCTTCTGATCCAGCTCCTTGCTAATCACCTGGGAAAAGCAGAGGATAGTCCAATTGTCTGGGCCCGAGCTACCCCTGTGGGAAATCATGAAGAAGCCCCTGGCTCCTGGCTTCTGGCGTTAGCCTGACCTAGGCCTAGCCATTGTGGTCATCTGGGGAGTAAACCTGTCAATAGAAGATGTTTTTTCTTTCTTTCTTTTTTTTTTAATATTTTTTACAATCTTTACATGCTTAATTAGGGTAAAAAGGTTCAAGAGCTATAGGAAAGTGGGTAAGACTATTATTTCCATATTGTTTCCTTCATGCTTAAAAGGAGGGTATTAAGGGAGAAGGCCCACCCAATTTCCCACCCTCCCCAGGTCCCGCATGTAGGGTATGCGCCGACGTTCTTGTTCAAGTGGTTTTGATAGTTCACAAGTTATGAGTCGCTGCCAGTCTTGCCACTCCAAGCACGATAAGGTCTTTGAAGAATCCACTGATTGACATAGTCCATCATAGAGTATCCGTTTGCCCCGTATTTTGCTGCCAACATATAACTGAGATGGTTGACTGACCTGTTCTGTCTTCTCTCTTTTCTTGGTTAGGGTTCTGAGTCCGTCTTTTTTTTTTTTTTTTTTTTAAAGATTTATTTCATTTTTATTGGAAAGGCAGATATACAAAGAGGAGAGACAGAGAGGAAGATCTTCCGTCCGATGATTCACTCCCCAAGTGAGCGCAACGGCTGATGCTAAACCAATCTGAAGCCAGGAGCCTCTTCCGGGTCTCCCACGTGGGTGCAGGGTCCCAAAGCTTTGGGCTGTCCTTGACTGCTTTCCCAGGCCACAAGCAGGGAGCTGGATGGGAAGTGGGGCTGCCGGGATTAGAACCGGTGCCCATATGGGATCCCGGGCATGCAAGGCAAGGACCTTAACTGTGCCATCGCGCCGGGCCCGAGTCCGTCTTTTTGATTGGGAAGATCTCCAAAGAAACTTTGAGGTGTTCTCAGACCAGATTCTTGTATGTACTAGCAGGTACAGGGCCCGGCACAGTCCATCGCCCTGATCAGCTGGTGGTTGTGATCGCTGGATTGATTCTGTTTTCAGCCCCGACTTCCACTGGAACCAATGGGTGTTGCAGTCCAGCCAGGTTCTGCCCAGGGCATGCTTGGCCCTCACATAAACAAGTGGGAGCTACAGCCTTGTTGGAGCGACCCACAATAACCCCCACCAGGCTCACCCACTACCCTGGTTTGCCAGTATGTGTAACTGACTAGTCCAGTCTGTCCCACACCCCATTCCACCCCAGCCGCTGTCCTGGTTTTTGTGCCCTCCCGTAGAAGTGGTACCCCAAGAGGGAGGAGCCCACTGTTTCCCTCCCAGGCCTCTCCCACTTCCGGATTGTGGACTCTCCAGGTAGTTCTGAGGTTTGACTTGACAGAATTAGATCCATCCCAATGCCAGCCTCTGCCAGCTGATGCTGTAGCTAAGCCCAAACAACCCTCACCCACTCTAATTTTGTTTGCACCAGTAGGAATAAGCCCAGCCTGGCTTTTGCCTGATCTAGTCCACATGAGGCGCACAGGTATTTAGCCCTGCTTAATCTGGTCTGCCCCATTCCCAGCTTACGCTCTCCAGTGGGAGTAGCTGTCCAGCAACTTATTCCCCTGCCAGCTCTGCTCCCTCCCTTCTTGGTTCTCACGTATGCTGGTTGGGTGTTGCGGTCCCTTCCGGTACAGGCAACCTCACCTCGGCATTCTGTATTGTGCACAGTTTTTTTGTGACCAAACCTGGATCGACCCACACTGTTCTGGTGCTTGGATTTGCCAGTGGATGATGTGAACAGATTCAGCCTGGTCTTCCCCCGACCCATGCAAGATGTATGCCAGTGGGTAACTTTCCGTGGCCTGTTCTGGCCTGTTTCCTATCATGTTTCTTGCGCTTACCTGCTGGGTCTGTGTCCTGCCAGAGGAGTTGCCCAGGCTCCTCAATCAGAACCTCTCCCAATACCAGGTTTTGCGCATACTAGGGGGTCCATGATCCAGCCCTACTCAGTTCACCTCCTGTCATAGCAGGAACAGTGGCTTTTCTTGTCTGGCCTTCAATCCAAACTGGTCCTTGCTGTTGAATGTTTCAGCCCAGCCATGGCTCATCCATTCTCACATGCGGCTCACACATGGCTCAGTAGGGGTTGAGACCTAGTCCATCCCACATCTACCCTGGTTGTCCAGGACACCAGAGGGTGTTGGAGTCTGGCCTGGCTTGGTGCATCCAATCCCAGTCCACACTTGTGCCAAGGGAGACTACAACTGTTTCCCATCCAGAACGCAGCCCCCATTCCATCCCACACGCCCCTTGGTGGGAACCTCAGCCCGGCTAGGGTTGTTCCCTTAGCTCTCCAACCAGGCCTGTTCCCAGCCATAGATCACGCGCATACCAGTGGTTGCTCTGACTCAGCTTGGCTCAGTCCCTCACCTGTCCTGACCTCTGACTTAGACACTGTGGCTTAGCGTTCCTGGCTCATGCAGACCAGTAGGTGCAAGAGCCTAGCTCGGCATGACCTTGTGCTCCCTCCTGGTCTCCTGGTTTCGCTTGTGGGCTAAGGTTTGCTCAGTCCACCCTGTTCCATTACCAATTGACACATTACCCAGCTGTTCTGCCAACAGAAGATGTTTCTCTGTCTTTCCTTCTCTCTTTCCTTCCATTCACTGGTTCATTCCCCAGATATCCAGAAAGACCAGGTCTGGGCCAGCTGAAGCCAAGAGCCTGGAACTTCATTCAGGTCTCTCAGTTTGGTAGCAGAGGTTTAAGCACTTGGACCGTCTTCTGCTTTCTTAAGTGCATTAGCAGGGAGCTAGACTAGAAGTGGAGCAGCCTACATTTGCTCTCAAATGGGATGATGGCACTGAAAGGAGAGGCTTCAACTGCTGTACTACAACTTTGGACCCCAGGTGGCATCTTACCCACTGAGCCAAATGCCTGCTTCAAAAGCCGAGTAGTATTCTCATCATGTAACTGTGCTGTGATTTGTTTCTGCACTAGTTAGTCACTAGACACGGGATTGCTTATTTGACATTTGTCCTCTCATATGTGTTATTTCCATGTGTAATATTGACTTTTGCAGGTACCGCTTAAATCTGAGTCAAGATGAAGTAAAACAGGAGGTGGAAGAATATCTTCCTTCATTTTCTAAATGGGCTGAAGATTTTATGCATCAGAATACTGGCTTCCCTCAAATGCAGCTGTCTCTGTAAGAAATGTATTTTCTTCATATATTATTCACATTTTTCATCCAAAATCCTATTCTGTATGTCAAATCAAAGCTTTTTAAAAATCAAGCTATTAACATTTGTCCTTCTCTTATTTATTTTCAACTTTTAAAATTTTTGTTAAATTTATTTAAAAAGCAGTTACAGGGCCCGACGGCATGGCCTAGTGGCTAACGTCCTTGCCTTCACGGGCACCAGTTCTAATCCCGGCTGCTCCATTTCATGTCCAGCTCCCTGCTTGTGGCCTGGGAAAGCAGTTGAGGGCGGCCCAATGCTTTGGGACTCTACACCCACATGGGAGACCTAGAAGAAGTTCCTGGCTCCTAGCTTTGGATCGGCATAGCATCGGCCGTTGTGGTCACTTGGAGAGTGAATCATTGGATGGAAGATCTTCCTCTCTGTTTCTCCTCCTCTCTGTATATGTGACTTTGTAATAAAAATAAATAAATCTTAAAAGGAAAAAAAGCAGTTACAGAGAGAGAAGAGATGTTTGACCTATCCTAGTTCACTCCCCAAATGGCCACAATGACTAGTGCTGGGATAGACTCAAACCATGAGCCGGGAGCTTCTTCTGTATCAGATTCCAGGTGCAAGCTAAACTTGCTATGCCACAGTGCCATCTCATTTTTTTTCATTCCAATCTTGAGTATCTTTTCATAGCAGAAAATAATCTGGTGAATTAAGTATTTATTTGAATTATGATAAAATCATTTGATTTTTTTAACATAGATTTCTAAAAAATTATCTGTAGTTGTATTTTCATGCATATTTTTCTGTTGGTATCATATGTCCTGCACCATGTACTTTAAATACTATGTGAGCAAGTTAATGCCATTTAACCTTTTGCTTAATTTTTAGGCTTTTTTGTTGTTGTTTTCATATATGTGAAAGGAAAAATTAGAGGGAGGAAGATTGATTATCTCCCCTAGATGTCCACAGCAGCTTGACCAGGCCAGGCTAACCCCAGAGGCCAGGACCTCCATCTGAGTCTTTCAAGGATGGCAGGAATATTACCTGTTGCCTCTCAGGCTCTTTAGCAGCAAGCTGAAGCAGCTTCAACAGCCAGGGTTGGGTTGGCTGAATCCAGGAGCCAGAAAGTACATCTGAATTTCCCACTTGATTAGTAGGAACTCAGTTACTTGAGCCATCATGTGCTGCCTCCTACTAGCAGGAAACTGGATCAGGAAGAGTAGATGGGACTTGAATTGGTGCGGTGATTTCAGGTGTGAGTGTCCCAAGTAAATGCTTAAACTGCTTGTCAAACCTGCCCCTCATTTTTAAGTTGTTTATATCTTGTGCAACACAAGTATTGGTACCATGATGCAGCAAGTAAAGCTACTGCCTGCAGTGGCTACGCAGTACAGGTTTACCTCCTCTACTTCCCATCCAGCTCCTTGCTACTGCACCTGGGAAAGCAGCCAAGATGGCCCAAATTTTTGGGCTCCTGCACGCACCTGGGAGAGCTCTAGGAGACTGCTTAATCCTGGTTTTGGTCTGATCCAGCTTTGGCTGTTGTGGATGTTCTCGGAGTGATCTCTCTTTGCCTTTCAAATAAATAAGCAAATCTTTAAAAAATAAATAAAAACAATATTCTTTTTTTCTCCCTTTGCTCTTGGCTATTTAAGTTTTACATCTGAACCTCTTTCATAGCTTATTAATATTGAGTCAATTAGCAGTTGTTATTTAATAACAATATTAAAAAACAATTAGAACTTGATAGTGGCCAAGGTGAATTCTCTTCATGATTAAGTAAAGAACATAATGGAATTGTAGTCATGGCCGTGAGGTCCTGTGAAGATTGCTCTGTGCAGATGTGTGAAATGTTGCCTGACCAAGCCCCATGTTTCATAGGCAGTGGGCCCAAGCAGCGTGTTCTTACACAGTTCAATGCGTATTACGTGAGCGAACACATCCCTTTCTAAATAGGACACAACACATTCATTAATTGTGTTGTTATGTATTAATTTGTGTCATAATTGTCAGAATACTCAGGTTGATGTGGTGCCTCCAGCTCTCCACATCACTGCAGTTGTCTTGGCTTAAGGAAAACGACTTTTCAAGACTGTCATAAAAACAAACTGAAAAGGATGGGTTAATAAAGGTTCAGTTATGTTAGGGCCCACAAAACAATGACTCTCAAACCTATTCATGCAGCAGATTTGTTAGAGTGTTTGTTAATCGGCTTGCTGGGCCTCGTGTTTACACCTTCTGTTTGATTTGGTGTAGAGTGGCACCTGTGAATTCAGAAATGGTTGCCAGGTGATGCTGATGTTATTGGCAAGGTGCCACACTTTGAGAGTCTTTGCTATAAAAAGTTTATAAACTTTTGATCCCCACGTTTTCTGTATGAAGGAGATAGTTGTGAGCAGCAAGTTTGTAATGTGCAAAATGTTCTAATTAAAGCTTCTTGTTTCTAATTAAAGCTTCTTTTTTCGTTTTGTTTTTTTTCAGGCCAAGTGATGGCAGTAACACTAATTCAATGTGTCATATTGAAGTAATCAATTCATTGGATATTGAAGAAAGCATTTGGTCCCCTAGGTTTGGACTAAAGGGCAAAATAGATGTTACAGTTGGTGTGAAAATACATCGAGATTGTAAATCAAAATATAAGATAATGCCTTTGGAACTTAAGACTGGCAAAGAATCAAATTCTATTGAACACCGTAGTCAGGTATACATTTTAAGAAAATTATTTGAATGTTTAGATATTTTAGACTGTAGTCTGTCTCATTAATTGGTGTCAAATTCAGCTTCATGTAATATTTTTCAATTTTAGATACATCAGCTTACTTCACTTAGTTTACCAACATATACACACTCAATAGAAAATTTTCTTCAGCAAAGTATCCAAGACCTGAATTTATAATGTAGTGTTGCCAAGTTTATGCTGCCAAAACTCCCAGAATAAACAGATGCTTCTAAAAAAGGAATTTCTTAGTCATGTAAATTGGGGAAACCAAGTGAATGTTTTACAAATGTGCATTACCGTGTTAAAGGGTCTGAGAAGTCTTTAAGTCATTCCATTTGTTTATTTAAATTTAATGTATCTGAGAGAGATCTTATATTTAGTGGTTCATGCTCTGCAAATAGCCACATAGCCGGGATCTCCACCTGGGTCTTCCGTCACCTGCTACCTTACAGGTATGCATTGTCAGGAAGCCTGCGTTGGAAGTGGAGCCAGGCACTCTGATATGGTAGGTAGCATCTTACATGCTGTGCTGAGTGCCAGCCCCTTGTTTTAGCTATGCTTTGCTGAATGGAAGACCTTATTCTCTGTCTTTCCTTCTCTCTGTAAGTCTGTATTTCCGATAAAAATAAATAAGTATTTGAGGAAGATCATATTACTATTTTAATTTATTATTTATTGTTTTTGAAGGTCATTAACTTCAAAATTATAAAACATGAGTTCATGAATTCCGTTCCTTAATTCAATATCTAGGAATAATTCACTGTATTTCCTTTTTTTTTAAGCCAGACAACATAAACTATTTGTTTTGTGGAAGTCCAGTTTTTGACATCAGTTTTGTTGTTACCTTTTCCAGTTTTGCTCATGTTATTTTCAGTGTGAAAAAGGTTCATTTTCCTTTTGATTGTAGAATTTTGTGTTGACTGCATGACAGTGTGAGGAAGTAGATTGGTATGGCTTTGTTTGCTAACGTGCTCACTGCTCTTGCAGGTGGTTCTGTACACACTGCTCAGCCAGGAGAGAAGAGCCGACCCTGAGGCTGGCCTGCTTCTGTACCTCAAAACCGGGCAGATGTACCCTGTGCCTGCCAAACACCTAGACAAGAGAGGTACAGCTGTTTGCTGAATTCTCTAGTTTGTCCTCCTCGATCTTATCTTTTGGTGGTACCTTTGCAGGGAAAATAAGATGAGAAAAGAAATTCCTTTTGATGTGGAAACATTCTGAAATCCCTGCACATATGAAATCTTTAGAACATTATTGGAAAAATGCGTGTGTTTAAAAAAAAATAATGCGGGATTTCAAAGTGTTTTTCACGTCAAAATAAGAATATCCTTTAAATTCTGTTTCTCTGTGAGTGCTGTCTTTATATTTTTACTCAGTTGTCTGCTCAGTGCACTTGATAGGCCTACTACAGGTTTTAATTTGTAGTTGTGGTATTTTTGTAAAAAGAAGTTGACTTTATTGTTATTTATTTTTAAAAGTCTTCATGACTCAGAACTTTCTTTTGAAATGTCTAAGAGAGATAGTTATGTTTGTATTTACCACTAGACAATAACATACCAACTTCAAAATAATTCTAGTTAATGGCGTGTAGTTATTTAAAGAAGCTGTTCAACTTGTCTAATGGGGAAAAATGTGTTCCCAAATTTTTTGAAACAATCTTCAAATCTGAACTTTTGCTTATATAGTGTAAAAAGATACGTGACACACTTTCTGAGATTGTTTAAAAGACACTTGCTTCTGTTTTTATAGAATTGTTAATGCTGAGAAACCAGATGGCGTACTCTTTGTTTCACCGTATCAGCAAACCTGCTACTGGAAAAGATAAAACACAGCTTGCTTCTTTACCAGAAATAATAGAGGAAGAAAAAACCTGCCAGTACTGTTCACAAGCAGGCATCTGTGCTCTCTATAGCAGGTAAACACACTGGCTTCCAGGAGCATTATTTCTGAAAGCATAGTTGAGCGTGAATTGGCGTGCTGTGATTCAGCTTTTGATCTTGGCCTTTATGATGTCATTTAATCCATATTTTGTAAAAATCCCCCTGCTCCCTCTTTTTTTTTTTTTTAACTTTTGGGAGTTGGGAAGAATTTGGAAGATATTTATCTCTTATCTGCTGATTCACTTCCCAAATGCCTACACTAACTAGTGCAAGGGCAGTCCCCAACCATGGAGTTTCAGGTTCCATGGTCTGACTGTAGAGTGCATGTGTCAGAGCTGGGCCTCTTCGGTGGCTTAGAGGAGCAGTGGAAAGCATATCCAGTTGCACATGGAGGACACCTGGTACCACAACAGATAATGGAAGACAGAACAAATTGATTTTCTGTGTAAGCCAAGTGTTGGACGTGAATAACTGGGTAAATGGAGACTTTAAGGTGGACTGTGTCAACTAGTGGATTCTGGAGAGATTTCATTGTGCTTGGAGTGGCAAGTTCAGCCTTAATTCAGAGCTGTGGAACTGTTAAACCTCTTGGGCAGGACCTTGGAGCATGGCCCAAACTGGGAACTCTGGGGTAGAGTCTGGTGACTGTTCTCCATCTCAGAGTACAGACGCTTTTGGGAGTCTGAGTGTGCCTTCTCTCCTTATCTCCCTCTTCCCCCAGATACAGCAAGGAAAAAAAGAATGCAGAAATAATGGTCTCACCCACCTTCCTGTAGTCCTTGAACCTTATCACCATAATTAACTATGTAAAAATCATTTAAATAAATAAATAAATAAAGCAAGAGCTCGACACAGTGGCCTAACAGCTAAAGTCCTTGCCCTGCACTCACAATTATCCAGTGTGGGCACCAGTTCTACTCCCGGCAGCCCTACTTCCCATCCAGCTCCCTACTTGTGGCTTGGGAAAGCAGTCGAGGATGGCTCCTGGCTTCAGATCAGTTGCACATGGGCCGTTGCGGTCACTTGGGGGTTAATTTGTTGGACAGAGGGTGTTCCTCTCTGTGTCTCTTCCTCTCTGTTTATCTGACTTTCCAATGAAAATAAATTTTTAAGAAAAGAAGGTTGAACCTGTGGGACTCGGTCTAATGCCCATTTTGTTTCCCAGTGCTTGCTATGGGAGACTTAGTCAATTGAGCTGCGATGCTGGGCCCTCATTAGATAAATTTTTACAATTAGTATTAAGCAAAATTGTAACTTGAAAAATCCTCCTTGTGTTTATGTTACCTTCCTTATGTCACAGAACTAGTAGCAAATGGGCCTAACTTGCTGCATGTACAAATGAAAGCTAGAATATGTCCAATTAAAGTTGTTCTCGGGGGGTAAGTCAATGAAGGAAAAATCATGCAACGTCAAATTTTATACAACAGTGATGTACATTATAAGCAAAATTGTTTTCTGTAAAAAAATTTGCATTGTATTTCATCATGTGTGTGTGCTTATTTTAGAAATACCTTATTTTATTTTATAGCCAGCAATTGAAATTTTTTATGTATGTCTTCTAACTGGTAACTTCATATTTAGAGCCATTGAACAACAGGAGGATGACAGTGTGGTCCCAGTTGCCATTCTACCCAGAATAAAGGAAGAAACGGAACATCTGAAGCCTACACACTTAGAGTATTTCAGCCTGTGGTGTCTGATGTTAACTCTGGAGTCACAGTCGAAGGATAACAGAAAGAGTCACCAAAATATTTGGTTCAGGCCTGCTTCGGAAATGTAAGTGGACTGTTTAATAAGTGCAGTGAAATTTTAGTAGCATAGGCTAGCTGGTATGATGGCATTTAAAATTCATGACAAATGCAAGTTTTATAGCGTGGTTAAGATAGGTGATTTCATGCGTTCAGTACAACTCTGCATGGTGTTCGGGAATTGCTCCACGTGTGGCATCACCTACGTATGCTATGTATGCTACCCTGATTGTTAGTAATGTAGTGTCAGCAGGTCAAATGTGCCTCAGGAAATCTCAGTGTAAACGTTACATTTTTTCCTGTAATTCATTTTTGATTTTCTTTGCTTATTTGACAAGGTTGCACAACTATGAGGACCACTGATTAGTGGTGAGCTGGATCAGAAGTGAAGCAGGCAGGCCATGAACTAGCACTCGTATTGGATGCTTGCCCTGGCAGGTGGAGGATTAGCCTGTTGAGCCACCATGCTGGCCCCAAAACAAATTATGACAGGCTTCATAAGTATAGTAGATTTGTCAAATATACAAACCAACGAATGACTTTGAATAGCATTTGCTATAAGTACCTGAGAGGTTGTCGGCATTAAATTCTTATTTCATGGAAGCTGCGGAATCAGATTGCTTGACATTATTTTGTTACTAACAATTGTAAATCCTTGAATGAAGACTAAAGAAATAAGTTATTATTGTGTTCTCTTTGAGTTCAGGGTCAGATTTTTATGGTTGGTCTCCTGCAGTATGTTTTCAACGCCAGAGAAGGGTTGTTGACCAATGATGAAAGGCTCTTAAGTCCACTGGCAGGCATCCCTGGCCTGTGGGAGCCTCCTGTCACTCCCTAGGGCTTTGCTGCAAGTCTGCTTTTGAGTGATGTTTACTGAGCATGGCTGACACTTTCTGTAGATGACGAGTGTTGAAAAAGCAGCCTCACTTTAGTGTTTGTTTTCAGGGGTCCATTAGACAAGTGAATTGTGGGAAAATGCAAACACTGTGTTTACTGTATGCTCTCTTCCCTTCCTAGGGAGGAGAGTGGCAGCTGCGTTGGCAGCCTGATTAGAAGACAGTGTGTAACCAGAGTTTGCGACGGACAGTATTTGCACAATTTCCAACGGAAAAATGGTGCCATGCCTATCACAAATCTGATGGCAGGTGACAGAATTATTCTAAGTGGAGAAGAGAGAACACTGTTTGCTTTGTCTAGGGGATATGTGAAGGAGATTACCGTGACGACAGTAACATGTGTGTTAGACAGGTAATGAAACGTCACTTTCCTTTTGCCAGTAGCTTTATCAGTACTTAATCGACACCGTACAATTCAGTGGTTTTCTATGTCTGTGCCAACATTTTCCACCATCACCACAGTCAAACTTAGACCACCCAATAGTGATCATTTTCTCTCAACTTGTCTGTTGTCTTGGCAACCACTAAATTCACTTTCTGCCTCTCTAGATTGGCCTGTGTTGAGCAGTTCATGTCAGTGAGGTGGTGTAATTTATGGTCTCTGATGATCAGTGTTTTTCACTTAGCATATTATTTTTGTAACACATCTTCATGCTGTAGGTTTTACTAGTACTTTATTGCTTTTTTGGAAACACTGAAATAAAATCCAATAAACACATGAAGCTGACAGTTTCCAACTTTAAAGCGTATTACTGTGTGACAGTTTCATCTCCCAAAAAGGAAGCCTTTTTTCCACCACTCAGCTCTCTCCTGCCTGTAGGCCCTGGCAACCAATAATCTGCTTTCTCTCTCTCTGGGTTTCTCCAGTTTGAATGTATGGTGGAAGTAAAATCCTGAGCTCTATGGCTTTTTTTTTTTTCTTTCCTTTTTGACTTCTTAAATTGAGCAAAGTATTGCTGCTGTTCACATACATCTCAGCATATATCAGCACCTATTCTTTTAGGACTGATACTTGGTTGCGTAGGTACCTGGCATATTTGAGCTGTTTCTCTTCTTGCTGGTTGGGGTACTATTGCTGTGAACCCTCATATGTAAATGTATTAGTGTGAATATATGCATGCTCCTCTGGGTTGATTTAGCAGTGGAATCACTAAGTCACTTCCTAATGTTTTGTTTAACATTATTTTAAGGTTTATTTATTTATTTCAAAGGCAGAGTTACAGAGAGGGATTGAGATCTTCCATCCACCAGGTGACTGTACCCACTAAGACTGGGCCAGATCCAAGTGAAGAACTTGCTCTGGGTCTCCTGCGAGGGCGGGTTGCAAACATTTGACTGTCTTCCACTCCTTTTTCAGGCTCATTCTCATGGAGGTGGATCAAAGTAGAGTAGCTGGGAGTAGAATATTGGAATTGCATGCTGTGGTTTTACACAGCACCACAGCGCCAGCCAGGATCTTATCTAATTTTCACAACTGCCTATGTGATCATCAGAAGAGATAGTAGATGACCCCTGTGTCAGTTGAGAGTTCTTTTTTGGGCCTGGAGCTGTAGTTTATTGGCTAAATTCCTCAGCTTGTACATGCCCGGATCCGATATGGGTACCAGTTCTAATCCCGGTGGCCCTGCTTACCATCTAACTCCCTGCTTATGCCCTGGAAATGCAGTGGAGGACAGCCCGATGCCTTGAGACCCTGCACCTGTGGTCTCCCAGGGAAGGATCCTGGCTCCTGGCTTCAGATTGGCACAGCTCCTGCTGTTGCGGGAGTGAATCAACAGATGGAGGATCTTCCTCTCTGTCGCTCTGTATATCTGACTTTACAAAAAAAAATAAATCTTGAAAAAAAAAAGAGTTATTGTTCTCTCTCTTTTTTTCAAAGATTTATTTCTTCTTATTGGAAAGGCAGACTTACAGAGGGAAGAAGAAACGGAGGAAGATATTCCCTCTGCTTATTCATTCCCCCAGGGGACTGAAATGACTGTAGCTTAGCTGATCTGTAGCCAGAAGCCAGGAGATTATTCTGGATCTCCCACATTGGTGAGGAGTTCCAAGAATTTGGGTCATCCTCCACTGCTTTCCCAGGTCATAAGCAGGGAGCTGGAAGGGAAGAGGAGCATCCAGGACGTGAACCAGCATCCATGTGGATTTCCAGCTCCTTAACATTTTTTTTAAAAAGATTTATTTATTTTTATTGGAAAGGCAGATATACAGAAAGAAGGAGAGACAGGAAGACCTTCCATCCAATGATTCATTCCCCATGTGACCGCAGTGGCCTGTGTTGAACTGATCCAAAGCCAGGAGCAAGGAACTTCTTCCAGGTCTCCCACACAGGTGCAGGGTCCCAATGCCTTAGGCCACACTCGACTGCCTCTCCGGGCCCAAGCAGGGAGCTGAATGGGAAGTGGAGCTGCCAGGATTAGAACTGGCGCCCATATGGGATCCCAGCGTATTCCAGGCGAGGATTTTAGCTGCTAGCCATCACTCCAGGCCCTGTTTTCCATCTTTTCTCATCTTTGATTGACGTGGGAATGAGGCCGATAGCCATTTTAATAGCTATTCTAGCCAGTTTATCTTTGTTAGTAATATGTTTCTCATATAAAATATGTGAAATGAAAAATATATATTTGTTTTTTTGCCATTTTAGGAATTTGTCTGTACTTCCAGAATCAACTTTGTTCAGATTAGACCAGGAAGAAAAAAATTGTGATATAGATACCCCACTGGGAAATCTTTCTAAATTGATGGAAAACACTTTTACCAGGTTTGTAGCAATGAATGAGTCTGATAGCTTCCCCTTCTTCTAAGGAATATTACTAAAAGTATGTTTTATCGTTTCATCTTTTTAGCAAAAAACTTCGAGATCTAATCATAGACTTTCACGAACCCCAGTTTGTATCCTACCTCAGTTCTGTCCTTCCACCTGATGCAAAGGACACGGTTGCTCACATTCTAAAAGGTAGGTTATAGTCAGCATTTCTGCGCTAGTTACAATTGTTACAATTTCTTTCCTTTTTTGGTTTAAATTTATTTATTTTTATTGGAAAGGCAGATATACAGAGAGAAGGAGAGACAGAGAAAGATCCTATGTCCACTCGTCCACACCCGAAATGTCTGTAATGGCCAGAGCCAGGTCAACCTGAATCTAGGAGCCAGGAGCCTCCTTTAGGTCTCCCATGCTAGTGCAGGATCCCGTGGCTTTGGACCATTCTCAGCTGCTTTCCCAGTCCACAGGCAGGGAGCTGGATGGGGAGTCGAACATCTGTGCCTGAACTGGTGCCCATATTGGACCCCAGCACGTGCAAGGCGAGGGCTTTAGTCACCCGGCTACTATGTCAGGCCTCCTTTCCTACTTTAAGATTATTTGTTTAAAATAAGTATACATTGGGGCCGGCGCGGTGGTGCAGTGATTAAGGTCCTCGCCTTGCACGCCCAGGATCCCATATGGGCGCCAGTTCTAATCCCGGCAGCCCCACTTCCCTTCCAGCTCCCTGCCTGTGGCCCGGGAAGGCAGTCGAGGACGGCCCAAAGCTTTGGGACCCTGCACCTATGGGAGACCTGGAAGAGGCTTCTGGCTTCGGATCGGCATAACATCGGCTGTTGCGCTCACTTGGGGAGTGAATCATCAGATGGAAGATCTTCCTCTCTGTCTCTCCTCTCTGTATATCTGCCTTTCCAATAAAAAAATAATAAAAATAAATCTTTAAATAAAATAAAATAAGTATACATGGAGAAAGGGAGGTCTATTACTGATATAATCTCCAAATGTCGTAACAGCTAGGGCTGGGCCAGCACAAAGCCAGGAGTCTGAAGCTTTTTGCCAATCTCTCACGTAGCTGCAGGCACCCGAGCATTCTGGCCATCTTTCACTGCATTCCCAAGCGCGTTAGCAGAGAGCTGGATCAGAAATGAATCAGCCACGTATCAAACCAGTGACCATATCGAATACTGGAATCGCAGTTGGCAGCTTTAACTGATATACCATAATGCTGGCCCCCAGTTACATTTTCTGGATTCCATTTGGATTTATTTTTTAAAAAGCATGTGTAGGAGGACTTTGTGACCCTAGAAGGTCAGCAAGCACAGGATTACCGTTCATTGGTCAGTATTTGCATGAAAACAACCAAATGGCTACCTTTTGTATACCTGATGGGAGATCATTTGTATAAGAATGGTTGAGTGGACAGCACGTGAATGAGAACACCTGGTGGTGAATCATGTGAATGATTCACCTGGTGAATATACAAAACAAAAGTAGTTCCAATCAAGAGTATGGAAACAGTTGATGGGTCTTGTTGATAAGCTCAATATTTCCTCCTTTACCCCATGTGGACTCTCAGTGTATAAAGTCTGATGCCACTAATAAACTTGGGCTTTGGACCATCAGTCAGAGTCCACGCGTGTTATTATCGGCTCTGTACATCAAGTCCATTGCTGCAGTACAGCGACAAGCATGTATTTTTTACTTATTTGAGAGGCATAGTTATGTATTAGGATAGACAGAGGGAGGGAATCTTACATCCCTTGTTTCACTCCCCAAATGGCTACATTGTGTAGAACTGGCTCTGCTGAAGTTGGGAGTGTGGAGTTTCCTCTGGTTCTCCATTTTTGTGTGCAGCTTTGCAAGCATTGCTTTTGTAGGCACACCAGCAGGGAACACAATTGGAAGTGGAACATCTGGGACTCCATATAGAGTGCCGAGTCACAGGCAAAGGTTAACGGGTTACTGTGCTGCACCACAATGCTGGCCCCTGTTTCAATTTTTTTTAAAGGTTTATGTATCTTTTTTTTTTTATTGCAAAGTCAGATATATAGAGAGGAGGAAAGACAGAGAGAAAGATATTCTGTCTGATGATTCACTGCACATGTGAGTGGAACGGCAGGTACTACACTGATCCAAAGCCAGGAGCCAAGAACTTCCTCCAGGTCTCCCATGGGGTGCAGGGTCCCAAGGCTTTGGACCGTCCTCAACTGCTTTCCCAGGCCACAAGCTGGGAGCTGGACAGGAAGTGAAGCTGCTGGGATTAGAACTGGCGCCCATATGGGATCCCGGCACATTCAAGGCGAGAACAAACTTGGCTAAAAACGGCTATATTTACATAGTTCACTGAAATGTTGCCCTCCTCTTGTGAAATGTAGGTTTGAATAAGCCCCAGAGGCAAGCCATGAAGAAGGTTCTCCTCTCCAAGGATTACACGCTCATCGTGGGCATGCCCGGGACTGGGAAGACAACTACAATATGTACTTTGGTAAGGTTATCGTCCTTAATTTTAGACGCTAAGAACCTCAGTTCAAAGCATGTGATATTTGATATCAGAAGGGCAGAATTTTAATGTGAAAATACTTATTTCACTTTAACTTTGAAAACTTTTATTAGTCTTCTGCCTCCTGTGACACAGTAAAAAAAGAAAATAGAACATTTGTCCCATCCATCTTCCTCTATGCCTTCACCCTCCCAGCCCCTAATCAGAGATCCGTATGGACTTGCATTCCTCTCAACCCTGTTAACCATATTAAAACAACAATAGATGTGAGGCCCAGCTTGGTCGGGTAGAGGCTAGTTCTCTGCCTGAGGAAGCAGTGGAGGATAGCTCAAATCCTTGGGTCACTGCACACATATGGGAGACCTAGAAGAAGCTTTTGGTTCCTGGCCATACATCAGCTCACCTCCAGCCATTGTGGTCATTTGAACTAGTGGATAGAAGACCTCTCTCTCTGTCTTTCCTTCTCTCTCTTTGAAAATTTGTCATTTAAATAAAAGTGAATAGATTTTTAAAAAGAAAAAGGTATGGGCCTGGCGCCATGACCTAACGGCTAAATTCCTCACCTTGAACACGCCCGGGATCCCATATGGGTGCCAGTTTTAATCCCGGCCAGCTCCACTTTCCATCCAGCTCCCTGCCTGTGGCCTGGGAAAACAGTCGAGGACGGCCCAAGGCTTTGGGACCCTGCACCCGTGTGGGAGATCTGGAAGACCTATGAAAACTGTGTCTGCGCCAGGCCAATGTCAGAGACCTGAAACTAGAAAGTCTCCCATGTGGATGTCAGGGACCCAAGTGCTTGAGCCATTACCTGCTGCCGTCCAGTGTGTGCATTAACGGCAAGCTGGGATAGAAGCAGAGGTGACAGCCAAGTCCAGGCACCTTGATTTAGGATGCAGGTGTACCAAATAACATGTCAAGTGTTAATGATATGCTGGTCTCAGGAAATATTTATTGATTGATATGTTCCAGACACTACTAAAAGTTGATATGTATTCAATTTTATTACTACTGGCAATGCTTTATTTACATAGCATTGATATATAATACTACTGTTTAATTTTGGTTGAAACACTTGGCTTTATAATGTTTTTAAAAATTTACTTGCTTTTATTCAGTTAAGGAGAAGAGACAGACAATCTCCCATACAGTGCTTACAACTGTCAGGGCTGGACCAGGCTGAAGCCTGGACCCAAGAACTCAGTCCACTTCTGCCATGTGGGTGGAGGTGGGACCCTGCCACTCAAGCTGTCACCTGTTGCCTCTCATGTGTGCTTTAGCAGGAAGTATAAAGGAGACCAGAGTTTAGACTTGAACCTGCACACTGATGCCTCAAATGATATCTTTTTTTTTCCTTACCAGTTTTTTTTAAATTGGAAAGTCAGATATACAGAGAGGAGGAGAGACAGAAAAATCTTCCGTCTGATGATTCACTCCCCAAGTGAGCGCAATGGCTGATCCGAAGCAAGGAGCCAGGAGCTTCTTCCAGGTCTCCCACACGGGTGCAGGGTCCCAAAGCTTTTGGCCATCCTCGACTGCATTCCCAGGCCACAGGCAGGAAGCTGGTTGGGAAGTGGAGCTGCTGGGATTAGAACCGGCGCTCATATGGGATCCCCGGGCGTGTTAAGGCAAGGACTTTAGCTGCTAGTCCATGCCGTCAGACCCCCGCAATGACATCTTAATCATAGGCCAAACACTTGGATATAGTGTTTTTTTTTTTTTTTTTTAGATTTATTTTTATTATTTTTTCATTGGAAAGGTGGATATGCAGAGAGGAGAGACAGAGAGGAAGATCTTCCGTCCGATGATTCACTCCCCAAGTGAGCGCAACGGGCCGATACTATGCCGATCCGAAGCCAGGAGCCTCTTCCGGGTCTCCCACGCGGGTGCAGGTTCCCAAAGCTTTGGGCCGTCCTCGACTGCTTTCCCAGGCCACAGGCAGGGAGCTGGAAGGGAAGCGGGGCTGCCGGGATTAGAACCGGCGCCCATATGGGATCCCGGGCGTGCAATGCGAGGACCTTTAACCACTTGCGCCACCGCGCCGGGCCCGGATATAGTGTTTTTAAAAAGTTACTGTGTTGGGGCCCGGCGCAAGTGGTTAAGGTCCTCGCCTTGCACACCCGGGATCCCATATGGGCGCCGGTTCTAATCCCGGCAGCCCTGCTTACCTTCCAGCTCCCTGCCTGTGGCCCGGGAAGGCAGTCGAGGACAGCCCAAAGCTTTGGGACCCTGTACCCGCGTGGGAGACCCAGAAGAGTCTCCTTGCTTCGGATCGGCCGTTGCGCTCACTTGGGGAGTGAATCATCGGACGGAGGATCTCCCTCTCTGTCTCTCCTCTGTGTATATCCGCCTTTCCAATAAAAAAAAAAATAATAATTAAAAAAAAAAAAAAAGTTACTGTGTTGGGGTACTAGCAGTGTGATGTAGCAAATGAAGCTTCTGTATGAGGCCCACTGGCTCCACTTCTGATCCAGCTGTACTAATGTGCCTAAGAAGATAGCAGAAGATAACCCAAATGTTTGCGGCCCTGTACTCACATGGAGACCTGGAAGAAGGTCCTGACTCCTGGCTTCAGAACCATCCACATTCAACCATTGTCGTCATTTGGGGAGTAAACCCACAAATGGAAGATTCTCTCCATCTGTCCTTTTTTCTGTGTAACTCTGCTTTTAAAAAAAAAAACCTACTTAGTGGATTTAGTATTGTGGCTCCTTGGGTGGAATGAGCATTATAGCTCAGTGGGTTAAGCTGATACCTATAATGCTGGCATCCCATTTGAGTACTGATTTATGTCTTCTGCTGGTTTGATGGAGCTCACTGCTAATGTGTCTGGGAATGTACTGGAAGATGGCCAATTACTTAGGCCCTGGCTACCCACATGGAGTTCTGGGCTCCTAGCTTTTGGTATGCCCTAGCTGCTGTAACCATTTGAGAGTGAACCAGCAGATGGAAAATTTCTCTCTCTCTCTGCATCTCTGCTGTTCAAATAAATAAATAGGACCTGGCGCTGTAGCCTAGTGGCTAAAGTCTTCACCTTACATACGCCAGGATCCTATATGGGCGCCTATTCTATTCCTGGCAGTTCCACTTCCCATCCAGCTCCCTGCTTGAGGCCTGGAAAGCAGTTGGAGACTGCTAAGGCCTTGGGACCCTGCACCCATGTGGGAGACCTGGAAGAATCTCCTGGCTCCTGACTTCAGGAAATGAACCAGTAAATGGAGGATTTTTCTGTCTCTTTCTCTCTGTAAATCTGACTTTCCAGTGAAAATGAATGAATCTTTGAAATAAATAAATAAAGTTATTTGGTGGGGCAATAATTGTAGAGCACAGTGAATTCAACTGTTCTAACTGTATCTCATTTCTTCTTCCTTTTTTTTAAGATTTATGTATTTTTATTGGAAATTCAGATATACAGAGAGAAGGAGATGCAGAGAGGAAGATTTTCCATCCATTGGTTTACTCTACAAGTAGCCACAATGGCCAGAAATGAGCTGATCTGAAGCCAGGAGCCAGGAACTTATTGCAGGTCTTCCACGTAATTGGAGGATCCTAAGGCTTTGGGCCGTCCTTTACTGCTCTGCCAGACCACAAGTTGGGATGTGAAGTGGAGAAGTTAGGACAAAAATCGGTGCCCATATGGGATCCCAGCTCATGAAGGCAAAGATTTAGCCACTATGCTATCGTGCTGGACCCATTTCTCAGTTCCTGATTTGAATCCTGTCTGCTGGGAGATTCAAATTCAGCTTCTCGCTAATTCGCCTGAGAGAGAGCAGGCGATGGCTCAAGTGCTTGGGCCCCTGCTAGCATGTAGGAGACTCAGAGGGCATTTTGGGCTCCTGACCAGCTCACCCTAACTTTGATTATGGTAGGCATTTGAGTAATGAACAAAAGAATGGATGGAAGATCTCTCTTCCTTTCTCTTCCTTTCAAATCAGATCTTAAAGTTACTTACACATGCTTTCTAGTAAATTTTCTGGTTCCATTTGACAATCTTATGCATCATAAGATTTTTTCTGGAATTTAAAATAATGCCGTTTTTCTTATCCATTTTTAGGTAAGAATCCTCTACGCCTGTGGTTTCAGTGTTTTGTTGACCAGCTATACACATTCTGCTGTTGATAATATCCTCTTGAAGTTAGCCAAGTTCAAAATTGGATTTTTGCGTTTGGGTCAGATTCAGAAGGTTCATCCAGATATCCGGAAATTCACAGAGCAGGAAGTGTGCAGATCAAAGTCTGTCAAATCTTTAGCTCATCTGGAAGAACTCTACAGTAGCCAAGTAAGTGCACCAATACTTGCTGCCTGTAATTTCTGTGACTAAATGCGGAGAAATGACACTGTGACAAATTTAATCGCGTTGGTTATGTTTGCATATGACTAGATCAATGTATTCCCCAGGACTGATTTATTGGTTTATAGCTTGCTGTTTTCCTTCCAAGATGAAATCAGGTATTTTAGTCTATTCAGGGCTTCTCCCTTCTCAGTTCAGCTAGCTTAGAAAACTACTGATGATTTGGATTCTTTAGTGCATTTGAGTCAGAAGCAATAGAATTACCTACATGTTGTGATAAATATTTTTAAGTTTTGATACAGGACCTAATTTTGTTTTATGGCTTTATCTCTCATTTTCTTTTTAAAATTTTTTATTTTTATTGGGAAAACAAAGAGGCATAGATTTTTTAATGCACTGTTTTACCTGTAAATGCCCACACTTGCCAGGGATAGATCAGCCTGAAGCAGGTGCCCCAGACCCGATCCTGATTCCCTAATCAGTGTGAGAGACCTGCATATTTATTATCATCTGCCTTCCTACATATGCACTGATAGCAAATGGGATGGAAAGTGGAGTAGCCAGACCTTGAACTGGATACTCTTATGTGGGAAGCGGGTGACCCCAATGACAGCTGTTGCATCAAACACAAACTCACCAGATTCTTGTTTAATTATTTGGGAGGTAAATAGAGGGAGTACATTTCCATCAGATGATTCACTCTTGAAATGTCTTCAGTGGCTGGGACTGGGCCCAGAGTCGAGGTAGCATCCAGGAACACAACATTTGAGCCAAAACTACTGTCTCCCAAGGTCTGTGCTGCAGGGAAAATAGAGTCAGGCACTAGAGCTGGGACTTGAACCCAGTCACTCCAATTTTGGGTGCAGGTGTCCTAAACACTGGGCTAAATGCCTGCTCCCTGGTGAAAAAAGTCTTTGAGATCCATAAATCCAGGGAATCCTCAGAAAGCTCCTGGTGAATGTGTATTGTGAAAGTACCATGCCGTTGGAACACTAGTAATCTTTATTTTTAACTTAAGTGTAGTCAGAAGACAAAAGACACATGTATCTGTACACTGTAGTGCGTTTCTTGATACGTAGTTCTATTTCAATAAATTTTTGGATGTTGGGTTAGAATGGGTGACTGTTGGATGAAAATTTTCTGGTTTTTTGGTTTTGATTTTAAGAATAATTTACTTTTATTGGAAGGTAGATTTAAAGAGAAAATGAGAGACAAAGATCTTCCATCTGCTGGTTTACTCACCAAGTGGCCACAACTGGAGCTGAGCTGATCTAAAGTCAGGAGCCAAGAGCTTCTTCTGGGTCACCTGTGTGGGTACAAGATCCCACGACTTTGGACCATCCTTCACTGCCTTCCCAGGCCAGAAGTAGGGAGTTGGATTGGAAGTAGTTCAGCCAGAACTGGAACTGATGCCCACATGAGATCCTGGCACCTGAAGGGAGAGGATTAGCCAATTGAGACCCAATGTACTGTAGCAAAGTTTTCTGGGTTTTAGGTTTTTCCTTTCTCTGTGTTAGCAGGCTTTTGTTGAAGGTGCATTGGTCTGAACCAGGTGGCATTGCTGGGTTGCCAGCTTTTCATTTCTAAATTTGGGCAAAAATGAATTACTATACTGTCCCTTGGGCCTGAACTCCTGTCTTTCCATGTTCTGGAATCATGTTTTATGTGACATGTCCAGGGTCTGTAATTCTACATGTGGGAAGGAAAACAAGCGTATTCCAAATTGACTTCTAAAACAAATATAAAACAAAATTGTTAAACTTTTGCCTTCTGAATGTTTCAGATGCTCTTGGAAGATATCCAGATATGAGCATTGGTCATAATCTCTGAAAAAGTGGCTTGATTTTTTCTTTCAATTCATAGAAAAAATAATAACAGTAAATTTTTTTATGATATCAATGTTATAGAACTTGATATTAGAGAATTACCATTCATCTTTTATTTTCAAAAATGGTATAGATATATTGCACATCTTATGTATTTAAAAAGCTGTTCTATTTTTTGCTTTGTTTTTAGCTTATAGTTGCAACAACATGTATGGGAATAAACCATCCAATATTTTCCCGTAAAATTTTTGACTTCTGTATAGTGGACGAAGCCTCTCAAATCAGCCAGCCCATTTGCCTGGGGCCGCTTTTCTTTTCCCGGAGATTTGTGCTGGTGGGGGATCATCAGCAGCTCCCGCCCCTTGTGCTGAACCGGGAAGCCAGGTGGGTAAACAAGTCAGTTATAATCTCAAGGTAGATTGCTTTTTCTTTTGTTTCTTTCTTTTTTAAGATTTATTTATTATTAGACATCAGATTTATAGAGAGAAGGAGATACAGAAAGATCTTCTATCCGCTGGTTCACTCCCCAAGTAGCCACAATGGCCAGAGCTGAGCTAATCGAGCCAGGAGCTTCTTACGGGTATACCCAGCAGGTGCAGGTTCCCAAGGCTTTGGGCCATCTTTGACTATTTTCCCAGGTCACAAGCAGGGAGCTGGTTGGGAAGCGGGGCAGCTGGGACACAAACTGGTGCCCAAATGGGATCCAGGGCATGCAAGCTGAGTATTTAGCCACTAGGCTATCATGCCAGGCCTTCTTTTTTTTTTTTTTTTTTTTAAATTGTTGATTTATTTTGAAAGTGACAGAGAGATCTTCCATCCACTAGTTTTTCCCCAGATGCTCTTCATAGCCAGGACTGGACCAGGTTGAAGCTGGAGGAGGACGGGGCTCCATCCCGGTTTGCCATGTGGTTTGGCTAGAGCCCAGACACTTGTGTTACTATCTGCTGATTGGCAGGAAGTTGGATGGAGACAGGGTGATCAGGATTTGAACCACTGCTTTTGTACAGGGTGCCGGCATCGTGGGCAGTAACTTAATCCATTGTATCACAGCATGGGCCCCCGAATTCTTGTGAAGTACTGCTAAAATCATCCTTTTCTGTTTACTGATAAGTGCTAATTTGGTTTCTTGACAGAGAGCTTGGCATGAGTGAAAGCTTATTCAAGAGGCTGGAGAGGAATAAGAATGCTGTTGTGCAATTAACTGTACAATACAGAATGAACAGGTAAAATGTGTTTCGGGGTTAACTGTAATTTTCTAGTTAATGTCATTTATTGAAACTTAAATCACTTTTTTGTTCATTCTGTTAGTAAAATTATGTCCTTGAGCAATAAGCTGACCTATGAGGGAAAGCTGGAATGCGGCTCCGACAAGGTGGCCAATGCCATGATAAACCTGCCCAAGTTCAAAGATGTGAAGCTGGAACTGGAATTCTATGCTGATTATTCTGATAATCCTTGGCTGCTCGGAGTATTTGAACCAAACATCCCTATTTGTTTTCTTAATACAAGCAAGGTAAAAAACAAAAACACTTTGATTTTTTTCTCTTGTCCTATTTCAATTTCTTCATTTCCTATACCGTGTGCTCTATTGGGGCTTTCTGACTTAGTCAGAATTGGTGGTCGTTCTCATACTTCAGCAAGGAGATTTTTAAAAATATAATATGTACTCAAAAGAAGAATGAAAGAACAAGAGTGAGGGAGAGGGAGATGGGGATCTTCCATCCACTGTTTACTCTCCATCGGACGATGCTACTCCAGATCTCCTATGTGGGTGGAGGGCCATCTTGTACTGTCTTCTCAGGTACACTGGTAACAGAGAGCTGCTTCAGAAGTAGAGCAGCTGGCTCTCCAACCGGCACTCATGGGATGCTGCCATCATAGGCAGCAGCTTAACCCACTCACTACACTAGAATGCTGACCCCAGCAGAGTCATTTCTGAAAGGTTTAGCATTGGGCCCGGTGTGGTAGCCTAGCAGCTAAAATTCTCACCCTGTACATGCCGGGATCCCATATATGCGCTGGTTCTAATTCCAGTGGCCCTGCTTCCCATCCAGCTCCCTGCTTGTGGCCTGGGAAAGCAATTGAGGACGATCCAAAACTGTTGGGATGCTGCCCCCATGTGGGAGACCCATAAGAAGAGGCTCTTGGCTCCTGACTTTGATTGGTGCAGCTCCAGCCATTGCAGCCACTTGGGGAGTGAATCGATGGACAGGTGTTCCTTTCTGTCTCTCCACCTTTCTGTGTATCTGACTTTCCACTAAAAAATAAACTAAATTTAAAAAAAAGAGATTTATTTTGGGCCCCGCTCTACAGCTTAGTGGCTAAAGTCCTCACCTTGCACGTCTGGGATCCCATATGGGCGCTGGTTTATATCCCAGCTGCTCCACTTTCCTTCTAGCTTCATGCTTGTGACGCTGCACCCATGCGGGAGACGCAGAAAAAGCTGCTGACTCTTGGTTTCAGATTGGCTCAGCACCCCTGATAACGGCTACTTGGGGAGTAAACCAGCGGATGGAAGGTCTTTTTGTCTCTCTTTCCCTGTGTAAATCTGATTTTCCAATAAAAATTAGTAAATAAAAAGATTTTTTTTTTTTAATCGCAAAGGCAGGCTTACAGAAAGATCTGCTGGTTTAGTCCCCAGATGGCTGCAATAGCCAGTGTTGAACCAATCAAAGTCAAGAGCCAGGAGCTTCTTCTGGGTCTTCCACAAGTGTTAGTTATTTGAAAAAGTTAGAGTGCTGGTTTTTATGATATTATTACACACAGCTAATTCCTGCAACCTGGTTCTTTACTGTGAGCTGAAAACACCAGACGCAACGAGGTATCTTAGGAGATTTATTCCAGCGGGGCAGGAATGGGATGGGGTGGTGTGGAGGCAAGGAGGAAGGGGGAGGAAGAGGTGGAAGGAGGCCAGAAGGAGAAGAGAGATAGAGCCACACGTGGGGGCCCTTTTGTTGCTCAGGTGAGCCTGCAAGGTGTGGGGGCTGGGATTGGGAGGGCTTGAGGACAGGTACCAGGTGATTACTTAAGAATGATTGGTAAGTGGGCGGAGTTGGGAATGGGTCTGGGGGTTTGGGGGTGGGATTCTCTGGTGAAATGCCTGGTTGGTGGAGTGAGCTGTGAGGAAGAGGAAATGGGTCCAGGGTGAGCTATTCGAATAACTCCTTACAACAAGGGTACAGAGTCCCAAGGACTTGAGCCAGCTTTTGCTGCTTTCCCAGGCCATAAGCAGGGAGCTGGATAGGAAGTGGAGCAGTTGAGATATAGATAGCACTATATGATATTCCAGTGCTATAGTATGCTTTTTCACCTTGCCATCCCCACCTTGAACTTTATATATGATAGAGTAACAGAGAGTGAGGGAGTGACAGAGGAAGAAGGAAAAATGTCTCGTCCACCGGTTGATTCTCCAATTAGCCGCAAAAGCCATCTCTGGACCAGGCCAAAGCTCAGGGCAAGGAACTCCACCCAGGCTCCCCCTTTGGGTGGCCAGGGCCCAAGCACTCAGGTCATCGGCTCTGTCAGTTGCTTCAGTAAAGAGCTAAATCAGCAGGAGAGCAATTAGGACCTCGAGCAGCACTCCCATACCAGATAATGACATCATACGATCAATTTGTATATCATAACTCAGAAGGTTAAATTGCAGAAGATACTTTCATGTCCAACATTAGACTGCCTGGGTGTGACTTCTGTTTCCTGTTCCTGACTATGGCTTTCTGTTCATACATACCTTGGGAGGCAGCAACTGATGGCTTAGAACTTGATCCCTGCCATTCGCAAGGGAAACCTGAGTGAATTCCAGGCTCCTGATTTTTGCCTGGCATAGCCCTGAATTGTTTTTTTGCCTGGCATAGCCCTGAATTGTGTTTAGTGATTCAGCAGCAGGAGCTATATCTGTGTCTGTCTTTAATCTCGGTAAACATTCTCTATGTCCACCTGTCCATTGTGTACTCTCCTTTTTAAATTTAGTTAGTTACCTTTAATTTCATGTGAAAGAGGCAAACAGATACCTTCTATCTAATGGATAACTCTCCAAAATTCTTGCCACAACCAAGACGTGACCAGGTTGAGCTCAAGAACCTGGAACTCAGCTCAAGTCTGCCATGTATGTGGCAGGGACCAAGCAGTCGAACCTGTTAAAGTGTGTCTTAGTAGGAAGCTGGAGTAGAAGCAGAGGGGCTGAAGCTCAAATGCAGGATGTCTCATATTCGATGCTGGCATTGTAAGCATCATCTTGACCCTGCCCTAACACCTGCTTCCACGGTACACTTAACTCTTGACCTGGTGTTACAAGCAAACTGTGTATTTTTCTTCTAGGTTCCAGCACCAGAGCAAGTTGAAAAATGTGGTGTGAGCAATATAACGGAAGCCAAACTCGTTGTTTTCCTGACATCAACATTTATTAAGGTAATTAAGAATTTATAAATCATTAATATGATTTCCATTTAGGACACCTCTTTGTAACATCAGATAATTCTAATTATAATTATACTGTTCTGAAGCACTATGGTTTGTAATTGAAAACTTAATATGTTAAGTGATAGCAGAGAGTGGAATTTTTTTTTTTAATTCTGAGTGAGTTTTGTATGGTAGTGGCATATAAGCTTTTACACTGTTGGAATCCTCTAACAATCAAAGGATAATCACTACCTGAGGATAGATATTGACAATAGATTTTCAGCAAATTAAATAATTGTGTGTACTTCTTGAGATAGCTTCATCTGTTAAAACATATATTAATGTTTATGATACTATAAATATTTGATTAAATTTAGTAATGCTAAAATTGAAAGTCAGGACTTTTTACTTTAAATTTTGTTCTTTTCTGTTCAGGCCGGATGTAATCCCTCTGATATTGGTATCATTGCACCGTACCGACAGCAGTTAAAGATCATCAGTGATTTATTGGCACATTCTTCAGTTGGCATGGTGGAAGTAAACACAGTAGACAAATACCAAGGAAGAGACAAAAGTATTGTCCTTGTGTCTTTTGTTAGAAGTAATAAGGATGGAACTGTGAGTTTATTGGGATATTTCTTTCTTTTTATAAGTTGTTTAAAAAAGTAAAGCTACCATCTCGATCCTTTTTAAGTGTATGATCCCAGTGTTCAGCTTATTTATATTGCTGATCCAGAGATCTCTAAGACTTTTTCATTTTACAAATCTGGGATTCTATACACAGAGCCAGCTCTCATTTCCTCCTTCCCTCTGCCCCAGAACCACCATTCTCTTGTCTCTGGATTTGACAACTCAGGTACTTCATAGTAGTAGAATTGTATACTATTTGTGTGGCTGGCTTAGTTTTACTTAGCCAGCAACTTCCATATTGTAGCATGTGACATTTCTTTTTTAAAAAATGAATTTTCAGTTGATACATAGAAGTTGTAAATGTTTATGGCATACCATCTGATGCCTTAATACATGTGTACGTTGTATAGTGTCCAAAGTAAACATATCTATCGTCTTAAACATTTATCATTTCTTTATGGTGAAAGCATTCAAAAACCTTTCTGCTAGCTTTTTAAAAGAGAAATATGCAGTACGTTATTGTCCGCAGTTACTCTGTTGTACTGTGCAACACCAGAACTTTTTACTCCTATCTTATCTTAGTGCCTCCCTCTGCTCTCCCCAGCCTCTGGTGGCTGTTATGCTCTCAACTTCCGTGAGATAACCTTCTCAGACTCTACATATGAGTGAGATTATGTGGCACTTGTTTTCTGTGCTTGGCTTATGTCCCTTAACACGGTGACCTCTAGTTCCATTCAGATTTCTACAGATGACCAGCTTTCCTGCTTCGTAGTATTGTATTATATAAAAGGCCATTTACTTCCTTCCTTCTTTCCTTTCTTCCTTCCCTCCCTTCCTCCTTTGTTCCTTCTTTCTTCCCTCCCTCTTTCCTTGCTTGCTTGCTTGCTTTCAGATTTTATGTTCTCTGAAAGGCAAGAGTGACAGAGATGGGGAGAGGCAGAGTAGTAGAGATCTCCCATATGCTGGTTCACTCTGCAGAACGCTGGAAGAACCAAGTCTGTTCCTGAGTGAAGAGAGGAAACAGTCTCCCCATGTGGGTCCAGGAGCCCGAGTGGAAGATTTGTCATCTTCCACTGCTTTCCCAGTTACATTAGTAGGGGGCTGAATTGGAAGTAAAGCAGCTGGGACTTGAACTGGTATCATATGGGATGTCATTGTTGCAGGTGGCGGCTTAATGTGCTGTGCTATAATGCCAGCCTTGGACACATTTTCTTTATCCATTTATCAGTTGACAGACACTTAGGTTGTTTCATTTCTTGGCTGTTATGAATAGTACTAAAGTAAACACAGGAGTGAAAATGTCTCTTGGACAGATTAATTTTATTTCCCTTGGAAATATACGCAGGAGTGGGCTTCCTGGGTCACACAGTGGTTGTACTAGCTCTTGAGGGACCTGCACCCTCTTTTTCTCGATGGCTGTACTAATCTGTGTTCCCAGCAGTGCCGTGCAAGGGCTTCCTCCTTTCCTCACCAGCACTTTCTGTCTTGATGGTAGCTCATACAATTAGAGTGTGCGAATTTCTCATTGTGACTCCTGTGTGCATTTCTCTGATGATTAGTGATGCTGATCATTTTTTCCTGCTTCCTTTTCAAGTCTGAATAATTCTAGGTCTTTGTTTTTTCATTTGTATCTCTCACCTTCTCAGTTCTTATATATATTCATATATTGGGATTTCTGGTAACCGAGATAATATACACAGGATTGTGAGCTTTGCTGGTTCCACTTAATTGGCTTGGCCATCTTGCCAAGTGGGTTTGTACACAGAAACCAGTTTCATTCTGTTGTGACGGTTGTGCTGTTGTCCATTGGATAAATGTGTCACAATATACTCAACCATTCCCTAAATCTTTCAGTGTTACGGCTTTTTACTACTATTACAGCTGGGGCTACAGTGAGTGGAGATGACATCAGTCATTTATTTTTAGCATATGTAATTATTGATTTAAAGTCATGACTATAGGGTATCACAACATAAAAATGCATTACATTAATACTGTGCACAAGGGTTTCCAACTGCCTAGCATTTGCAATGTGTTTATGAATCTTTCTGGGAATTTGTATCTGAAAGAAAGAAAATAGGGCCTAGCGTGATGGTTCAATTGGTTAATCCTCCATGTCCAAGCTCAGGGATCCAATGTGGGTACCCGTTCATGTCCCGGCTGCTCCATTTCCCATCCAACTCCCTGTTTGTGGCCTGGGAAAGCACTCGAGGACAGCCCAAAGCTTTGGGCCCTTCCTGGCTTCGGATCGTCCCAACTTTGGCTGTTGCAACTACTTGGAGAGTGAATCAGTAGATGGAAGATCTTTCTCTCATCTTCTTTCTGTAAATCTCCCAGTATAATAAAAACAATTTTTTTTTTTTAACAAAGTAGGAAAATAATTCAAGACAATTATGTTCTTTTTCAGGACAAAAGAAAATATAATAAGAAGTTTGAAATAACTGAAAATGTTATTCCCTTACAGCTTGGTGAGCTCTTGAAAGACTGGCGCCGTCTTAACGTTGCTATAACCAGAGCCAAGCACAAGTTGATTCTGGTGGGCTGTGTGCCTTCACTCAACCGCTACCCTCCCTTGGAGAAGCTGCTTTGTCATCTAAACTCGGAAAAACTCATATCCTTTTAGTCATGAGCACATTTGATTTTGCTACAGTGAGCATTTAAAATGTGCTTGTGTGCATGAAAGCTCTGTATGTTTTCCATGGGTCTGTTTCAGAGAGCTGACTGTCCGAAGGAAATAGAAAACAATTCACTGCAGATAATGTTAGGCCAACAGTTCAAGCAGGAAGTGGACAGAGAAGAATGTTCATAAAACAGGGGAGGAAAAGAGGCACTGGATGCCTGGTCCTGGGACCAGCTCTGGTGGGATGCTTGCACAGCCATTCTGGCCCCCCACCCCAAATTTAGTTTTTTGAAAAATCTAGGACAAACCCATTGTATTAAAAAGTGAAAAATTGTCCCTTATAATATAGCAGGTTAATTTTTTGGTAGATGATTTTAAGTACCTAACTTATGTGTAGAATGCTATAAAGATCTTTACCCCTCCCCCTTTTTTTGCTCTGATACAAGCCAAATTACAAAATGTTAAATAATAATGTCATAAGAGTTTTAATGTATCTTCCTTAATTTCTTTTACATCATGGACCTTCCATCAAGAGAGGATGAAAGTCTTTGCTACGTCCTGGGTGATATTCAAAGAGGATAAAGAACTGTTTTCTTAGGAAAGGATTGTCACACTAGCTAGGCCTGGTATTTGAAATCTGAGTGTGAGGTGAAAGCAAGGCCTAGTTAAACTGTGAAAATAACACGTACCCAAAGGGTACAAAATGAGGGAAATGCACTGTGTTCAGTGTTTTAGTAGCTTATTTATTTATTTTTCTGGAAGAATCTTACTAAACCTGGAAATCCTACTGCCAAACCTGTTTAACAGTGTTTTTGTAGAATAGGTTTACCCCAGGCTATATAAAGTCTGAATTCATCAGTTCTATAAATGAATTTGTACATTATCTAAAGAAATATTTAAAATTTTAACCCCTTTCAAGATGGATTTACTTTGAATCTGAACTTTATAAGCTTTAAAATTTTATCACTAATTTTGTCAAATGTTTGTGAAATTTTATTTGAAAGGTGATATAAAGTTGATTTGTCTTTACAATCTAAACACAATCTGTTATGAAATTGTACAAGCGACCCCTCTGTTATTTGAGGTCCTTGGTCCAAAGGCTATTTTGCCAGTTTTTTCCCCCCTGACTTTGCTTTATGGTATTAGATAAGTTTTTGCCTTAAGCCTGGTGTTCTAAATTATAATTGTGAATTGATTGCTTCCAGTTCATTTTGTATTTCCCTGTGCTATCCTCCTTTTTTATTTTCAATCATCAGAATTCCGGGGGTAGATTTTTATATGAAAGAACACAATTCATAATTGTCTTTGAACAGAATCCTTTTCTAAATTGATAAATTGAAAAGGCATAGCCCTGTTTTCACTCCTTCACATTGACTTATTCCCTAGTTGGAACCTTTCTCAATTGTTCTGATGGTACAAAACAGCTATTTCAAAGTGATGCATTGTGTGTGGTAAGGGAGTTTACCTCAGTGTGTCCATTTCCTGGTGGGAAAGCAGTCCCTCTCTTTGAGGGCTTTTTTGTTGTTGTTGTGTTAAAATACTTGCTTCTACCTCTTTTTTTTTTAAAGTTAAGTTGTTAGTTAATAAATTTTTTCTACTGATTTTACCCAGTCAATTCATTGTTACTAATTAATAATGATTACTTTTAGGGTTGTTTGACATCTTTTTATTTGTGGTAGGTGAGGTATTGGTCCTGCCTTATATAGCTGAACCGAAGAGTGCTGATCCTATAAGAAGGTATTTATTTTTTAAGGTGTATTTATTTATTTGAAAGGCAGAGTTATTGAGAGTGACAGAGAATCTGTCTGTTGGTTCCATCCCCAAATAGCTGCAACAGTTGGAGCTGGCCAGGCTGAAGCCAGGAGCCTGGGACTCCCTCTAGTTCTCCCACGTGAGTGGCAAGGGCCTAAGCACTTGGACCATTTTTGCTGCCTTGCCAGGCACATTATCAGCATCTGGGGAGTGGAACAGCTGCAATTGGAATCTGCATTCCTTTTCAGACACTTAACCCGCTGTGCCACGTTGATGGGCTCTATAAAGAGAGCTGTGAGGGAGGCACAGGATGGGTTTGATCATGTAGAGGTAACAGATCATAGTTGCTGTGATGGAGCTTAAGGACTGGTTAGATATCACTCATGTGCTGTGATTCAGGGAGAAAGCTCAACTGATCTCAGATCCTGGGAGTGAGATGAGCAACATGATTCTTTGGGTTTAGTCAGGAACAGCTTCCTTACAGGACCTGAAAGTCCCATGAAGACCAGGGGGAGCAGCTGCAGCTTCCTGTCATTTTGGATGCTTTAGTCACAGCATCCTAGCCTTTTCATCATCTGAGAATTTAGCATTTACTTGCTGTGGCCAGACGCTCAGAGTGGAAGGTTAAACCCAGAGCAGGCCCTCTAGGGGCCCCAGTGCAGCGCAGGTGTATCATCCATGCTAAGGACCAAGGACCGCAGTGGCCACCAACCACTGTCATTTTGGGGGATCCCACTGTGTGCACTCAGATCAGTGTCACCATTCACCTAGAGGAGGTGTTCCTCATGAATGGGTGAAGCCAGGGTGGGGATGCAACACAGCCGTTCTGTGGCTTCCTCCATACTTCATTTTGTGCCTCCTGAGCCTTCCCTGCTCCCACTCAATTGCTTTTCTCATCGTGCTCTCAAAGGCAAGTGCTCCCTGGAGCTCTGTGTCCAGTGTGGTCCCCTTCTTTGTCCCTGGAGAGTCACTGGCTGCAGCCTTCACCTGGGTGGCTCTTTGCCAAGCCTGTATCCACCCTGTCTTCCAGGCTGTGGTTATATAACTGCCTTCTAGTTCATTGCATAGAAAATAGAGATTTCTGTTTTCATCCAATGCCTTACTCTTGTGATCTCTATTTCTGTAAATGGCACCGTTTTTCTCACAGCTCTCTGGTCTTAAAAGGCTTGGCATGATTTTGCTTTCTTTAAAACATTTTTTCATTCTAATTGCAGAGAAGTACATGATTTTTGTGAAAATTTTGAACAGTGAAATTCATTTCACATTAAGAAATGACATTTCTTAAGATTTTTTTGTTTGAAAGAGTGACAGAGATCTTCCATCTGTTGATTCACTTCCCAGATGTCCACAGTAGCCAGGCCCGGACAAGGTACAACCAGGAACTCCATCTGGGTCTCCCACTTGGGTAACGGGGACCTGAGTACTTTGGCCATCATCTGTTGTCTGCCAGGCACATGAGGAGGGAGCTGGATCACAAACATGATCCCAAATCTCCCAATATAGAATGTGGGATCCCAAGCAGCAGGTTCACCTACCCTGCCACAATTCCTACACCAAGAAATATATATATGTATATATATGATTCATTTATTTCCATTAGAAAGGCAGCTTTAAAAGAACGCAAGACAGAGAAAGATCTTCCATCTGCTGGGTTAGTCTCCAATTGGCCACAAAGGCCAGAGCTGAACCAATCAGGAGCCAAGAGCTTCTTCCGGGTCTCCTCCTTAGATGCAGGATTCCAAGGCTTTGGGCCATCCTCTACTGCTTTTCCAGCCATAAACAGGGAGCTAGATGGGAACTGGAGTGGCAGGATATAAACTGATGCCCAGAGGGGATGTCAGTACATGGAGGTGGAGGATCTGCAAGTTGTAACATGCCAAACCCCAACGTATAACATTTGAGAAAAAGATTTCAAATCTGCTAGTTCATTCTCTTCAAACATCTGTGATGGTTGGGGCTCTGCCAGGCCAAAGCTGGGAGCAAGAACCCATTCCAATTCTTTAATGCCGAGAGACTTTCTACTTGAGCCATCACTCCTGCCTTCAAGATCTGCAATACTAAGAAATTGGATTCAAGAGGTGGATCCAGGTACTTTAATGTGGGATATGGATATACTAACCTGCCTTTTAACTGCTGGGCCAAATGACTGCCATAGGAGGTATCTTACATCATGACTCAGTATGTGCATGTGTGTACCTGAAGCAACACTTCTATAAATCTTCTAGATGTGATACATCCTGATATTCCCTAGTCTAGTCCATTAAAAATCAGTTTCTGCGGAGATTGTGCAATGGTTCAGTTGGCTTATCTTCAGCCTGCAAACACTGGCATCCCATATGAGCATCGACTGTGTCCATATGTGTCCTGACTGCTTCACTTCCTATCCACCTCCCTGCTTGTGGCATGGGAGAGCAGTACAGGATGGTTACAAAGTCTTGGGACCTTCACTTATGTGGGAGACTCAGAAGAGGCTTCTGCTTCCTGGCTTTGGATTGACTCAATTCTGAATGTTGCAGCTATTTGAGGAGTAAGCCAGTGACTGGAAATCTTTGTGTCTCTTTTCTCTGTAAAAATCTGCGTTTCCAATAAAAACAAGTCTTAAAAATTAAAACTGATTGCAACCTATTAAAATTGCTTTCACAGCCCACTAATAGGTTTGAGCCCATGGCTGTAATAGATATTCTTTAATTCTGACTTGTATAGTATTATAACCATATAAACTTTTTTTTGGAGAGTAAGATAACGGCAGAAAAATGGAAAGAGCTTTCAGCTGTTGGACCAAAGCCTGGAGTTGGGGAGGAATCCAGGTCACCATGTGTATGGCAGGAACCCAGCTACTCGAAACATCACTGCTGATTTCCAGAGTCTGAGGCAGGAAGTGAGGCAAGAGCCAAAGCAAGGGGCTGAGCCCAGGTCCTGGCTGTGGGGAGTTAGCCACCCGTGTTGGAGGATCTTTCACTGTATTACTGTGTTTCAAGCAGTTTTTAAGATTTATTTTCATTGGAAAGTCAAGATTTACATAGAGGAGAGACAAGGGAAGATCTTCTGTCTGCTGGTTCACTCCCCAAGAGCTGAGCTGATCCAAAACCAGGAGCCAGGAACTTCTTCCCAGTCACCCACACTTTGGTGCAGGGTCCCAAGGCGCTAGGCCATTTTCCATTGTGTTCCCAGGCCACAAGCAGGGAACTGGTTAGGAAGTGGAGCAGCTGGGAAAGCAACCAGTATCCATGTGGGATCCAGGCACAAGCAAGGTGAAGAGTTCACCACTAGGCTATTGCACCAGGCCCTCAAACAATTTTTAACTGCCAGGCCTTTTATGCTCCCTAAACCATACTTTTTTGCCATTCTCTGCATTTCTTTTCCCATTTGTTATGTTTTCTGAGTTTTTGTATTCTTTCAATTTTTTTTAAAAAAGAGTAACGGGGAAGAGAACCTTTCCAACCACTGGTTTACTCCCCAGATGGCTCTAATGGTTGGGGCTGAGGCAGGTTGAAGACGAGCTGAAAGGGCACCTCCTATGGACTATCAGCATCCCACACAGCAGCTTAATTTGCTAAACCACAATCCAAGCCCATTTTACATATTTTTATTCATTATGTCATAATGAAGGGGATTTAAAGCCCAGAGGGTTTTTTTTGTTTTTTTGTTTTTTTTTTTTTAAGATTTATTTTATTTGGAAAGGCAGATTTTAGAGCAAGAAGAAGAGACAGAGAAAGATCTTTGGCTAACTCCCCAAATAGCCACAATGGAGCTAAGCTGATCTGAATCCTACGGCTAGGAGGTTCTTCCATGCCTCCCACGTGGATGCAGGTTCCCAAGGCTTTGGGCCAGGCTGTTTTCCCAAGCCACAGCAGGGAGCTGGATGGGAAGTGGGGCAGCCGGGACACATACTGGGTTCCATATAGGATACTGGTTCTCGCAGGTGGAGGATTAGCCAGTTAAGCCACTACACCAGTCCCGAAAACGCAAAGATGTTTTTAAAAAATAAACAATTTTATACTGGTCAGAGAGAGGCTGGACAACTACAGGAAATACATGGATCTATTTTCTAGCTCACCAGCATTCCGCAGCTGCAGGTGTAACCAGGTATTCCCAAGCTGATACAACAGCCTGGTGTGTCTCCTAACCTTGAAGCTTTTTTAAACTTCTGCCTGCCTGAGACAGGAAACACTAGTTTCACCTGTAGCCCCTCAGGAACCTGCAGCTCCCGGTGGACTTAACCACCGTGATCTGGGGCTGTCTACACAGTTTCGGCACATTTCTGCCACTGTTAGCTGCTTTGCAGTTTCTAAATCCTTTTGGGTCCTCCGGGAGCTCGTGAAGGGGCAAGGAAGGAGGTCAGCTGTGCCGAGCTCGCCACAAACCTTGGATGATGGCAGCGTTTACAGTGACTCCAGCTACCTGGCAAGTCCAGCCCCCGCGACTGGCGAAAGGCCCTGGGCGACCCACTGATGGTCTGCAGGACCCAGGCTCCAGCTCCGGGTCCTCACACAGAGGCGAGCCTCACGTTCCTGGCTTCTCCGGGCGGCCTGAGCAGGTCCCACCCCGCGCCTGCTGCACCCTCCACCGGCCCCAGCCCCACCCGGGCGCCGCGGCCCTCCGCAGCCGCACGATGTCCTCCCGCCGCCGGGGGCGCTGTGGGCCGCACAGGGACCCCTGCAGATGCGGTGGTGGCCGCCCAGCGCCTGCGGGGAGCTGCTGGCCAGGCCCGGGGAGGCCCTGCTCGCGACCGCGACGCTGCCATGGGTAAGGGGAGCGGGCCAGGGACGGAACCCCGGCCCTACGTCCCGGGCTGCAGAGCGCCTGGTCTAAGGGGTAGCTGGGAAGCCGAGCACTGAGGCCGCCAACTCCTCGTCGGGGCCCGAATCTGGGGTGGGCGGGGGCAGCCCGGGACTCGGGGGCTCCCAGGGTCGCCATGGCAACGCACCCCCCTCGTTTTCCTTCCCGTCCCCGCCTCCACCCTGGGGCCCAGTGGCTGAGGACTTGGGGTCCGCCGGCTTCGTGGGAGTGGGCCGGCCTGGGCGTCTCCGGGTGGAAGAACACTCGAAGACAAGCCATGACTTTCCAGGTTTGGGGGTGGCGGAGGGAAGACGCAGCTCAGGCCTCAGCCTGGGCTGCCGACGCCGAGGGCGGCAGAGGGGGAGCGATGCCGTGCAGGACGCTGGGTGAGCCTGCCGTAGGGTCGTGGGGGAGGCTGCAGGCCTTTGGGTGGCCTTGGGGTAGGGGCAGAAGACCGGGGGCTGCAGCCCTGGGCTTGCCTGGTCCTTTGCGGCGTCTGGGCGCACCTGCGGCCCGGCTGGGGCGTGGCCCCTCGGCGGGTGCCCTGCTGCGGCTACTTTCCAGCAAGCCGCAAAGCCGCCCTTTGTATAGCGGTCGCGTGGCGCTTTGCTGTGCTGATGGACACTGATCAGAAAAATGACAATGGCCATGAATCATGAGACATCAGGTCGCTTCGCTCCCTAGAATAAAGGGGGAGCCATAGCACCGTAGTGGGTAGCGACATTTCCCACCGCCTGCTGGGTCCTCACAGGTGCAGCCACGCTCTGCCCAGGATTCTGTGGCCGATTTCACGCCCGACTGAATTCAGAATTAGAGTACTAAATCCTTGTAAACTCTGGGGTTTGTGTCCGGTGGCAGGGGCAGAGGGGAGAGATATGGAAACCTTGCCTAGTTGGATCTTTGAATTTGTCAAGAGATTATGCGATGTTATACTTGGTGCTTTCTGCATCTCAGGTTTTATTTTTAATCTTCTCTAGTGTTTGTTTTCCTCTGCTTGGAGAAAGATCTTGTATCTGCTTGTTTATTCCCCAAATGCCTGCAAGAGCCGAGAGCCCAGAACTCCTGCAGGGTCTTCCATGTGGGTGGCAGAGACTCAAGCACTTGGGAAAAATCTGCGTTCTAGCATGCTTTAGCAGGAAGCTGGATGAAAACTGTGGCTTACTCCACTACACCACAGTGCCTGCCCTCACTCAGTTTTGTCATCGCTTTCTGCTGTCATCTGGTAATTCTTGCCAGGCAGCATCTGAATGTCTAAGTAACCTGAGAATAAAATTTGTTGGAAAGAAAGTATTTTCATAAACTGACAATAGTAATCAAAAATAAGGGTTTTTCTTGAAGTGCTTCTGTTAACGTGGTAGCACACTGTGTGGAAAAGCAGAGCACTTTAGAAGTCATGTAATACAGGTAGCTAGTGCTGTGGCTCCACAGGCTAATCCTCCACCTTCAAGTGCCGGCATCCCATATGAGTTCTGGTTCAAGTCCTGGCTGTTCCACTTCGCATCCAGCTCCCTGCCTGTGGCCTGGGAAAGCAGAAAAGGATGGCCCAAGAGTTTGGGACCCTGCATCCATGAGAGAGACCCAGAAGAATTTCCAGGGGGGCAGCTCTGCTCAGCTGCAGTTGTTACAGCCATTTAGGATGTGATGCAGAGAATTTAAGATCTTTCTGTCTTTCCTCTCTGCACCTCAGACTATCAAATAAAAATAGTTAAGTCTTAAAAAAAAATCATGTTATGCAGAGTAACAGTGAGAATGACAAAGCAAGACAATTAAACTGGAAAATGGAGTCACTTCCATTTTTCTGGATTTCCTGGTGTATCTTACCTATTTTGTTTGTGATGGGTTGATATAAGAATCTTAGAATTGTAAGTGCTTTTTACTGTTAGTTGAAATTCTTCAGATAGTGCCTGCTATGCAGCTTTCACACGAGACCCTTTGACCTGTTGTCTGTGACCTCCAAAGAAAATTATTTTTCAGTCTTTGTGGAATGAAAACACAGGACAGTACAAATTTGCAGGGCTCAAGCGTCACTTGGAAACCTTGGTGCTGCGGGCAGGGTAGTCTTTCTCCGATATGTGTGAGAGAATCATGAAGAAAAGTTATCTAGGAGTGTGTTTTTATTCAAACTGTTCAGGTCCCACAGCCTCCAGAAGAAGCAAGCCGCTGTCGGTTTCACTGGGGAAGGGGGCGTTAGGCTGTTTCTCGTTGCCTTGCCGATGCTGTTGGACTGCCTTCTTGTGTTTTCAGCTACGAGAGACCCCACAGCTGTGGAGAGAGCCAACTTGTTGAACATGGCTAAGCTGAGCATCAAAGGCCTCATTGAATCTGCCCTGAGCTTCGGCCGCACTCTGGATTCTGACTACCCGCCCCTGCAGCAGTTCTTCGTTGTTATGGAACACTGCCTGAAACACGGGCTTAAAGGTACCTCCAGACCGAGCAAAAACAGTGATCGCAGAGCCCTCCACCCTGCCATCTTTCCCAGTCCACAAGCAGGAAGCTGGATCTGATATAGCTGGGGCACAAATCAGTGCTCACATGGGATGCCGGCATCACAGGCAGATGCTTAGTCTATTATGCCTCAATGCTGGCCCTTACCCTTTTCACCTTAAATAGCCTTGAAAATGTAGAATTTGGGTTTTTTTTTGGTCATAATTACTGTTATATGAAATTTAAAAATACTGAGTAGGTTATTTGGGGAAAAAACATCTTACTGTTAATATTTTATGGAAACCATATTTGATTGTTGTTTTTATTATACATACTCTGAACTGGTTTTGATGTTTTGGGACAATTATAGAGGTATTTGTAAAAATTTTAAGATTTAGGGCCCAGGGCCTAATGTGGTAGCCTAGTTGCTTACGTCCTTACCTTGCATGCACCAGGATCCCATATGGGTACCAGTTTCGTGTTCCAGCGGTGCTGGTTCCCATCCAACTTCCTGCTTGTCGCCTGGGAGAGCAGTAGAGGATAGCCCAAGGCCTTGGGACCCTGCACCCGTGTAGGAGACTCGGAGGAGGCTCTTGGCCCCTGGCTTTAGATTGGTTAGCTCTAGCTGTGGTGGCCACTTGGGAAGTGAATCAGTGGCTGGAAGATCTTCCTCTCTGTTTCTCCTCCTCTCTGTGTATCTGCCTTCCCAATAAAATAAAATAAATCTTAAAAAAAAGGAGGGATCCAGATATATTTCTTTTTTTTTTTTTTCCTTTTTGTTTTCTTCCAGATGTATTTCTGATGTAGGAGAAAAAAAAAACCCTGGTAGGATAGGTATCGGGCTCATGATGGGGCTGCACAGGGATTAAAAGAAAGGAAATATCTCTAATTGGATGCTGGACAAAACATGTTGAAACTAGATATTTAAGAAGTCACTACAGTTTTATAGGCTGACATTGTGTGCATTGTATTTTCTATACTTTTTTTTTCAGTAAGAAAATCATTTTTGAGTTATAACAAAACCATCTGGGGCCCTTTGGAGCTAGTGGAGAAGCTATATCCAGAGGCCGAAGAAATAGGAGCCAGTGTTCGGGATCTACCTGGCCTGAAGTAAGCAAGTCTGTTCCTGCGTACCCCTGACCCCGGGCGCCGGCGCACCCCTGACCCCGGGCGCCGGCGCACCCCTGACCCCGGGCGCCGGCGCACCCCTGACCCCGGGCGCCGGCGCACCCCTGACCCCGGGCGCCGGCGTACCCCTGACCCCGGGCGCCGGCGTACCCCTGACCCCGGGCGCCGGCGCACCCCTGACCCCGGGCGCCGGCGTACCTCTGACCCTGGGCAGGAGAGCTGCTGTGCTCACGCGTCACTCTTGCTCCCCGTCTCTCAGTAGCATGCCCCCTCCTCTCTTCTGTTGATAAAATTCTGTGTGTTCGTTATGGTTCAGCTCCGGTTCTATTTCCTTTATGAAGTGTCTCTTGACCCCTTGAATAATAAGTAACTGCTTTTTTTTTTTAAGGCTCTTATCATAATATTTCCTACTTTATCACTCACTTCAGTTCTGCCCTGTATTGCAGGCAATTACATGTCTCTTTTAGATAGAGTGTAACAATTAAACACCTGTGTTTTTTAAGTGCAGAGCCAGTTGGCCCCTTGGGTAGGAATAACACATGCTGAAGATTGAACTGGGCTCGGTTCAGGGCACAGACCCAGGGGATGGCAGTTCTTAGATAAGTCATTTATGGATCATGGAACTCAGGCATGTTATTTTTGTGTGTCTAAAAATTGGGACCATCACATCTCCTGTTTGTTTTATCCAACAAATATATGTGTAATGTCCTAAAAACTTGAGTATTATAGTTAAGAACTCATGAATATTGAAATTGCTTTGCGTGCATAAAGTGTTAAGGCCAGCTTATTTGGGTGTAGTTAAAATGTAAGTGCTACCATTAGATTATCTTCATTCTTGTGAATGACTTGATTTTATGCTTAGCAATTTCTGATAGGTAATTTTGCTTTCTCTTAGATAGCTTTACACTTTAGAGTTCTATATTTTATAGGGAATAAGATAGTGTTTTCTTGCTGTTATTGCAGTATTCAGATATAAGTTGAACTTCTGTGAGTGATAAATACTGTTTATAATGAGACACTTTTTGGGAGCTGGCCTAGTGGAGTAGCAGGTTAAGGCACCATTTGTGATACCAGCATCCTATATGGGCACTGCTTTGTATCCTGGCTGTTCCATTAGTAGTTCAACTCCCTGCTAATGGCCTGGGAGAAGCAGAAGACGCCCAAAGAGCATGGGTTCCTGTAACTCTGTGTGAGTGCATGCATGCGTTGTGTGTGTGTATTCATGTGCCACATTGCCAGCCCCTAAATAATTTTTGTAAAAATTTGCATTAGGGGCCTGGTGGATATCCTGACTGCTGGATTTCCTGTCTACCTGCCCCAGCCCTGACTCTTACTGCAGTTTGAGGGTGAACCAATAGATGGAAGATATTTCTCTTGTCTCTCCACCCTCTCATTTTTCCTCTCCCACCTCTGTCAGTCTGGATTTCAAATTAAAAGGCAAACATTTTTTTTTTTAAAGATGTGTTTATTTATTTGAAATCCAGATACAGAGAGGGAGGGATTCCATTTGCTGGTACACACACCCCAAATGGCTACAGCAGGGAGGCAGCAGGAGATTCATCCGGGTCTCCCATGGATATAGGGACAAGTACTTGGGCCATCCTCCACTGCCTTGTCCAGGTTGTTAGCAGGGACCTGGACCGGAAGTGGAGCACCCAGGACAGTGATGCCATGTGGAGTGCCAGTGTTGGTGTCACAGCCAGTGGCAGCTTACTTGCTACACTACAACGATGCTGGCCCCTAAAGAAATCTTTAAATAACAAATTTGTACCACCTCCCAGGAATTTGTTTACATGCTTGAAAAATTACTTTAAAATTATAAAATTGGAAACAGAACCCTAAGAGAACACCTGTCTTTGTGAACGTGGAGCCCAGCAGCAGCAGAGCATGCAGTGTGTGTTCTCTGGGCCAGAACTGTCGTTCTGAGCAGTTGTTTGTTTCTAGGACCCCACTGGGTCGTGCAAGAGCATGGCTGCGGTTAGCCCTCATGCAGAAAAAGATGGCTGACTACCTGCGCTGCTTAATTATCCAGAGGGATCTCTTCAGGTGAGTAGCAGTAAATCAGGCTTATTTTCATTTGTTATTTCATCCCCATCCTGTTTTTCAAAAATGTTTAAGATGCAGTACAAAAGGCTATATAAATTAAAATAATATTGGCATGTAGTTTAAAAGAGGAGTTAAATGAGAAAGAAGAACACATGGTAGGGGATAACATGGATCAGGAACTAAACTAAAGTAAGAATATGGTAAGCTAATTTGCCGATAAGGAGAAATCTGCATATATTCCTAAGTTCACTTCATTCTGAATTATACTTGATTTTAGAGCTAAAACGTTATATGCAGTTGAATTTCTTTTCACATATTAAATTTTCAAATTTTGTCTTCAATTGTACTGTGGGCCCAATTTTTCTTTTTGAAGATGTATTCATTTATTTGAGAGACAGGTTAGAGGGGACGAAGAGGTCTTCAGCCCGTTCATTCACTCCATAAATGGCCACAGTGACCCAAGCTGTGCTGACCAAAAACTAGGAGCCAAGAGCTTCATCTGACCTCCCATGTGGGAGCAGAGGCCCAAGCACCCTGGCCATCTTCCACTGCTTTTCCAAGTACGTTAGCAGGGAGCAGGATAGGAATTGGAGCATCTGGGACTGGAACCAGTGCCCCAGTGTGATGCCAGTGCCACAGGTGGCAGCTTTACCCGCTGTGCCACGGTGTCAGATGGAGCCAATTTAAACAGAAAGCCATGTGTTTAGGACATACTTTGAATGAGTAGACCTGTGGCTGCCCTGCATTCATCCTTTTTGATGATGTGAAAAATTTGGTCCTGTTTTGGTTTTTACTTATGGCTCTGTTTTTACATCTTAGTTTTCCCATTTCTTAAATTCTAGCGACTGTCCTTGCTAGTGTTCTGAAGGTCAATTAAAATGATAATTAATAGTTGGAATTCTTAATTCTTAGACTGTCCTATTTCTTTCACAAGTCTCCGGTTTTAAATGTATATGTGCATATATAATATATATATTTTCTCTTTTGCTTCAAATTCAGATACAGAGAGAGAAGGAGAGACAGAGAGAGAAACTCCTATCTACTGGCTCACTCCCCAAATGACTGCAACAGCCATGCTGGGCCGGCCCGAAGCTTGGGGCTGGGAACTTCTGGATCTCACATGGGTGCCAGGACCCAAGGCCTTCGGCCACCCTCCACTGCTTTCCTAGATTACCAGCAGGGAGCTAGGTTGGAAATAAGACAGATGGACTCAAAGTAGCACCCTTAAGGGATGTTGGTGCCATAGGTAAAGGATTAGTTTGCTATGGCACCCCACTGGACTCACTTTTATATTTCTAAACAACAACAAAAGCAAATTCCTCTTGAGAATAATAATAAATAATTCCTAACAGGTTAATCCTCTGCCTGCAAGCATCAGGCATCAGTATCCCGTCTAGGCGCCTGTTTGTGTCCCGGCTGCTCCACTTGCGATCCGCTCCCCGCATATGACCTGAGAAAACATCTCAAGTGAACAAAGCTCACGTTTCACAATGCAGATTTAGGAACACAGTAGTATTTCCCACACTGACTACCTTCCTCCTGTCCTCCAAATTCCCCATCCTTCCTCTGTCTGCCTTCCTTCTTTTTTTCTTTTTGAATTTTTGCAAGGCATTTTGTTTGTTTGCTTCTCAGTCACAAACTTAACACTCCATTAGGTAAAGAATTCAATAGTTGGAAAGTAGGAACAAGCCCCTGGTGTTCCTAAGAGTATACAAAACTGTAAACAGTAACCAGTTCTCAAATTGTTAATCTTCCTGTAGATTACGTTTTTTTAAACTGTTTTATCAGTTATCATCAATTAGAGAAAACATAATATTTATCTTTTTGCGACTGACTTATTTCACTAAGCATAAGGTTTCTGGTTGTGCCCATTTCATTGCAAAAGACAGTTTTTTGCGCCCAGCACAGGAGCCTAGCCACTAAAGTCGTCGCATTGCATGCACTGGGATTCCATATGGGTACTGGTTCATATCCCAGCTTCTTCACTTCCCATCCAGCTCCCTTTATATGGTCTGGGAAAGCAGCTGTCTGAGGACAGCCCAAAGCCTTAGGACCCTGCACTCACATGGGAGACCTGCAGGAGGCTCCGGGTTCCTGGTTTCAGATTGGCTCAGCTCTGGCCATTGTGGCTGCTTGGGGAGCGAATTATCAGGTAGAAGATCTTCCTCTCTGTCTGTCCTCCTCTCTGTATATCTGACTTTACAATAAAAATTAAAATAAATCTTTAGAAAAACAATTATATGGGTCCGGCGCAATGGCACAGTGGTTAAGGTCCTCACCTTGCACGCCTGGGATCCCATATGGGTGCCAGTTCTAATCCTGGCCGCGCCGTTTCCCATCCAGCTCTCTGCCTATGGCCCGGGAAAGCAGTCGAGGATGGCCCAAGTCTTTGGGACCCTGCACCCGCGTGGGAGACCTGGAAGAGGCTCCTGGCTTCGGATTGGCTCAGCTCCAGCCGTTGCGGCCGCCTGGGGAGTGAACCATAGGACAGAAAATCTTCCTCTCTGTCTCTCCTCCTCTCTGAATATCTGCCTTTCCAATAAAGATAAAATCAAATTAAAAAAAAAAAAAGAAAAACAATTATATGGCTGAGTATATACCTTATTTTATGAGTCTTTTTGGACATTTCATAGAATATAGATACTCATAAGTATCTTTATCTTTTTTTTCTTTCTTACATTTTTAATTTTTTTGTATTTTTTATTGTTTCATAAATGTCTTTAAATGAGCCTTTTTTTCAAGATTTATTTATTTTTATTAAAAAGACAGAGAAGAGATAGAAAGAAAGAGCTTCCGTCCACAGGTTCACTCCCCAAGTGACTGCAATGGCTGGAACTGAGCCAATCTGAAGTTAGGAGCCTAGAGCTTCTTCCGGGTCTCAACTGTGGGTGTAGGTTCCCAAGGCTTTAGACCATCCTTGACTGCTTTCCCAGGCCAGAAATAGGAAGCTGGATGGAAATGGAGCATCTGGGAAATGAACCAGCGCCCATATGGGATCCTTAGGAATGCAAGGCAAGGACTTCAGCCACTAGGTTACCGTGCTAGGCTGTGAACCATCTTTTTTTTTTAATTATCTTTTTTTTTTTTAAAGATTTATTTATTTATTGGAAAGTCAGATATACAGAGAGGAGGAGAGACAGACAGGAAGATCTTCCGTCTGATGATTCACTCCCCAGGTGAGCACAACGGCTGATGCTATAGGGATCCAAAGCCAGGATCCAGGAACTTCTTCCGAGCATCCCACACACTTGCAGGGTCCCAAAGCTTTGGGCCGTCCTCAACTGCTTTCCCAGGCCACAAGCAGGGAGCTGGATGGGAAGTGGAGCAGCTGGGATTAAAACTGGCGCCCATATGGAATCTTGACGCGTTCAAGGCGAGGACTTTAGCTACTAAGCCACATTGCCAGGACCTGTGATCCATCTTTTAAGAACATTTATAATATGCCAATCAAATACATTGACTTGCACATGAGCTTTGAAATGTTTCATTTTTATATTCCATATTAGTTTTTATCCTAATAGTCTTAATGAATGTTAGAATTGAAAATTTATTAAGAATTCAAATATGGGCCCAACATAGTGGCCCAGTGGCTAAATCTTTGCCTTGCATGTACCAGGATCAAATATGGGTGCTGATTCATGTCCCAGGTGCTTGTTTCCTATCCAGCTCCCTGCTTATGACCTGGGAAAGGAATGACAGAAGAAGCCTTGGGACCTGCACTTGTTGGGGAGACCGGGAAGAAGCTCCTGGCTCCTGGCTTCAGATTGGTTCAGCTCTGGCTGTTTTGGTCACTTGGGAACATTTTTCTCTCTCTCTTCTTTATAAATCTGCCTTTTCAATAAAAATAAATAAATATATACATTTTTAAAAAGTCCTACCAGGATTTTTTGTAAGAGTTAGATTAGGATGGTAAATTGCTAATTTTGTGGAATTTTTCTAAGTCAGTTTTGTAATCTGATGCTTTTTCTTCTTTGGGTTTTGGCAGTGAGTTCTATGAGTATCATGCACTGATGATGGAGGAAGAAGGAGCAGTAATTGTCGGGCTGCTGGTTGGCCTGAACGTGATAGACGCTAACCTGTGTGTCAAGGGAGAGGACTTAGACTCACAGGTAAGTGGGAACAGTGACTGCTGGGAGCCTTGGCTTTTGGTTTGCAGTTTCCTGCTCGATTCAGATGCCGTTCTCAACAGTGCTGTGGAACACGAATGGCCACCTAAGAATGAAATTTCACTGATGTGTTTAAGGTACTTTAATCTGTGTTACTTCTTCCTTTTAAATAAGAATAACTTTGTTTGCTTCAGGTTGGAGTGATTGATTTTTCCATGTACCTAAAGAATGAAGACGATATTGGAAATAAAGAAAGGTATTTATTTTTTTTTTCTTTTTAAAATTTATTTTTTGGGGGCCTGGCGCAGTGGTCTAGCAGCTAAAGTCCTTGCCTCGAACGTACCGGGATCCCGTATGGGCACGGGTTCTAATTCCAGCAGCTTTCACTTCGCATCCAGCTCCCTGCTTATGGCCTGGGAAAGCAGTCAAGGACGGCCTAAATTCTTGGGGCCCTACACCCACGTGGGAAACCCGGAAGAAGCTTCTGGCTCCTGGCTTTGGATCTGCTCAGTTCCAGCCGTTGCACTCACTTGGGGAGTGAATTAACGTACGGAAGATCTTCCTCTGTGTCTTTCCTCCTCTCTGCATATCTGTCTTTCAAATAAAAAAGAATAAAATCTTAAAAAAAAAAAAAACAGTTGTTACATGAACATTAAAAATAAATAAATAAAGTTTATTTTTTTGAAAGTTAATGTTACGGAGAGAGAGTTTCCATTTTCTGGTTCACTCCTCTACTGGCCACAATGACCAGGGATGGGCAGGGCCAAAGCTGGGAGCCTGGAGCTTCTTCGGATCTCCCACAAGGATGCAAGGGCCAAGGAATCAGGCCAGCCTCTGCTACTTTCCCATGTGCATTAACATGGAGCTAAATCAAAGTGGAGCATCAGAACTTGAACCAGTGCTCATATGGAATACTCACACTGTAGGTGGTATCTTAATGTGCTATGGCACAGTGCTATCCCTGGTACGTTTTTTCTCATAAGTTATTCTGCATGTATTTTTTATGAGAATATAAAAAATATTTTAAAATGTATTTTTAAAATAAAAACGGAAACAAAAACTACATAACGGGTAAATGAATCTTTTGGTTATATTTTTTAGATTTATTTATTTTATTGGAAAGTCAGATTGAAACAGAGAGAAAGATCTTCCATCTGCTGGTTCACTCCTCAAGTGGCCACAATGGCCAGAGCTGAACCGATCCAAAACCAGAATCCAGGAGCTTCTCCCCAGGTCTCCCACGCAGATGCAGGGTCCCAAGGCTTTGGGCCGTCCTCGACTGCTTTCCCAGGCCACAAGCAGAGAGCTGAATGGGAAGTGGAGCAGCCGGGACACACCAGTGTTTATATGGCGTCCTCATGGTACATGCAAGACAATGACTTTAGCTACTAGGCTACTGCACTGAGCCCATTCTTTTTTTTCTCCTCTGTTTCCTACTTTCAGTTTTAGTTTTAATTTTAATCTTAATTTATTTTTTTACAACCTTTCTAAAGTAAATTCAGAAAAATGACTTAAAAGAAAGGGTGTTTAGGATAAAGTAGGACTTTTGATCAGATCTTATTTAGAGTCATTTTAATAGTGTAGTTTAGTCATCATGTTTTGTGATACAAGGGATGAATTTTCTTATTTAAGACTTTTAAGTGCTGATTTAGTTTGGAGCTTAATTATTTTCAAGTACATGAATTAGGGGCAGCACTGTGGCATTGCAGGCAAAGCCTTGGAGGTGCCAGTTCTTGTCTTGGCTGCCTTCCCTCTGACGGGGGTGATGGCCTTGTGTCCGAGCCCTGTTCTCAGGCGAGACATCAGCGTAAGGCTCCCGGCTCCTAGATTTCACCTGGCCCACTACCGACTGCGGCAGCCATTTGGGGAATGAACAGCAGATGGAAACATCTCTTTATTTGTCTCTCCCTCTCTCTTTGTAACCTTTTCAAAATAATCTTCAAAATAAAATGTAACTGTGTTAAATTTAAAATGAGCCAGTGATTTATTCAATAAAAGTTGGAGCTGGCACAGTTTACTGCTTGCCAAGTTCCTACAAAGATTCTTGAATTTAGTTTGAAAAACAAGGAAGTGCTGCTTCATAATTTTTACTTGTTTCTTTGCAACTAATAGATAACTTTATAACTGGCTACTTTTTCCCTCCCCATAGGAATGTGCAAATTGCTGCCATTTTAGATCAAAAGAATTATGTTGAAGAATTAAATAGACAACTAAAGTAAGTATCATGGATACTTATTGTGTTTATGTTTTTTTTAAACTTTTCTTTAAGGTCAGCTTGACCCAGTCTGTTCTTCCAAGCATCTTTGAGAAGTGATTGGGAGTCTAGATCCTGAAAATTAAGAATAGAGAGACTTACTGCTGATAGTTCATTTCCAGCAGGATGTGACTCAGATTTTTTTGTTAAGATTCATTTATTTTTATTGCAAAGTCAGATATACAGAGAAGAGGAGAGACAGAGAGGAAGATCTTCCATCTGTTGCTTACTCACTAAGTGGTCACAACAGCAGGAGCTGAGCCAACCTGAAGCCAGGAGCCAGAAGCTTCTTCCAGATCTCCCATGAGGGCACAGGGTCCCAAGGCTTTGGGTCCTCCTTGACTGCTTTCCCAGGCCACAAGCAGAGAGCTGGATGGGAAAGTGGGGCTGCCAGGATTAGAACTGGTGCCCATATGGGATCCCAGCGTGTTCAAGGCAAGCACTTCAGCTGCTAGACCAAGCTGCTGGGCCCCAGATAAATAAAATCTTTAAATCATTTTCTTACTTCAAAGGGTCTCCTCTGTAACTGTGGCCTTGTCACCAGTAGTGGTAGTTTCTGCGTTGTCTGATCTTTGAAGCCATTAATGACTGCCCTGGCTGAGAAAATGTCCAAGATTTTCGGACTAGTTTAGGACAGGCATTTGGCACAGTCAAGGCAACACTCGGGGCACACGTCTCCCCTGTTGGAGTGCCTACTCTGCCCTGGATTCCCACACCAGCACCCCTTGCCCTGGGAAGCAGCCATGGGATGCCTCTAGTACCTGGGGCCCTGCCATTCTCATGGGAGACATTCATTTCAATAATGTTTTATATAACCCAATATACCCTGAGTATTATGTCAATATAGTAAAAAAAATTTGATTTTTGACATTTTACATTCCTTTTTATGACAATTACTTCAAAATCTCAATCATTTACATTTATATCACATTCCAAGTCATGTTAGGCATGATTTACAATCTTGGTAGCCACATGTGAGTCATAGCAGCCATACTTTGAGCATAGAGATAGCAAGGCAGGATAGCAAGGACCCACATCTGCTCTCTGTATGGGATGTGGGCATCGCAGCAGCAGCTCACCTACGTGCCACAATGGCTGTGCCCCTTGATGTACAGTTTAGTAAATTCCAGCATAGTATCCATTCATGTTCTACTTAACAATGCAAAAAACAAGTGTGTTCATTTGGTATAACATAGTTTCTGTCTATATGCTTAAAAGAGAGAGTGTTAACAGAAAGGTGATCGGGTATCTCATATTCATATTTTTCAAATCATGGGCGAGTTGAACAATCTCCAAGGTGTGGAAATAGAAGGGGAAAATAGACTCAATCTTGAACTGCACATCGTTGGATATATGCTTGATTAAAGCTATGTAATTATAAAGTGAGTGTGTGAAGTTCAACTTTCAAAAATGATTTAAAGTAGAATTTTAACAATATTTAGGAATCTTTGTGTGAAATTTCTGTATTCAAATCTAAGTTAAATGAAGCAAGAACTCTAAGGAGACCATACAAATTAATGGTCAGCACCTAAAGGAAAATTCATTGACATATTGATTCTCCTGCTACAGTCTTCAGTGCTTTCCCAGCCGTGGCAGGTCACCAGGTTGGTGGAATTCCCCGCACTCAGAAGTGAGACCCAGGGATTAGTTTATGTTCATCAGCATCGTGAGCGCGAAGTAACGTAGGCTGTCTCGCTCTTGTCAGTTGCACTGATTTTGAATGAATTTTTTTCTCTGTTAATTTCAGCAGCACAGTCAGCAGCCTTCATTCCAGAGTTGACTCACTGGAAAAGTCAAATACGAAGCTGATTGAAGAGGTATTGTCGCCCAGTAATGGCTATGTGTCTTCCATGGACCTACTGTCTGTGATCCTTGTCCATTTTAAGTAGAACCATGCTTGGGCTGTGCTTAGGATGTACGACTCAGATGCCCTTGATGGCTGTTGTTTTATTGAAACCAAACATGCTTTAGACAAACTTCCCTATATATTTTTTTAACTCTTTCTTTCTTTCTTTCTTTCTTTTTTTTTAAGATTTATTTATTTCTATTGCAAAGTCAGATATACAGAGAGGAAGGGAGACAGAGAGGAAGATCTTCCATCCATTGATTCACTCCCCAAGTGACTGCAATGGCTGGATCGGAGACAATTTGAAGCCAGGAGCCAGGAGCTTCCTCTGGGTCTCCCATGCAGGTGCAGGGTCCCAAGGCTCTTGGCCATCCTCAACTGCATTCCCAGGCAATAAGCAGGGAGCTGGATGGGAACCTGGGTTGCCAGGATTAGAACTGGCACACATATGGGAACCTGGCGTGTTCAAGGCGAGGACTTAAGCTGGTAGCCCATGGCGCTAGGCCCTGTTTTTTTTAATCTTTTAAACAAGTCTTTATGGTGTTGTGGTATAATACATAATTCTTTGTTGGCTTACTCAGATACTTTGTGTTCAGGGCATACTGTAAATCAGACAAAACACATGTATTAAAAGCATAAGAAATAAACATATAATGCTTCAACTACAAAAGAAAATAATTGGACCAGTACAAAAGTAATTGAGAATATGATTTGTTAACTGGTAATTTTGGGGTAATAAGGAATGCCTTTTTTCAATAAAAGTGGGAAATTTAGTAGCTAAATTATTTTCTCTCTTTTATGGTAGTGAACAATTGCCTGCAAAGCATGTATAAATAAGGCTGTCTCAAATCTTTTTTTTTTCTTGCCCCATTACATAATTTTTAGTTAGCAATTGCAAAGAATAACATCATTAAACTCCAAGAAGAGAATCATCAACTACGAAGTGAAAATAAGTTGATTTTAATGAAAACACAGCAGCATCTAGAGGTAAGTATAGATTGCTTTCTGTTGTATCAGAAATGATATGTTTTAGGGATGTTTTGCGTAGATAGTTATTTTTGTACTATATTCGTAATAAAAAATATTATGCTTTGGCCATCTTGGTGGGTGGAGCCCAGGTAGTCTGAGCTGCATAGAGGGTACCTTACTCTCCTGGCCATGTGACTGTGGTTGGGAGAGTCTGTGCCGTGCCAGGCTGCCTACTGGGGACCCTAGCTCTTCATTTACTACTCCTGGGTCGGGGGAGGGTCCTGGGCTTGTTGGCAGCCAGCATACCAATTGGAGCTGAGCTCTGCCCACTGGTGAGCTCTGGGGTTTTGGTGTTATCAATTACTGCCTATAGACATCCATGGATAAGGCCACTGTACATGTAGGTGAGGAATGAATCATGAGGGACACTCAGTGACAAAGCTACCATATTTGCAGGTAAGCGAGGGGACTGAGAACTGGTAGTTTTGAGCTGAGATATTTGAAGATTTGTATGGGTCAGACTGATTCACCATCCCACATGGGAGTCCTCAGGTGGGCTTAGCCCAGAGCGTCGCTTACTGGCACATGCCACCCCACATGAAAGCTATGACTGGGGTCCTGTCTAGCAGAGCTAGATCCCAGTACCTGACTGAGTGTTGGAACAGGGGACGGGTCATGTTAGGCAGGGCCATGATACTAACCAGCGCACGAGAGGACCAGGTCTGGTGGTAGAATCCACAGGGGATAAGTGGCCCAACCCTGTGGAAATACAAGTCCCATTGGTTGGCTCAAGAGTTGGGATGGTGATGGGCTGAACTGGGTGTGAACATGGAACCCGCAACACTCACAGGTACTGGGGCTGAGAATAGGCTGGGCAGGTACAAGCTACAACACTTGAATGTGCATCTTAAAACAGTGTGGGGCGGGGTGGCCTGCAAAATCCAGCAGGTCATACAAAGGCCAATATGGAGGCACAGGCTATGCTGGGCAAGAGCCTGGCACCTGCTGGTGCATGTTAAGATCTAGGTCTGGGAGTAGACTGAGTGGGGGAACCTGGGAAACTCCCCTACAGGGTAGTTGTGCCTACTGGTACACACATTGTCCAATACTAGGGGTCAGACAGGCTGGGCAAAGTAGCCCCATCCTTTGGCAAGTGTGTGGGTTGGTTTTGGAATGGGGAGGACCTTAGCCCAGTGGCAAATGCAGAAACCAGGCTGGAATGCAGGTTATACCAGGTCAGGGTGTCACACCTACTAGTTTAAATGATCCAGGGATGGGAGCAGACTGAGCAGGGCCAGATTGCATCACCCACCAGTGAGCGTTGGGTCTGGGGCTGGCTGGGCCAGGCCAGGCTGTAGCATTTGAAGGCAAAGATTAAGACGGATGAGGGGATATGCCAGGCTAGGTCAGAGCAACCACTGGCATGCACAAGATCTGTGTCTGGGAACAGGTCTGGTTGGGGAGCTAACGGGATACCCTGGCCAGGGAGTGATTCCCATTGGTGAGCATGAGGCCCAGGGTGAGGGCTGTGGTCTGGTCTGGATATGGCTGAAAGGTACCTTGGCATGGGTGTGGGCTGGGTCTGGGGTGTGCCAGACTGGGTTAGACTCCAACACCCACTGGTGCTTGTCAGAACTAGGGAGGGCGTAGGACGGGCTAGGCTAGGTCTCTGCCCCTGCTGAGCCATGTGTAAGCTGTGTCTGGGTGTGGACCAGGCCTGGCTGGGATGTAATACCCAAGAACAAGAACCGAATGGGTAAGGGTTGGTCAAGAACAGCTACTGTTCCTGATCGGACAGGAGGTGGAGTAAGTAGGGGTGGACCATGGACCCACTGGTGTATGCGAGATCTGGCATTGGGAGAGATCCTGATGGAAGAGCTGTGGAAATCCTCTGTTGGGACATACTCCCTGCAGGTGAATGCAAGAACCAAGATGGGGAGCAGCCCAGACCAGGTCAGAGAAAGGTACCCAGAGCCATATATTTGGCATAGGTTGGGAGTGGGCCAGGCTGCATCCGTTCACATCACCCGCTGGAGAATCCAAGCATCAGAATGGAGTGTGGATTGGGCCAGTTCGGGACATAATTCCAGCCAGTCCACATTAGGGCCAGGACTGGGGTCTGGCTGGGCTGGCTGTGTTGTAACCTTCACCAGTGTGAGCTGGAATTGGGGGTGGGCCAGGCCCAGCCAGGCTATAGCACCCACTAGCAAATGCTGAGGTGGAGTATGCTGTGCCAGACTGGACCACAACACCCAACCAGCACATGTGATACTCAGGGGTGGGGATGGACCCTGTGGGGGGTGCTGTGGGGACACTACTCCCACTGGTAAGCATGAGAGCTGGGATGGGGGCAGACCAGGCCAAGCAGGCCATAGCATCTGATATTCAGGGGAAGGCAAGGCTGGGCTGACTGTACTTCCTGGTACATACATAAGCCAGAGTGAGTGTGGGTGGTTTGGCCTTTGCTGCAGCATCAGCTGGCAGATGCAGGCAAGAGGGGCAAATTCTTGTCAGGTAGACAGATGATGGTACCTGCTGATACCAGTGTGGACTGGCTAGTCGGGCTGGTTGGGATGAATTGGGCTTCAGTGCCCATTGACATGTACAAGAGCTAAATGGAATAAGGGACAAGATGGGCCCAGTCAACTGTACATACTGGCAAGCACAGAAACCAAGGTAGGGGGCGGGTCTGGTGGGGCTTATTGCTGGTCGCTCTGATTAGCCTATAGCTCCCACTGGTTTGTGTGAGGGCTGGGTATGTGGTGAACAGGATCGGGCTGGGCTACAATACCCTTTGGTTTTCATAAAACAAGGGACTAGAAACAGAACTGACCTAGCAATTCCAACCACTAGTGTGTGCTTAGGCTGATTTGGGTGCCAGACTGTGCCAGACCCTGTATTGTCAAATATACACAAGAATCAGGTCTGGAATGTTCTCAGATGAGATTTGTTTGTTGATTCCCTGCCAACTGAACTGGTGGATTTGGAACTCCAACCATGGAGAGAATTGCAGGTTCCATGGTCTGACTGTGGAGTGCATGTGTCAGAGCTGGGCCTCCTAAATAGCTCAGATGGAGCAGGGGACAGCATATCCAAATGTACACGGAAGATATGGCAGTACATTGGAGCCTCCAGAGGGACACCTGGTACCATGGTAGATGATGGAGGACAGAACAAATCGATCAACTACTCCAACCAAGCATTGGCAGTGAATATCAGGGCAGGTGGAAACTATAAGTTGGACCGTAGCAGCCAGTGGATTCTGGAGAGATCTCATCACAATTCCAGTGATGGGATCGACAACAATTCAGCACTGTTGAACTATCAAAACCGCTTGGGAACTTCATGGCCTTGTAAATTTCTGTTTTTCTTCCTGTTGTTGATCTTGTGTTGTGGCTTTTCATTTAAAGGAAGGTATGGTAGCTGTGTAATGGAGACTATCATATCCATATGTGAGGATGCAATGCGATATGCATCTCTACTTCCAGATCAAAGATGGACTACCAATAAACTGTTAATTATATCTAGACAATAGAATACTGGAGTCTCTGCCATTGTCCATGCCTGCAATGATAGACATAAGACTGTTTATGAAGAACTATACTATATTAATAATATAGAGGAACTCAGAAAAGGGGGAAAGGAATTTTGGGAAGGGGTAAGAAAAATCCCAGGGCTTATGGAAATGTTTCACAAAATGATAATAATAATAAAAGTTTAAAAAAAAAGGAAGAAAGGCCCGGCACGGTGGCGCAAGTGGTTAAGGTCCTCGCCTTGCACGCCCAGGATCCCATATGGGCGCCGGTTCTAATCCCAGCAGCCCGCTTCCCATCCAGCTCCCTGCCTGAGGCCCGGGAAAGCAGTTGAGGACAGCCCAAAGCTTTGGGACCCTGCACCCGTGTGGGAGACCTGGAAGAGGCTCCTGGCTTTGGATCAGCATAGTATCGGCCGTTGCGCTCACTTGGGGAGTAAATCATTGGACGGAAGATCTTCCTGTCTGTCTCTCCTCTCTGTATATCCACCTTTCAAGAAAAATAAATCTTTAGGAAAAAAAAAAAGAAATGGCACACTTGAGAGGTAATGCTTCATTTCTTAAATTGAGTAAAAGTTAAATGAGTATTGGCTGTATTATTATTATTTATGCATTACAAATATATTTCATATATAGTGATTATCCATATGACAGTTCTTTCTTTTTTTATGATTTATTTATTTTTATTACAAAGTCAGGTATACAGAGAGGAGGAGAGACAGAGAGGAAGATCTTCTGTCCGATGATTCACTCCCCAATTGAGCGCAACGGCCGATGCCATGCCAATCCGAAGCCAGGATCCAGGAACCTCTTCTGGGTCTCCCACGCAGGTGCAGGGTCCCAAAGCATTGGGCCATCCTCGACTGCTTTCTTGGGCCACAAGCAGGGAGCTGGATGGGAAGTGAAGCTGCTGGGATTAGAACCGGCGCTCATATGGGATCCTGGTGCATTCCCAGGCAAGAACTTTAGCCACTAGGCCACGCCGCCAGGCCCCATATGACAGTTCTTAATGTAATTGTAAAAGAAGCAAAATATATTTGTGTAGCCAATCCATTTCTGTGAATCACTTTTTAATACAAGTAAAATAGATATCATGGGAAAAAAATGTTCTGCTTTTTTTCTAGGTAACAAAAGTGGATGTGGAAACTGAAGTTCAGACGTATAAGCATTCCCGGCAGGGGCTGGATGAAATGTACAATGAAGCCAGAAGACAGCTGCGGGATGAATCTCAATTACGGCAGGTTGGTTTCATGAGTTAAATAGCAAAACCTAGGAACAAATTATTCCCAATCACACACAATTGAATATCTCTGTTAGCTGCCAAACTCATGCCCTTAAGCCTCTCAAATTAAGTACCACCATATCATTTTCTGAAAAAGTTATTTATATGACACAGAGGGAGACAAGAGGGAGAAAGGGAAGGAGAGAGAGATGTTCCATCTGCTGGTTCACTGCCCAGATGGTCTCAGCCGCAGGGACTGGGGTCCAAAGGCAGGACCCCAGAATTCCAGCTGAATCTCCATTGTGGATAGCAAAGGACCAGGATGCTTGGACTGTTAGCTGCTGCTCGCAGATGCATTGACAGGGAGCTAGATTGGAAGTGAAGTGGTCAGGATGTGAACTGGCAATTTGATTTGGGATGCCAATATCACAGGGAACAGCTTAATGTGCCTGCCTCTATAACATATTTTTTTAATTGTTTCACTAAGGTTTGTTTATTTCTTTTTTTTTTTTTAAGATTTATTTATTTTTATTACAAAGTCAGATATACAGAGAGGACTGGAGAGACAGAGAGGAAGATCTTCCGTCCGATGATTCACTCCCCAAGTGACTGCAACGGTCAGTGCTGTGCTGATCCGAAGCCGGGAACCAGGAACTTCCTCCAGGTCTCCCATGTGCGTGCAGGGTCCCAAGGCTTTGGGCCATCCTCGACTGCTCTCCCAGGCCATAGGGAGGGAGCTGAATGGGAAATGGAGCTGCTGGGATTAGAACTGGCGCCCATATGGGATCCTGGCGTGTTCAAGGCGAAGACTTTAGCTGCTAGGCCATGCTGTTGGGCCAAAAGGTTTCTTTATTTCAAACATCAGAATTACAGTAAGAGAATTCCTGTATCTGCTGACTTCCTCCCCCGAGGACCAGGAGCTTCATCCACGTCTCGCATGTGGTTGCATGGCCCAAGCATTTGGGCCATGCTTGGCTGCCTCCCTTGACCACTGGCAGTGCACTGGATCAGAAGTGGAGCAGCCAGTATATATCAGAATTTATATGAAATACTGACAGGTTGTGGCTTTACCTACTTAAGCCACAATGCTGGTCCCCATAGCAGTGTTTTTAAACTGTGGATAACAATCTATGGTTGTGATCGGGGCCCAGCAGCGTGGCCTAGCAGCTAAAGTCCTCGTCTTGAACACGCCAGGATCCCATATGGGTGCCGGTTATAATCCCAGCAGCTCCACTCCCCATTCAGCTCCCTGCTTGTGGCCTGGGAAAGCAGTCAAGGACGGCCCAAAGCCTTGGGACCCTGCACCTGTGTGGAAGATCCAGAGGAGGTTCTTGGTTCCCGGCTTCGGATCAGCGCAGCACCGACTGTTGCGGCCACTTGGGGAGTGAATCATCAGACAGAAGATCTTCCTCTGTGCCTCTCTTTCCTCTCTGTATATCTGACTTTGTAATAAAAATAAATAAATCTTTAAAAAAAACTAATCTATGGTTATGACCAGAATGGGTTGGAACTGGCATTATAAAAATACGGAATGAACTATAAGGATGTATTAAAATATTAAATATTTAAAATCATATTTCTGTTAAAAAGTTAACTTTTTAAAATGGTAAAATGCAATATAGAAATGTACAAATGTATAGCTGACTGAATTCTTGTGGTCGTAAAAACCCAGGTCAAGAAGGGGTGCCCATTGCTGTTTGTCTTTAACGTTAGAAAGCATCTTCAGTCCTTCTGCCAGAATTCTTTAAAAAAAAAAAACTAATGAATTTTATTTGATTTATTTAAAAGGCAGAGATAGATGGATAGAGCCTCCAGCTGTGACTCACTCCCTAGATGCCCTCAATAGCCAGAACTGGACTATGCCCAAACAGGCTAATCAATTTCCTTTTGTTTAAAGGAAAATAATTCATGAGGTTTGTTAGTATGGTGGTGCAGCAGACTAATCCTCCTCCCTGTGGCACCGGCATCCCATATGGGTACCAGTTCATGTTGCAGCTGCACCACTTCCAGTCCAGCTCTCTGCTTATCGCCTGGGAAAACAGTGAAAATGACACAAGTCCTAGGAATCCTGGACCTGTGTGGCAGACCTGGAAAAAGCTTCCTAGCCACAGGGTTCAGATCACCTCAGCTCTACCTGTTGTTATTTTGAAAGTAAACCAGCAGATGCAAGACCTTCTCTCTCTCCCTCCTTCTCTCTGTACATCTGCCTTTCAGATAAAAAAAATTAAATCTTTTAAGAAATTCTTCAGTTCATGAAAAAGTTGAGTAGATGGATAACAATATAGAAAATGCTTTCATCTTAGCAAAAAAATCACACACATTTAAAATACTTAATATATTCTGTTGATTCTGGTTGCTTCTCTTTGGTTAACTTAAAAAGAGTAAAGAAAGGGAAATCTTGATTAATCTCATCAACTGGAATGTGTCTGATTTTGATAACGTGAAAAGTGGCATGTGATCTGAGGAGTCGTTGAATTTGCAGGATGTGGAGAACGAGCTAGCGGTACAAGTAAACATGAAACATGAGATTGAACTTGCTATGAAGTTGTTGGAGAAAGATATCCATGAGAAACAGGATACCTTGATAGGCCTTCGACAGCAACTCGAGGAAGTTAAAGCAATTAACATAGAGATGTATCAAAAGTTGCAGGTAAGGCATGTTCTCATTGTTGTAATTATTTTTATGTTTTAGAAAGTGAAGTGTTTGTAAGAAGAGAAAAATCTTTTATTTTTAAGAGATGAACCAATTTTAACTATGCTGTTATAAGAGCCAGTGTGTATTTGTCTAAATGGAAGGTTTACAAAATATAATACAGTGCATAGATATGTGGAACTCTCACGTGGTACCTTGCACATGTGTACATTTTTCTTTAAGATTTGCTTTTTAATTTTTATTGGAAAGCCAGATTTACAGAGAGAAAGAGAGACAGAGAAAGAGATCTTCTCTATGTTGATTCACTCCCCAAGTGGCCGCAATGGAAAGAGCTAAGCTGATCTAAAGCCAGGAACCAGGAGCCTCTTCCTGGTCTCCTGAGTGAGTTCAGGGTCCCAAGGCCTTGGGCCATCCTTGCTTTCCCAGGTCACAAGCAAGGAGCTTGTTTGGAACTGGTCAGCCAGGACACAATCTGCACCCATATGGGATCTCAGCAGATGCAAGGAAGAATTTATACTCTAGGCTATCATGCCAGGCCCACGTGTACATCTTTAATGTTTCAGTTACAAATAGTAAATACAAGCAAAAATAAAATTTTTAAAAGAATTATTTAATTTTATTGGAAAGTAGATTTACAGAGAGGAGGAGAGACAGAGAGAAAGCTCTTCCAACCACCAGTTCACTCCTCAGGTGGCAGCAATGGCCAGAGCTGAGCCAGTCTGAAGCCAGGAGCCAGGAGCCTCTTCTGGGTCTCCCACAGGGGTACAGGATTCCAAGGCTTTAAGCTGTCCTTGACTGCTTTCCCAGACTACAAGCAGGGACCTCACAGGAAGTGGAGTAGCTGGTATACAAACTGGCACCCATATGGCATCCCGGTACAGGCAGGGTGAGGACTTTAGCCACTAGGCTTTTGCCCTGGGCCCAGAAGTAGTTAAAAAAAAAACCAAAAAAACAAAGAGCAGGCAAAAGAATCCCTTGCTTTAATCTGTTTCCTAACTCTGAGGAGTTAACAGTGCAAAGGTTGAATCTTGTATGAAAAATCTGAATGTAAGCAAGTAAGACACTTTTGGGTCGTTCTTCATACAGTGTATTCTTGAGAAACATTGAATTTTGGTTGAAATGTTTCACTATCACAACTGAAATTTCTTTTTTTTTTTTTAAAGATTTATTCATTTTTATTACAACGTCAGATGTGCAGAGAGGAGGAGAGACAGAGAGGAAGATCTTCTGTCCGATGATTCACTCCCCAAGTGACTGCAACGGCCGGTGCTGTGCCAATCTGAAGCCAGGATCCAGGAGCCTCTTCTGGGTATCCCACACAGGTGCAGGGACCCAAGGCCTTGGGCTGTCTTCAACTGCTTTCCCAGGCCACAGGCAGGGAGCTGGATGGGAAGTGGAGCTGCCAGGATTAGAACCGGCGCCATATGGGATCCCGGGGTGTTCAAGGAGAGGACTTTAGCTGCTAGGCCATGCCGCCGGGCCCCTCATAACTGAAATTTCTAATAAAATGATGCTGCTGTTAAATAGGTTTGCTGCCAAAATACCTTTACAATTTACTCAATTTGAAAATGGCTTATTTTATAAAAATTTTTTCTGTTGTCTTCTATAGACATTCAACTTTTTCTGCTTATTGCATTTTAAATGAAGACTAGTAGCACTGTTTTATATAAAATAATTTTTTAATATGGTCATTTTTTCGCATTTCAAAGTCATAATCTCATGGCAAAATGGTATAAAAAACTTAAAATATCCTGATTCAAAAATCAAAATTTGGGGCTGGCACTGTGGCACACGGTTAAGCCACTGATTGCAGCATCCACATCCCTTACGGGCTTCAGTTCGAGTCCTGGCTGCTCCATTTCCAGTCCGTCTCCTTACTAATGCACCTAGGAAGTCAGCAGAAGATGACCTAAGTGCTTGAACTGCTGCACTCACACGGAGGCCCTGCAACTCCCGGCTCCAGGCTTTGGCCTGGTCCATCCCCAGTCGTTGCAGCCATTTGGGTAGTGAACCAGTAGTTACAAGCTCTCCCTTAGTCTCTCCCTTTCTAACTCTGCCTTTTCAAATAAATGAATCATTTAAAAAATTAAAATTGAGTAGGTCTGCGCCCAGCACGGTAACCTAGCAGCTAAAGTCTTCACCTTACATGTGCTGGGATCCCATATGGGCACTGGTTCATATCCTGGCCACCCAGCTTCCCATCCAGCTCCCTGCTTGTGGCCTGGGAAAGCAGTCAAGGACGGCTGAAAGCTTTGGGATCCTGCACCCACATGGGACCTGGAAAGAATTTTTAGGCTTCTGTATTCGGATCAGCATAGCTCTGGCTGTTGTGGCCACTTGGAGAGTGAATCAGCAGTCATAAGGTCTTCTGTGTCTCTCCTCCTTTGTATATCTGACTTTCCATAAAAATAAAATAAATCTTTAAAAAAAAATTGAGCAGGTCTTCAGCCAAATGATTAGGACACTGGTAAAGGTTCCTGTGTCCCACCCTGGCTTCCTGCTGTTACAGACCCTGGGACGCAGCAGTAAGGGCAGTGAGTAATTGGGTTACTGCTGCCCACATGGGAGACCCGGTTTGGGTTTCTGACTTCTAGCTCTAGTCCACTCTCAGCCCCTGGGAGCACTTGAGATTGAATGGTGAATGGGAGTATTCTGTCTCTCAAAATATAATGTGTGTGCAGCATTGTTGCAAAGCAGGTAATGTTGCCACTGGTTTGTGTTCCACGTGCTCCACTTCCCATCCATTTCCCCATTTATGTCCTGGGAAAAGCAGCAAGCGATGGCCCAAGTGTTTCGGCCCCTTCTGCCCACATGGGAGACCAGGGTGAAGCTCCTGGCTCCTGGCATCAGCCTGGCCTAGTGCTAGCCATTGTCTGAAAGTGTATCTGTCTCCTCATTTCTAACTATGCCTTTCAAAATAAGTAAAATAAAGTTTTTCCCTTTCCCTCCGTTTCCCTTCCCAGTAAAATATAAGTTTTAAAATGAACACCACTATTTTCTTATGCTTTTGTAAATAGGGCTCTGAAGATGGATTGAAAGAAAAAAATGAAATAATTGCCCGACTAGAAGAAAAAACCAATAAAATCACTGCAGCCATGAGGCAGCTGGAACAGAGGTACAGCACTTCCAATCTTAGTTTCTTTTTTCCTCCCTTCTTCCTCTTTTTTTGTTTGTTTGGCTCTGACACCTGCCACAGAAGCCGGTGGGAAAATATAAATTAGAGCATGTTTTCTGTTGAAGCCCAGCAGGAGTTTGCCTTTTGTTTTGGTTGTTGCATGGAATCAAGTTGCCTGTTGATTGGAAGTTGCCATCTTTTTTTTTTTTTTAGAAAAAGCCTAAGATCAGCAGTTTTATGTGGTGCAACCTACTGTATAAAACAAATACACAAGCAAAAAACCTTGAAAAAACTAAAAATGAACAAAACCCATGATGGGATTATCCCTGATTGATTCCCATGCACATTAATTGTCATATCTGCCATTCACCATCTCCTTATCTGAGGTCAAGCATTCCAAATTGATAGTTTAGTTTTTTTTTTTTTTGAACTCAGACCCTCAACCCAACCCAAGATACAATTTTGTTTAAATTGAATTGGTTTATATTAGCATTTTTCACTTTTATTGTTGGAAAATGTAATGTATTTCCATTGCCCTGTCATGTTGGTGTCAACATATGTCTTATCATTGCTTTCTTTGAATCTACTTATGAAAAACATAACTATTAATGCTTTATGGACATGAATATTCTTTTATTGACATCCTCTTTCTTCTTTTTTTTTCTTTTCTGTTTTTCTTTATCCCCATTTTTACATTTTGGACATCCTTATTACCTTTTTCTGTCTTTGATTTCTGTCCATTCCATTATGAAGTGACAGTGACTTGTTAACTCAAACTAGGACAATTGCAATGTCATTGGTGAAATGTGCCAACAGTGACACTCAGGACCAGTACAAGCTGGTCAAAGATATCTCTTTCTGAAAACCACTTATTTAACCAGACTAAAAGAGAATCAACAGTTTTAAAATATATTTAATTGAAAAAGAAATGTATGCTATTAAGTCAAACAGTATCAAGAGCCCTGTGCTGTCTCAGTTGGCTGCTGGGTGTTGTCCAGCAGAGTGGGTGCACCTGGTTTTCCAAAAATACACTCCTCCAACCGTGTGCACGAGGGCTGATTGGAGTACTGCCCCTTGTGGGTGGGAGAAGCGGTCAGCATTTTCAAATGCAGTTTTATCTTTCTAGCAACTTTTTTGAATTAAAACATAAACATTGTTTAAAAAGCAGTTAACTTTTAGTTTCACAACGTGTTGGCACGGATTTTTGTTTTCCCCATTGGCCCACTGCTGGCCTCAGGACTCCCTTGCTGCTTTGTGCATAGCCCACACCGGCCACCCTCCTGTGCTTTAGCGGCACTGCCAGTCCCTCTCTGCCCTCTCTCTGATAGCACAACTCCAAGGCCTACCTCACCCTGACTTTATTCTGCGTTCTTCTAACTTCAGAGAAAAGCATCTCCACCACCCTGACATTTAAATGTAAATTTTAACTGAGAGATAATTGAAAAGCTACTCTTCCATCTTTTTAGAAACAGCATTTCTGTTCCTAAAACGTGTGAGAATTGCCCTATTGGTATGGAAGAAAGTAGCCAGTTTTTTCTTATTTATTTATTTTTTTTTTGTTGAGCAGAAATTTGTGATTCCCAAAAAGGAGATAATGTCCTTGAATCTTTGGAGGTATTTTCTTATAAAAATGTGAAAGTTAATAACTCCTAGATGGCCTAAGGAGGCAGGAAGTACAACTAGGCACAGAGAGAAGCAATAGCTTACAAATAAAATTAGGAAGAACGAAAATTACATTTTAGTTGATTTTTAATAGTCAGTTGGAGGAACAAGAGCACTCTATAGGGAATGACGCCAACTAGTGCTACATTCATTTTTGACTTTGATAAAAACACCTGTGTCCACACCCCCAGCTGTCGCACAGCTTTGTCTTAGTTTAGTAAATGCACAAAGATCCTGTAGGAGGGACTCGGCTATCATCAGAGTAATTGCAGGTCTTTGCTCTTGGCCTTGTAGCACACTTGATTCCTGGCAGACACATCCCAGCACAACACGACAGTGTGGCTTCTCCACCTAGCATAGACATCAGGACTTTGATTTTCATGGTTTTGTATAAAGGCCATAACATACTTTGAAATTTGATTTCATTATGTTCTACCTAAGTGGTAAAGGCTGTATTACTTTCCCATTGTTAATTATAAAAGAGAAATAAACCAAATTTGAAGATAGTATTTTGGGCATATTATATGTGTTATGTTGGAAAAAAAAATCACTAAACAGTTTCTAGACATTGTGTGGCTCTTTCACGTTTGAGTTTGTGAGTTTCCCCCCAAACTTTGTTTTCATTTAGAAATGTTTCTATTTCCCCATTTTTCTTTTATTTGTCTTCTTCACCCTTTTACACCCTAGTTCTAGCCTCAGTTTTACCCAAAGTTGATTTGAATTACACCAGATTGCAGCAAACAGAGAAGGCGAAAATGGAAGCTGAAGAGGAAGATGAGAAATACCTGCAAGAGTGTCTGAGTAAATCCGACAGTCTGCAGAAACAAATCTCCCAAAAGGAGAAACAGCTGTGAGTATTTCCTGAAACTAAGTGCTTGAATTAGCCTAATTCTCCCCCCCCAAATCCGTGTGTGTGTGTGTGTGTGTGTGTGTGTGTTAGGGGGAGGCACGCAATGGTAGAATATTAATATTTTCATTCATCTAATTGCAGTGCTCATTTTAAAAAAGAAAAAAACTAGAAAATATGGTTGTGCTTACACATTTTTGTTCCTTTAACTGTTCGTGGACCAATTTCAACTGTCTTGTGGTTTTCCTGTTCTGAGAGTTCTTTCTGCTGTTAACATTATCATGGCTCTTCTCTCAATACTGAGCACTGTAGGCTTTTGTAACTCCAATCAACTTATGTTATCAAGTAATAACGTGTTTTTGAGAACATTATAATTAGCACTTAATGATGGCTGTGTATAACTGTATCCGTCTCCAGTTGGGAACGATGTCAGCAGGACAGACCTAACATCCCTAAACTGAAAATCCAGAATATTCTGAAGTTTAGGACTTTGTGATATTAACATGACATCATGAGATAGGTGACAGTCAAAACACAGGTACACTAGGCATATTGTGTACACTCACTTTCATGCTGTGGGTATAAGGTTTTGTACTAAACATAAATGAATTTCTTGTTCCATTCACAAAATATCTCATTATGTATTTGTAAATATTCCAGATTCTGAAAAAAAAAATCCCAAATCTGAACACTTCTGATTGCAAGCATTTCAGATAAGAAACCTATTATGTCATTGAGTTGAAAAAAAAGGTATGCTGCAGACAGGATACCAGTTTTCCAATTTTGAAAAAATTAATTTTCCTTTTGTATGAAAGGTGGAGAGGGAGAGATTTTTCCTCTACTGGTTCACTACCCAAATGCTCACAAAGGCAGAGGAGCTGGGAACTCAGTACAGGGGCCTGAACACTAGAGTCCTCACCCACTTCCTCCCCCGCACACTGTAGCAGGAAGCTGAGGGAGAGCCGGACTTGATCCCAGGCACTCCAATATGAGATGTGGGTGCCGCATGCAGCATTGTAACTGCTACATCAGATGCACACTGCTAGAATATCCAGTTTGTAAAAAGAAAGTTAAAATGCATGTGTATATATCTGTATGTACATGAAACAAAGGGTTAAGGAATGCATGCCCAGGGGAGTTCCTGGAGGGCTGATGCGCCTTCTTTTTCACGTCTATTTATTTACTGGAAAGAGTTAAAGAGCGTCAGAGAAATCGACAATCAGTGCACTTTTTACTTTTTTTTTTTTAAGTTATCTGTTTTCATTGGAAAGGCAGATCTACAGAGAAAAGAGACAGAGAGAAAGATCTTCCATCTGCTGGTTCACTCCCCGCAAGTGGCCGCAATAGCCAAAGTTGAGTCCATCAAGAGCCAGGATCCTGGAGCCTCCTTTAGGTCTCGCATGTGGGTACAGGGTCCCAGGGCTTGGACCATGCTTGACTGCTTTCCCAGGCCACAAGCAGGGAGCTGGACGGGAAGCGGGGCCACCAGGATTAGAATTGGGATCTGTATGGGATCTCAGTGCATGCAAGGTGAAGACTTTAGCTGCTAGGCTATTGCACTGGGCCCAACTTGTTTAGACTTCATGTGTACATTATACAGATTTCTAATTTTTTTCTGTAGTGTTTTTCAGTATGTTTCTTTGTAGCTTTTTTAGGGGTTATTCTAAGCATTATATTACGTAAGTACAGATTTTTGCAGTCTACTTGTATCAGTGTTACACCATTTTGGGTAAAGTTTAGCATCTACTTCCATTTAAGTCTTTTTACCCTTTCCTCTTTATAATATTTTTTAAAAAATGTTATCCCTTTTTTGTTTTTAAGTTTCTTTTCATTTGAAAGGAAGGGAGACAGATTTTTTTTTAAATTTTTATTGGAAAGGCTGATCAGATTTATGGAGAGGAGAGACCGAGAGAAGTTCCTCCTTCCACTGGTTCACTACCCTAGTGGCCGCCATGGCCAGAGCTGAGCCAGTCTGAAGCCAGGAGTTTCTGCCAGGCCTCCCACGCGGGTGCAGAGCCTGAAGGCTTTGGGCCATGCTCAACTGCTTTCCCAGGCTGTATGCAGGGAACTGGATGGAAAGTAGAGCAGCCAGGACACGAACCAGCACCCATATGGGATCCTGGCACGTGCAACGTGAGGATTTGGGCACTGAGACTTCACGCCAACCTTCCTCTTGTGTTCTTTCACATGAACTTACTGGCTAAGGGAGCATTTTTATGATGTTAACTTATACCTTCTTGTCAGATAGCTTAACTGTTTGGAATTATGTGACACATCTCTTGATGTATTTTTTTTTTTCACTCATGTGGAGATTTTACTTAGTCTTGGTATGATGTTTTCCAGTTGCATCCTGGACATTTGGGGTTTTATGTACTCTGCTCTGTTATTTAAATCTGTTTTGTCCATCTTCTAATGAAGCCGTGCTAGTAGGGGAACATGGTCAGTGATGTGTTGCACTGAGCTGGGTACAAGCCTAGGGTCAACTCAGATGGAACGGAAGAGGGTGCTTGACAGCCATACTCTCCACTGCACTTCTGCTGACACTGGACAGGAGTGTGTGATGTGTTACCATCTACACACCTAGATGTTCCTCTTGGCTTTCGCTGCCACTGTGGGGCAGATAGGGAATGCCTGCTTGCTGCAGCATGGGGCTGAGAGTTCCAGGTGCCACTGGCACATGGAGACACCTTATCGCTGCTGGTTGGTACAGCACATGCTAGCTCCACAGCAGGGAATACATGGTACACCTTATTATTGCTAGGCAACAGTGAACTTCTGGGGCCCCGCCTCAGCCTGTGCCAATGGGATTTGGTGGGGAGGCCATAGGTTTTTTTTTTTTTCCTCTGCTGTTTTGTTTGAATTGGATGTTGTCAAAAGCCCGTTATGCGTGAGACATCTCCATCCCAGTCCTTTGCTGAAAGAGTAGGCTTTGCTTGGAGCTTTCATTGTCTGTGCCCGTTGGTGTTGAGGGGTTGAGGGCTTCTCTGTTACCCAGGCTGAACAACAGCAGAGAAGAGAAACTGTAGTGAGTCACCACTTGTTCCTCAGGTCTGGGATTTCCTAAACACCTGCCTTCTCACGCCAGGCGAAGTTGTCTTAACCTTTCTGTTGTGTATGTCCCAGGTTTTTTTTCCCCTAGTATATAAAAATTTGATTCATTTTATTTTGAAAACAATTTACTTTTTAAAAAAGATTTATTTATTTTTATTGGAAAGTCAGATTTACAGAAAGGAGAAACAGAAAGCTTTTCCATCTGCCGGCTCACTCCCCAAGTGGCCACAATAGCCGGAACTGAGCTGAGTCTGAAGTCAGGAGTCAGGAGCTTCCTCCAGGTCTCCAATAATGGTGCAGGGTTCCCAGGCCATGGGCCATCCTCCACTGCTTTCCCAGGCCAGAAGCAGGGAGCTGGAAGGGAAGATGAGCAGCTGGGACACAAACTGTTACCTATATGGGATCCCATCCAGCGTATCCATGGCAAGGACCCTAGCCACCGGGGTACCATGCTATCTACCTTTAAGACAAAGCTTAGGAAGTCGGATTTTGAACATGTTTCTGGGAAGGGCAGTTTTTTGTTTTGTTTTATGATGCAGTGCCATAGGCTCTGGGATTTGCCCTCCCCACATTGCTTTCCCTCACAGATTTCCACTGTATTATTATGATATATATATAGTACTTCATTAACGGTCATAAGACCATCGTTCTGCTGTTTCAGTGTATCCTGACATTGTAGGTATAGGCAGTGGCAGAGAATCCAGAATCCTGTTGTCAAGACATATTTAATCGTTTAATTGGGAGTTCATCTTTGATTTGGAAGTAGATATCCATTCAGGGTTTTGAGCTACAGTTATTTGACAGGGTAGGAGTAATGTGTTTATTCCATCTCATTTAGAACCAGAATTCTAAGTGTCTTTTAAATCTAACACAAAAATCATATTTTGAGGAATTGATATAGAGAATTAAGTCTTTATTCCAGGGAATATTGTCCTGTTTGGAGACTTTTTTATATATTTATAAATTTATATATTGTGAAACTATAGCCTAGACTCAATGGCTGAATCCTCTCCATGTGTACTTTGGGATCCCAAATGGGCGCCAGTTCCCATCCCAGCTGCTCTACTTCCCATCTAGATCCCTGCTTGTGGCCTGGAACAGCAGTTGAGGACGGCCCAAAGCCTTGGAACCCTGTACCCATGGAAGAAGCTCCTGGCTAAGGCTTCAGAGCAGCTCAGCTCTGGCTGTTGTGGTCTCTTGGGGAGTGAACCAGTGGAGAGATTTTTCTCTCTCTATCTCCTCTCTTAAAGCCGCCTTTTCAATTAAAAAAAAATTTAAGATAAATCTTAAAATACAAACAAAAATAGAAACTAAAGCCCACCGTCCAAAAAACAAAAATACCTCACAATCAAGAATTTGCTCTTAATGTGAAGCACTTTCAGAAAAGGATAGCCAGTGCTTCCAGGGCTACCTTGGTCAAGCAACATCCTAGGAATATGTAAACCCAGTTTGTTGAGGGTACTCCAGCTCTGTTGTGTCCGAACCTGTGCCCTGTCAAACGAAACCCAGCAAAAGCAAGACGAGACACATTACTATTCAGTAGAATGTTGTCTTGAGACAGCATTTCTCTCTATCTCTTGAGATTTATTTGTGCGTATTTCAAAGATTTATAGAGAGGGGAGACTGGGGAAGGTCTTCTTCAGTCCACTGGTTCACTCCCCAAGTGACCACATCAGCCAGAGCTGAGCTGATCTGAAGCCAGGAATTAGGAGTTTGTAGGTCCCAAGGACTTGGGCCACCCACCGCTGTTTTTCCAGGCTATAAACTAGGAACCAGATGGAAAACAGAGCAGCTAGGACACAAACCACAGGGCAGAGGATTTATGATGCTGGCACCACAGGGCAGAGGATTTGTCTGTTGAGCCATGGCGCCAGCCCCCAAATCATATTTACTCTCTTACTGAGTCTCCTTTCTAATGTTTGACAAAAACTTGGAAAGGACAAATTTGGTATTTACTCTGTAGTGATGTGACATATGCTTCAGTGATGCCATTATTTTTTTAATCCCCGCCCAAATGTGCATGCTCCCAGGCCCCTTGAGGGACCTCCGCCTGCCCTGCTGTACTGAGCAGAGCTTGAGCGCAGCTGCAGAGAGAGGTTTGCCTGCAGTGATGCTAAAAGCCAGCCCACCTCAGTTGGTGCTGGGTTGGTAGAACATGAACTGTCAGTTCAGAGAGAGGGGAATCCCTGACAGTTCTGAACGCTTGGAACTGTACGCATATAAATGGGCAGCTGGGACTTGTCAGACAAAGAGAAGTTCCATTTTTCTCCTAAAATGGAACTAACTGTATTAGTTATGAAAAGATGACATGCTCTGAGTGAAAACTTCAGAAAATATGAAAAGTAGGGAAAAAATGAAAGCTAACCAACTTGAAAATGCTTTTTTGGTATATGCAATTATTTTTGTATTTTTGTTAGACATATCATGCTGCACATCCCTTAGTATCTTGCATTTTTATTTGCTACATCATGGACACTGTATCGCATCCATTAACACAGGCCTATACCAACATGTTATGGTTAACTTACAGTAATCCTTTAGCCTAGAAAATTGCACCTTATTGTTTGAGTTTTCATATCTCGATTATATAGATGTAGCCTTTTCTGTGTATTTTTGCAGTAATCAGCTTTTCTTTTTAGCATTTATTATTTTTATTTGAAAGGCAGATTTATATAAAGAAGAGAGAGAGAGGCAGAGACAGAGAAACAGGTCTTGCATTCATTGGTTTACTCTCCAAATGGCCAAAACAGCCAGAACTGAGCTACCCCAAGCCAGGAGCTTCTTCCAGGTCTCCCATGTGGGTCCAAAAGCCTGAGTACTCAGACTATACTCTTCTGCTTTCCCAGGCCACAGTCAGAGAGCTGGATCAGAAACAGAGCAGCCAGGACACAAACCAGCACCCACAGGGCATGCACGCAGAGAATTAACTTGCTGTGCCACTGCACTGGGCCCAGGAATCAGCTTCAGCTGACTCAGCCAGTCTGCTGAGCCAGGAGCTGCTTTTGGGTCTCCCACGTGGGTGCAGGATTCCAAGGACTCACCACCTTCTTTTGCTTTCCCAGACTGTTAGTGGGGCACTAGATCAGAAGTGGAGCAACTGAGACACAAACCGGTACCCATATAGGATGGTGATGCTTACACATGGATGATTAGCCTATTGTGGCACCACACCAGCCTGTATTTCACAATTTTTTAAAGTTGATTGTATTTCTGTGAGTAGTTGCACAGTTACAGAGAGGGAGAACGAGGTGTTTCGTTTGCTGGTTCACTCTTCAGATGGCCACGATAGCCAGTACTGGGTGAGGAAGAAGCCAGGAATCTGAAACTCCACCCATGGCTCCCAAGTGGGTGATGGGGTCCCAGATACCTGTGTCAGCTTCTGCTGCTTTCCGAGGAGCATTAGCGAAGAGTTCGATCAGAAGTTGAGCTGGAGTCCTGGTGCAATGGCTCAGTGGCTAAAATCTCTGCCTTGCATGCTCTAGGAAGTCGTACAGACACGTCTTTTTGTTCTGGCTGCTCCACATCCCATCCAGCTCTCTGCTTGTGGCCTGGAAAAGCAATAAATGATGACCCAAAGCCTTAGGATCCTGCACTCATGTGGGAGACCAGGAAGAAGCTCCTGGCTCCTAGCTCTGGATTAGCTCAGCTTGTAGCGTGAACCAGTGGATGGAAGATGTTTCCCTCTGTCTTTTTTTTTTTTTTCCTAAGTCTGCCTTTCACATAAAAATAAATAAATCTTTTAAAAAAAATTGTTCTTCCTCTCTGTCTCTCCTCCTTTCTCTGTATATCTGACTTTCCAAAAAAAAAAAAAAAAAAATCTTAAAAAGAGGGGCCTGGTGCAGTAGCCTAGCGGCTAAAGTTCTTACTTTGCATGCTCCAGGACTCCATATGGGCCCTGGTTCGTATCCTGGCTGCTCTGCTTCCCATCCAGCTCCCTGCCTGTGGCCTGGGAAAGCTGTTGAGGGCAGCCCAAAGCCTTGGGAATGTGCACCCTTGTGAGAGACACAGAAGAAGCTCCTGGCTCCTGGCTTTGGATTGGCTGAGCTCTAACCGTTGTGGCCACTTGGGGAGTGAATCAGCAGATGGAAGATCTTCCTCTCTGTCTCTCCTCCTCTCTGTATATCTGACTTTCCAATAAATAAATAAATCTTTAAAAAAATTTTTGCTGAGCTTGTTCACTAACAAATATATAGGATAGGTAGGCTTTGGTGTAGTGATTAAGATCCACCACTTGCAACATTCCCATTCCAGAGTGCCTGCATCGCATCCTGCCCTATTCCTAGTTGTTAATGCACTCACCAGGAGGCAGCAGATGATGGCTGGAGGACTGGGTTTCTGCCACCCCTCTGGGATACCCTAATGGGGTTGCCAGCTCCTGGCCTAGCCCCAGCTTCTATGGGCATTTGGGGAGTGAACCAGCTTAAAGGAGGTCTCCTCTGTCTTTGCACTTTTTATATCAAATTTTTTGTTGAAGAAAGAAATTGTGTTAAGAAATATGAGACACGTGAGAGCTGGTGTTGTGCAGCAAATTCAGCTGCTAATTGTGACTACAGCATCCCATGTTGGCACATCAGTTTGAACACTGGCTCTTCTGCTTCTGATCGAGCTCCCTACTGAGGCTCCTGGGAGGCAGCATCTGATGGCCTGAATGTTTGGGCCCTGCCACCAGCGGGAGAAGCAGATGGAGTTCCTAGTCATTTGGGAAGTAAACCAGCAACAGAGGAAAGATCCTCTCTTTGTTTTTCTCTCTCTGTTTCTTTCATTCTGCTTTCAACTCAGTAAAAAAGCTTCTTTTTTAAAAAATGGAATTAGAAAGTTATTGCTATTAAGATATATATACAATCCTTGTGTGATAAAAAAACACTTGAACTTTTGTTTATTTGTGCTTCAAGGGTACAGCTGGAAACGGATCTGAAGATTGAGAAGGAGTGGAGGCAGACTTTGCAGGAAGATCTTCAGAAGGAGAAAGAGGCCTTATCTCATCTCAGAAATGAGACCCAACAAATGACTGGTCTTAAAAAAGTAAATAGTGGTAAAACTTGTCTTAACACATGTCAACTTATTTCAAAAGATGAATCATAATTTACTTTTATGTCAAGAAAAACAGGACAGCAGGTCATTTTAAAAATAGATAAATGAAGAGATGAAGTGAGTGGGCAATAGTTGGAACAGCTAGGAAAGAGCTTTGGACACATAATTTCATTTTTCATTAAAAGCTGAGAGATTCTGCTAATTAGTCTCTTTCTCACACACACACACACACATACACACACGTATAGTTTCTTCTTGTTTTTTAATTACTTTTTTGTGTGTGTCATTTATTGTTTTGAAGGAGTTCCTCAACCTCCAGGATGAAAACCAGCAGTTGAGAAAAGTCTATCATGAGCAAGAGCAAGCTCTTCAAGAACTTGGCAGCAAGCTCAGCGAGTACGTGCACTTCTTTCCTTTGTCTGAGTGCCCTTGATGCCGATAGAGAACATGTGTGTTACCAAACCGTGAGGCAGAGAAGTTTAGATACAGGAATGAAAGACAAAGCACAAAAAAACTTTAAGAATTACTAGATTGGAGAGATTCTGTTGAAAGTTTTACTGGATTTTAGCTGTGAATGTTTCCCAGCAGGTGAGAGCACAGAATCATATTTCATTTCTTCCAGGGCAAATAATCCAGGAGTTCACTTAGTATGTTTTACCGAAACAACAGGTGCTGAATTTTTTTTTTAATATTTTTATTTTGTTTTATTTTTATTGGAAAGGCAGATATACAGAGAGGAGGAGAGACGGAGAGGAAAATCTTCTGCCCGATAATTCACTCCCCAAGCAGTCTGAAAGGCCGGAACTGAGCTGATCTGGAAGCCAGTAACTTCCTACTCCAGGTCTTCCACATGGTTAAAGGGTCCCAAGGCTTTGGGCCGTCCTCAATTGCTTTCCCAGGCCACAAGCAGGGAGCTGGATGGGAAGTGGAGCTGCTGGGATGAGAACCAGCGACCATATGGGATGCTGGTACTTCAGGTAGAAGATTAGCTAGCTGAGCCCTCATGGCTCATTTTTCTCAACCTTCTAATTGTGCTTTGGGTTGGCTCCATCTTTATATCTTGACTGAATATTTTGCCAGGTCTCTGGGGTAAACTTGTGAAGATTTAATTTAGAATTGAATGTATTACTAAAACAAATTAAATATTGCCAGTTAAAATCTGCATTCACTTTCACATATATATTTTCTGAAGGCAGGAAAGTATCACAGTTAAGTCTTCCACAACATTTTCTCCTTTAGCCCCTGCTGTATACTTGCTGGAGAAATAATGAGCGTAAATGGTTAGCATGTGCATTCTGAGTTCACACAGGGCAGAGTGTGAGTCCTGACTTCCTCAATTTCCACTTCTTTGAGCTCCTACAGGTGATTTAATATCATTTTGTCTGTTCATTTTTACTAGATTTCTGTGAAGATTTGGGGTTGAGGGTATGCAAGCACAGGGTCTGTCAGAGTGTTTACCACATAGTAAATCTACAGTGAATTTTAGTCCCTGATTTTGACATGATCACGTGAAACTGCCAACACTTCTTTCTTTAAAGAAGCACATTTTAAATTAGATACGTTTTTGCTTAGACATTTAGGAAATACAGGAAGATATGAAATATCCCACTGGCCATAAAAAATCATTAGGATCATAAATGATTTTATGATTTTTTTATGATCATAAACTAATACTTTCTAATGTTTAAAAAGGTGTTTTGTTTAAAAATGTGTGCTGAAATTTGGGTGTATTTGTAATCTTTTTAGATCAAAACTCAAAATAGAAGACATAAAAGAAGCCAACAAAGCATTACAGGTGAGTATAAAATGTTTCCTTTCAGTAGAAAGATATGGATATATGGGAAGATGCTTGAGTCCAGCTGAGTTCAGAACTCATGAATGTGGGTGGATGAGGCGCAAAGAGAGTAGAGAGAGATGGACCACTAGGATTCCATGATCATTGTGGACGATGCAATAAAGCTGTCCGCTTTATTTATACAAAATCAGTCAAACTCTGGCTCAGCCTTTTTACGTCATGGTCAAGTGGGTGTTTCTAAGGATAATTCTGCCATGTGTCTTACCGAAAAACAATAGAACTCCCTGCTACAATTCTTATTCTACAATTCAATCTTGTATCACAAAGAAAACGAGAACCTAAAGATGAAGGAATGAATGAATGCCTGAATATAGGTTCCTTGATTAGCATAAGGTCAATGGGGACAGCCAAGACAGTAGGAATAAGAGAAGGCCCTTTTGCAAGACGTTATTATTGACATTAACCTTCAAGCTCACATTGAGTAAAAAAGCCAACTCCACGGTAGCAAACAATGCCTGAATGGCTTAGAGTTCTTCTGCAGGGTGGTCCAGTGTCCATGCAAAGGAAGGTGGAGCTGCATTCAGGTGGTTGTAGAGACATCCACCTGGCCTGCCAAACAGCGGGAAGTTCCTTACAGCCCTGCCTGCAATGGAACAATTCTCTTCACACCTTCGTGTCCCCCACATCCACTGCATGGACCCCAACAGGAAGATCCTATAGAAATATGTGTTTTTTAACAGATTCATCTATTTTTATTTGAAAGGCAGATTTCAGGGAGAAGGACAGAGAGGAGGGTCTGCTGTCCGCTGGTTCACTCCCCAAGTGGCGATGATGGACAGAGCTGAGCCAGTCCTAAGCCAGGAGCCAGGAGCTCTTTGGGTCTCTGTGTGGGTGCAGAGTCCTAAGGACTCGGGCCGTCTTCCCCTGCCTTCCTAGGGTATAAACAGGGCTGCATGTAGAGCAGCTGGGACTGAACCAGTGCCCATATGTGGTGCTGGAACTTGCAGGTGGAGGAGGCAGTTGAGCCATGGTGCTGTCCCCTAGAAATGTGTTATCATTGAAGCAAAGGAATGGAGATCTGTGTGATGGGAACCCTTCTCTTTCTTGTACCTCGAGAGTCATATTATTAATAAACTTCCTGTTAGAAATGCCATAGAAATAGTTTTTTCTTATTCCCTATGAAGTGTGACATGATAGAGTGAATGAAATACATTGTCTCTGAAGAGGCCTCGAGTTCATATGCCAGGCTGTTAGTTCAGGAAGTCGCATCCCCTCACTGAATTTGTTAGGTCTTCTGAGATGGAAGTGCCACCCTGCGTGGAGTTTCTCTGAAAATCAGGTGTGGTAGTCTGTTTGAAAGTGATTGGTATAGTTTCTAGTATACAGTATGAGGAACGTGTCTTGCAAGAATCCCTTTTACAACATTGGAGAACATAGTGTCCTACCCCATAGCTTGACAAACTTACTTTTTAAGCTTCATTTATTTAATTGAAAGGCAAGTTGGCGACAGAAGAGGGAAGAGCTTTTCTACTCAGTGGTTCACTCTCCCCAAATTGTTGCAGTGGTTGAGTCTGGGCCGGGCTGGACCCAGAGTCCAGGAATAGCAGCGGGCTCTCTCACATGGGTAACAGGGGCCCAAGCACTGGGGCCATCCTCTCCCAGGTGCTTTAACAGGGAAGTGCATGGTAAGGGGAGCACCTGGGACTTGCTCATACAGGATGCTGGTGTTGCTGGAGGCAGGTTAACCAGCATTACCACAGCCCTGGCTTCCCTCCTTCACTTTTCAGTCATTGTCACATGCAAGTATTTTGGAAAATAGCATTCAAAGGACTTACCTGCTATACTCTCCAAATTACAGTAGCAATCTTTTATTCTTTGCTCCCCTTGTCTTACGCCATTTCTCCGCTTATTTGCTCTTGATTAAATTTAAACTTGTCAAGTTTTGTTCTCTTGGTCTTTTTCTTCCCTATTCTCCCAGTAAAATTTAGTAAATTTGTGTGTGTGTGTGTGTAATTCACTTATTATGACTATGTGAATGCCGATTCTTGCTGGGGCCAGGTACTGCAAATTGCTATTTTGTTACTTGAAACTCTTTTTATTTCTTATGCTGTTAATAACTGCCTCCTTTTCTTTTGAAATTTTTATTTCATTGTGGTCAAATATCTGAATATTCTCATACCTTCAAAACAACAAAATACTTTTAGTTAAAATTGATCACTTGGTAAAGTGTGTCAGGTAATTGGCTAGTTCGCTGTTTTCTTGGAGTTATTCTTCATGGAGTTCTCTGTTCTACTCATATCTGCTCTGGTCCCTCCTATTTTTATGTTTCCTGTTACTTTTATTCTTGGAATTCCCATTATCTTTTCCTTACATGGGAAACTCCTGTTACCTGAACCCCTTCACTTGTTTTTTTGGTTTATTCTCCTGTTTTAGGCAAAATATCGTTTTACCAGTTTCTTGGAAAATGGCGAATGTAGATAAAGATTTTAAGAATTTGCACATCTGAATGTTCTGCTCTCACACTGTGTTTTTCAGCTTCTCATTACTACAACAGAGACACCTGAGATGAAGGGAGGTTTGGAGATCAACAGTCCAGGATAGGGCAGCCCCACAATTCAGGCATCTGGTGGGCTCAGATGTTGGCAGGATGCTGATACTAAAATGAGCCAGGAAGCCAGCACAGGTAGCATACTGCCTGTGTACCCTCTCTGTGGTTCTTTATGCCACCATGGCTTCATTATATAGCTGTACCCTAGCAACCTAATCCAATCTGATCACCCCCTAAAGCTTCTGCCTTCAGATATCCTACAAAAGGCTGAGTTATACCTTCACTGTTACTTTATCAGCCATTCATTCTTTACCCGTTAATATAAGACTTTGAGGTGTAAATGTTTGTAAGAGTTTAGGGAGCCAAATTTTATTCAAAACAAAACAGAGACTTCTGGGTGGGTAGACATGTTTGCCCAAACCAGTATTATTTAAACTTTCAGAAGCTTTTTCATTGTCAAATGTATTATGTATACAGAAGGGTACACGTGCAGTACAACTTAAAAACACTTGTAGGGGCTGACATATGATGTGGGTTAAGCTACATCTTTGCAATGCTGGTATCCCATACTGGAGTACCAGTTCCAGTCCTGGCTACTCCCTGTCCAATCCAGCTTTCTGCTAATGTGCCTGGGAAGGCAGCAGATTATGGTGTAAGTATTTAGAACTCTGCCACTCCTATGTGAGACCAGGATAAATTCCTGGCATCTGGCTCCCGCCTGGCTCAGCCCTGGCTATTTCAGGTACTTGGGGAAGAGAACGTGCTTATGGAGGATTTCTTTTCCTTTCTCTGCTGCTGTATGTTAAAATAAATGTTAAACTGAAATAGAACAGAGACCTGCGTTGTTGCCAGCATGTTAAGCTACTGCCAACAACACCAGCATCCTATATATGTGCCAGTTCAAGTCCCAGTTCCTACCCAACTCCCGGAAAATTAGCAGATGTCCCAAGACCTTGGGCCCTGTACTCCTGTTGAGACCAAGATGGAGTTACGCGTTTGTGGCTTTGGGCTGGCCCAGCCCCAGCTGTGGTGATCTTTTGGATCGTGATCTAGTGATCCTTCTGTGTAATTCGGCCTTTCAGATAAACAAAACAACCCTAAAAGAAGCCTTGCATATCCTCTGCTTAGCCTGCGCTGGGGCATGAGCACTGTCAGAAGTCCCTCGTGGGCTTCCTGACCGCACTCTCCCTACAGGAACTCTAAACTGTTAATCGTTGTTGCTATTAGTTACATCTGTCTTTAGCAAATATTTCTCATTTTCATAACATAGGTATATGGATTTACATGTTTATATTTATTTACTTTTTTCTTCCGTGAAGATCCTGGGACAGCTCTCATAAACTTTTTTTTTCACATTTTGGATTTTAAATAATTGCTTGCTTAGAAATCTTGTTTCTTAGCCCTCTTATTGCCTGTGAACTCAAAGTTAATGCCAGTCCTTGATTAGATTAGATACAAGCTTCTGTACATTTAAAAAAATTCTGCTACTAGGTCTCCTAGTTGGGTGACAGGGACCCAAGCATTAGGGCCATCTTCTGCTGTTTTCTCAGTGTATCTACAGAGAACTGGATCAAAAGCAGAGTAGCCAGGACTCAAATCAGTTCTCTAATATGGATGCTGGCATTGCAGGTAGTGGCATAACGTGCTGCACCACAGTGCCAGCCCCGACTTTTAGATACACACATTCGTGACAGAGTAACGGACAGAGAGCTCTTCCATCCCCTGGCTCACTCCCCAAATGGCCACCATGAGCAGGCTGTACATGGGTGTCAGGGACCCAAGGACCTGGGCCATGTTTTGCTGCTTTCCCAGGCACATTAGCAAGGAACTGGAACTGCAGCATCTGGGACTGGAACTGGTATTCTTATGGGAGGCTGGTATCACAGGGTACGTCTGATTCACTGTATCTCAGAGCCAACCCCTGCTACCTAAGTTTTAATACATAATAGACTATTTGCTCATTTTCCTTCTAAAGTGAATATCATGCTATATTTTATCTGTGAAGATATTCATTGTTTCCTAAAGTGTTCTTTTACCATCACCACTCTGTTCTAAATTCCAATTCTTGGGTTACTCTGGCTGAGTGTTTCATGTCCAAAGCTTTCTTGTAGAGTGGTAATGACCCCCACTTTATGGAAGGGCACCTGAAAAGCTTTTTGGAAGTATGGTAGACTCACCACTATAGAGAAACTGGTAACTGAAGAGCTATTAAGTATTTAGAATCTACAGGACTTTCCCCATACAGCAATTGATTTGGTGCAGAGACTACTCTGAAATCCTTTCTGGAACATGTAAGCTTAGCAGTTAACATTTTGGGGAGGAAGAATATAGCCATTTTATTTTGCAAAGCAGTAATTTGATCCCTTTTAGTCTTAGTTTTGCTTAAAAATAGCTGTTTCCTTGAATAAGTGTCAGCTCTCTAAATGCCAAGTTTTCTCATCTGTGAGTGAGCTAAGATCTAATGGAGGACACATCAGCCCTACCTTATACAGGGTGGGGAACCTTGTTCTGCCAAGGGCCATTGAGAAATTTACATCATTTGTAGGTCACACAAAATTATAAAAATTAACCCACTATAGATTTATTGTGTTTTATGTCCCACCTATGGTTGTCTTTGCAAGGCCAGATAGACTGAATGATTTATGGGCCTTATATGTCCCCACTCGGGCACATTTTTCCCCTCAGAAGAGAGTAATGTATGTTGTATTGTCAAAAAGAGATTTGGAAGGCTGACCTCCAATTTGTTAAAGGTTAGTTAACAACCTAAGATGATGCTTGCCAATCTGCTTCACTCCGTGTGGACAGAAAGTCAAACTACATCCATCAAGTCCTTTACATGGTGCTCAGCGAGTAAGATTTTTTTTTTAAAGATTTATTTATTTTTATTACAAAGTCAGATATACAGAGAGGAGAGACAGAGAGGAAGATCTTCCGTCCGATGATTCACTCCCCACGTGAGTGCAACGGCCGATGCTGAGCCGATCCAAAGCCAGGATCCAGGAATCTCTTCCAGGTATCCCACACAGGTGCAGGGTCCCAAGGTTTTGGGCCATCCTCAACTGCTTTCCCAGGCCAGAAGCAGGGAGCTGGATGGGAAACCGGGTTTCCAGGATTAGAACCGCCAACCATATTGGATTCTGGTATGTGCAAGGCAAGGACTTTAGTTACTAGGCTACCGCACCAGGCCCCAAGATTATTTTTTTAACTGCTAGTTCACTTCTCTAGTGCCTGCAATAGCCATGTGAGCCAGGCTGACGCTAGCTGTATCCTGGACTTCCACGCCAAGTGGCAAGGGCCAAGGCTCTGGAGCCATTTTCTGCCTTTCCTTGTTATTAGCAGGAAGCTGGACTCGAAGCAGAGTTGGAATGGAGTCAGGGCAAGCTCTGGCAATCTTTTTTTGCTCAACCTGCATTGCTAATCCCCAATTCAGAATATGGAAGTCTATTTCATCTAGATATTTCACTAGTTGATTCTTTTTTTATTCTAAAATGTCTTCAGAGAAAAGGATCTTTGCATGTCGTTTTAGTGTTACCAACTTGAACATTAATTTTCATACTTTCCCTCCTATTTAGGGACTGGTTTGGCTGAAAGACAAAGAAGCGACACACTGTAAACTCTGTGAAAAAGAATTTTCACTTTCAAAAAGAAAGGTAAGGGAGGTAGACACAGTCCAAAAATATCGTGCTAAAATGTTTTTGTTTTAATCATAGTCCTTCCTTTTTCATTTAATAGCACCACTGTAGAAACTGTGGGGAGATTTTTTGTAACGCCTGCTCTGACAACGAACTGCCTTTGCCTTCTTCACCAAAGCCAGTGCGGGTCTGTGATTCCTGTCATGCGCTGCTCATTCAGAGATGCTCATCTAACCCGCAGTGACACTCCAGGACCAAACCCACCTACAGGATCATGTATACAAGCTGTCCAGACAGCCTTTCTTACGCAGCTTTCAGCCAGGTAGTTAACTGGGGTAGTTGAGCTACTTATTCAGCTCATGGCCATTATAAATAGGATGATTTCCTGAATTCTGTTACTCAGAATTTTCAACAAAGCATGCTTTAAACAAGATTGGCTAAATTATTAATGTAATCATGTAACCCTTATCTCCTTGCAAGGTCAGATAGAATAGATAACACACCCTTGCCTTATCTTCTGAAAAGGCCTTTTCAAAAATAAGGCTTGTTTTGTCCTAGATTGTCACATTGATATGACGGTGCCTGCGATTCTCTAATGCACTTTAAAGCTTCACAGTTTTGAAACTGGAAAAGCATCAATCTTAACGTATTAATATTCAATCCAACACGTTTTCCAGTTATCTTGGTGTATAGCTCAGCTCCATTTGCACTGTTTCCTTCTTTGCCTCTTGTGCACTCGCGAAGGCCATTCAGCTTACCCTACAAATTCTTGTGCTTGTGGTATCTTTCCGGTACACTGAGCTAATCTTTTCTCAGTTGTCCCCTTGAAATCCAGAACAAGGTGTACAAACCATTATCTTTTTACCTGAAGTTACTTTCCACATACAGACTTCCCCACATACAACTGCCTTTTGCACTAAATTACCACTATTTTTTAAGTGGCAGATTTCACACTTCAAAGATGAAAACCCTCTTCCAGAAAACAGTGTCTGGAATAGCAGGGGCAACAGGCTCCTTGCTGATTCTTTCCTTTAGGTGTTAAAAGTGAGGGAAAGAACTTTCCTTTGATGTGATCAGAGCTTGACTCATTCAAAAATCTATTACACTTCCTTTAGAGAAACTTCATTAACATTCTATTGTAATGGTCTAACACTGCCACAGTATGTGTACAGTAAAATTAATTATGTCCGCCAAGCACCTCTGTGCCAGGGTTTTGAAAGAGGGTTCTGCTCTACCATAAAACGCATTCTATATAAGCTGATAGAATGAACACAAACCCAATGACACTACTTATAGCATTAATACGAAGTTGATCTATAAAAACTGTTACCTCTGGATAATCATTTTCAAAGCATCCATTCAGGCTCCTATTCTTGTATGTTCCATGCATGTATTTATTCCCTGGGAGCATTCCATTAATGGTTACTTAGTTACTGCCTTTTCCCCCAGAGTAGGATGGTCTTCTCCTGAGAACTACTTTCACTAAAATTTTGTTTTCTAAACTGCCAAAGTGTGAACTCAGTATTTTACTCTATTTTCTCTAGAACCTGTAAGTTTCTAGTCAGTTTTTGAGATAGTAACTTCAAATAAATTGAACACAGATTTTGATGGTCTTTCTTGAACAGTATTATCAGGATGGCCTCAAAAGACAGGTATTCTTAGGAACTTTTGTATCAGTGAATGAGTACTTTTATGATTACATAAAAGATCAGCATAAATAAACTATCTAATTTTAGTTTAAATTCTAAATAATTTCATTCTAAATGATGAAAAAACATTTTTAGTTGACTTTTTCATCGCAGAAAATTCTTGTCATTGATCTTGCATTTTTTTGAAGGCACTTTTTCTAAGTCACTTTAGTTTTAGATTACTTTAAAACCGTATATACTAATCTTGGACTATTCTGTAATGAAACTTGGATTATAAATTTTAAACACTAACTTCAAAACAGATTTTACATGCCATTTCCTCTCCTAGCCAGTATTACCACAATGCTATCATGGTGCCAAGGAATTGCAATTGTAATTCTAACCTGTATTTTAAAAACAAAATGTGAATTTTATAAAGTATTAAATAAAGATTTGAAAAAATTAACTCATTTTAGAATGGCAAGCTTCATTTTAATTTTTTTTTTAATTGGAAAGTTAGACATACAGAAAGGAATGACAGAGGAAGATCTTCCATCCGTTGATTCACTCCCAAAGCAGCCGCAACAGCCGGAGCTGAGCTGCACCAATCCAAAGCTCCCTTTGGGTCTCTCACATGGGTACAGGGTCCCACGGCTTTGGGCTGTCCTTGACTGCTTTCCCAGGCCACAAATGGAGCTGGATGGGAAGCGGGCCACAAGATTAGAACTGGTGCCCATATAGGATCCCTGTGCGTGCAAGGTGAGGACTTTAGTTGCTAGGCTACTGCACTGGGCCCAATTTCTTAAGATTTTAAGATAATACTAGAAAAGTAAAAGCTCATGTGAATTGAAAAAAAGGAAGGTATTTCATGTTAATGTTTGAATATCCTGGGGTGGGACGGGGTGGCACTAAGAAATCTAAACTTGTCATGAAAAGCTCCAAATAAGCTATCCTGTCTGCTTTCCTAACCCAGAAACTATCTGAGGAAGTCACTTTGTGTTAATGCAATCTTCTGTTACACAAAATACACAGTACTTTGTACTATCTGATGATCAGTAACTGACACAAAGCATTCCAGGACACCGTATTATCTCCCACATTGACATTTATTACATTAACATTTCTAGCAAAAACAAGTAACAAGTTCAATAACTGAATATTCACATTGACAATTTCATTTTGATCCATTAGCCAATTTGGGAAAAAAAGGTATATTGACCAAGGAGATTAAAATTAAAAAGCACCTTTTCCTTGCTACATAATAAACTAAGACGGGCAGGTATCAGATGCAAAGCCAACCGCAAGGTTCTTTTACTTATGACATGGACTTCCCTTACATTTGCTTAACGTAGTCATTTATACAATTATTTAAAGATTTGGGCAGCAGACTGAAAATACATCTGACAATTCTGTGGAATTCAACAATCTTAGCTTTCTAAAACAACTTGAATTAACAATCATCAGGTTTTAGAAGCATTTCTTGTAATTCAGTCAAGTGCTGAGGGGATTTTTATCTCAACAGGTAGGGCTAGTATCTAACTTCCAATCTTCCCATCCTCAGGTAACACAATTTTGAGTGTTCAGAAACCCAGGTACCTCTAAGGGACCATCAACATTTCAGAGCTATGTTTGATAAATGACATTTGAGAAAAAGAATATAGAATTTAGCTGATTTTATACTTTTGATGCCACTTAAATTCCTCTTTAGGCTTTATATATACAGTGTTGTCCAGGAGAAATTAAAGTTACACTAATTATTCTTTAAGCTCTATTCCAGATGTCTGCTTATTAAGACTTGCAGTTTATGCAGGGGTGAGCCATGATCCTTTAGTATTACACTAATACTACTTACTACTTGTATAGCTAATAGTAAAATACATCAACCCAAATCTTATGAAGGCAGCACATCCTTAGGAGTAACTAGTATATAAAAAGTATCAACATCAGTGGTTTGAATATAAAAATTTATTTCTTAAGTCAAAGTATGCAACAAATAAAACCTACAGAAAACAGATTTTCCCATCACAATCTGTTGCTTTACCAAATAATATTTTGAAAACACATTCCTTCAGTCATTATAAAGTTCTTAAAATACAAAAGAAATTTGTAAGAAAGTCTAGTAGACCAGATGCTGTTGTTAGGATTTTTCCTTGTGTATGTTGGTGATATTTTCAGTACATCCCACGCCATCCACCTCCGCTCATGCCACCTTGCCCATAGTAGCCGCCACTGCCTCCACCACCACGGCCTTAAAGAATACAAGCATTAAGAATCATTCAGCAGGAGGCACCTATGTACACTATTTTACAAATATCTGCAATCCAAGAGAACATATTAGATACTCACCATAACCTCCTAAGCCATCAGGAGTACCATAGCCTCCACTGTAATTGTTCCCCATTCCCATTCTTCCAACAGATCCGTATCCTCCCTGATTATCTTTACAAAAGAAAAACAAAAAAATTTAGAGAATGTCTGGTAATGTAGCTAAGATTTCTCATTTTAAAAACTTTACATACCCATTCCATCTCTGCCGTAGCCTCCCATGCCAGAACCTCCCATGCCAGAGCCGCCTCCAGGAGTGGAATTCAAGAAGAGTTCAATGTATCGATGCTCTTTAAGAGAAAAATCAAGGGTAATAGGATAAAAGAATAGATCAACTCTATTAATAAAAGCTCCAAAAAGTTCAGTTTTATCAACAATAATTCATAGTACAAGCTGCCAGGAAGCCACTTGGGATCAAGTTAAGAGGTCAAATGGTTTTAAAGTCCCAGTGACTTCTAAGAATTCCCTAGTTTCACGGACGTTTTGCATTTATTTAAGCAAACAAGAAACTGACAAGATCACATCCCACAAACCACATAGCATGCCCAGGAAAGCACTTACGCATATTATTCTTATCTTTAGACATGGCAGCTACTGCATCTTCATGGGTCACAAACTCCACATCTGCTTCTCCTGTTGCTCTGCCATCAGCTCCGATATCAATATGAACTCTTATTGGATTTAGTGGTGAAAAGAACTAAAAAGAAAACACTTAACTACTTTTTCCATTCAGATTCTGGGAAGTGAATTACCACATGTCTACATTTTCTCTGATTCATAAAAATAAACCCACCACTCTCTGTTGAAGGCTACTTCAATCAACCACAATTTCTAGGGATGTTAAGACTATACCCTACGAGGGATACTAAAGCTTAGTTCCTTGAAGGTATTTCAAAGTTGTTGTTTAGCCACTCAAGGCTGAAGAAAATGTATGTATCTGTGACTCAAAACAGATACTTGAACTCTACCTCAGTAACTCAAAGACAGGTTATTCAGCTTCTATCACAACTTAACCAGTCCTAATCTATCCTTAAAGAAAGTATGTGGAAATTCAGCCAACTTCTCAAAAGACCTGCAGTAACAGCAAAGTATGTTCAGCTTTGTAGGCTGCTGGGTCTCCAATGCAACCATTCAACATATGGGTACGACTGGACTTGGGCCAAGGGTTGACTACTGCTGACCATCCAAATAATGTGAAGCAACAAACCAAGTTACAAACCAAGGACAGCAGTAGCAACACTTTCCCATTTTTAACTCTTCTGTTTTTTAATTACTTCTGGCCTAGAATACTCACAAAACCACCATTATACATTAACTTTCAAAACAACAGAAGTAATATTCCAGTTATTACTACTCGCTATGGTCATCAGTTTTTTTCTCAGTGTCTTCATGCCTGCAATAGCAAGGGCAGGACTGGGCTATAGAGTTTGATGTGCAACCTGGGTGTTCCATATAGGTGGCAGGGACCTGAGTACTAACGCACCAGTAGAAGTTGGAGCCAGAGCTAGAAGGCAAACTCAGACAGTGATAATCTTTCTGATCAACTCCTCTCCTGCACTTCATTGGGTTTTATGAATGTAGCTTTTTGCCTGCTTGAATCTTGTGTGGGTCAGTACACAGTATACATCAAAACATCAACTACAGAAAAAAGTCAACTACTTACATATTCAAAGGATTTTTGACATTAGAGATTAAACTGTAAAGAAGATGGGGCCAATAAGAATACCTCAAAATTTAGACCCTGGAAGCCAATTTTGTGGTATAGTGTGTTAAGCAGCTACTGAGATGCCAGTTCTGATCCAGCGTCTCGCTGATGTGGCTGGGAAAGCAGCAGCAGACAGCTAAAAGTGCTTGGATTCCTGCCACCCATATGGAGACCCAGGGCAAGTTACAGGCTTTTGGCTTCAGCTTGAGCCCCAACTGTTGCAGCCACTTAGGGATTGAACAAACTAGGGGTAGATCTGTCTCTCCACCCTTCCCCCCAAACTGTCTTTCAAGTGAATGAATAAATCTTTTAAGAAAAAAAATTTAGACACAAGATGATTATAAAATCAGTAAAATTACTCACATTAGCAATGTCATTTTCAGTTGCACGGAAAGGCAATCCTCTCATATGTACAAAATGACCACCATGAAAACCTGAGCTTGCATCACCAGCTCCACCATAGCCATGTCCTCCCATACCTGAAAAATTAAAACTGCCATCAGATACTATATATACACATAGAAACGTATTCATATTTACAAGCTATAATTAAAATCCTAAATACAACTTTCATGTCATCTATATTACCATTCAACGCTAAAGCAAGGATTAAGATTCATCTCAGAACAAAAAATGTCTTTAATGTTTACCTCGTCCATCTCTCATTCTGTCATCAAAGCCATCATTTCCATAGCCATAATTATTATAGCCACCATAGTCATCAAAACCTCCATAGCCTGTATAATTTAAGGAAAAATATCTGTCAAGAAATCAACTTTATAACATTGAAAAACAAGTAAGCAGTTTAAATTCTTTTTTATTACAAGTTTGTAACCAAAACCCTTATTTAGTACATATGAAAAAGCACTTAACACTTGATGGAATATTTAACATCTTAAGAATAAATTTAGCCACATAAATTATTTCCATCCTTATGCAAATAAGTCAGTATCTTCATTTCAATTAATGTACACGTTTTCTAGGTGCCAATATGTGCATCAATCAAGTCCCACAATTGCAATGGGAATCTATTTTCATGAACAGGTTTTAAAACCCAGTAGGTGCTGAAATTACTGCCATTTCTGTATTTCTTGACAAAGTGTCAGGAATATTAAGAAAATGACAACAGAACCTGTGTTCATTAGATACACATACCACCATCATATCCATCACCTCCTCGTCGCATTCTGTCATACATACTTCCACGCCCAGCTCCATAATAACCCCCTCTTCCTCCTATTGGTCTATCATATGGTCCTGGTCGCTGTCCCAGCAATCTTCTTGGTGGATCATAAAATCCCTTGATTTCACTCCTGCTACTTCTGAAGATCTCAATATACCTATTTAAAAATGTTTTAAAGGTACAGGTTTCAGCATGGATGTATTAGAATAATTCAAATATGGGCAAAATACAGTCAGTTTTTCTACATCTAGATATACAACCCAATGCCTAAATACACCATAAGTTAACAATGTTTACACCTATGAACTTAAATAATTAAATATTTAAGTTTTAGATAGACAAATTAGTCATTGAAAACAATTCATAAAATGTAAATATTTGTTTCTTTTAGTATAATAGGTGTTTAAAGAAAACATGATTATACAAAAGTATCAAACAACATCCTACTGAATGGAAACAATTTTAATTTAAACAAACTATTAGCATTAATTCCCCACCCAAATCTGTAGTTTCCAAGTTAAATTTAGATAATTATCAATTGCTTTAAACTACCCCATAAAAATGTTATTGTTACATTACCCCCCCATTTAAGCAATAGTGACCCACAACCCCCAAAATAAAAATTTAACACCATCCCAAACTCTCCATCCCCACCTGTGCCCTATTCTTTCCTTGTGTTTCCCCAGAGCATTTTCTGCTATCTCCTTTGAAGCAAACTGCACGAAGGCCTCCCCTGTGCTTCTCCCCTGGTAGTCCATCGTCAATGTTATCCCATTTGGCACGATTTCCAACCCTTTAACCCAAGGACAAATAACCCCATCAAGGGGAACAGTGTTAAAGGCTGAAACATTCCCATCTGAATCAAATATTTAAAACAAGTCTAAACAAAACAAAACAAAAACAAAAAAAAGCTTAGTTTCCCATCACCCCATAATATAAACTTTTTCCAAATAGTATAAAGTATTTTTGCAACCAGTGTTTTAAAAAAAATTACACATTATTTAAAAGCCCACCTAAATTACAAATAAAATTATGCTCCACATGCTAATTCATGGTTTTTTTAATCACATAATTATTCTCAATGAAATTTACTGTACAATCAGATTTTTACATACTTTACACACTTTATATTGAATTTTAACTGGAGCACATTTCATATTTTAAGACATTTTCATTATCAAAGATTATCACAGTCAAACTTCAAAGTTATAAAATCAAATGAATTTAACAAACAAAAACTGAGAAATATATAATGCAAATACAAAATCAAAATACTACTAAACTTTGACTAATACTAGCGGTACCTTGAAAGAACTGAACTATTTCCTCTTTGCTGCAACCAAATGGTAGTCCGCGAAGTCGTACTGTCCCATCACTAGCGTCATTTGGACCATTATGTTTCATAACCCAATCCATCTCAATACGTTTGATTTAAATGCTATAAAAATAAACAAGCACATAAAGCAGTCAATCAAAACTTAATCTTGCCAGAAGTACTGAAGAGACTCCGCTCAGAGGCTCAGACAAGAAATGTAGCAGGATTAAGTGACTCTAACAACAATGCCACAACACAGTGGTACAGCATCTTCTATTTGCCAGCTGGGAAAGGACGGGGAGATCTGACCCCTCCTACCAAAAGGCACAAATTCCTGAAAACCTTCTTATGCGCTGCCTGTTTTTCAAAGAACTCACATAACTCCATCACCATAACATTCACATTATTTATTGTTGTAACACCAACTTCTGTTATACTCATCTTAGTCACACCTTTCAGATTTCATTGTTCACCTGAATATTTGTATGAATTCTTTAGAATGCAAACTGTTCAGAAGCTGCATAGGATACTACTGTCTACTCATGGACAATTCTACCTTCTCTACCTAAAACACCAAAAGCCAGTTTTTAAGTGAGTTTATTATTTTGGCTTTTAAAATTCAGACTAAGTGGCCATGCAGGATGAATGTGTTTTTGAAACCACCTATCATCTATAGAGGCCACTGGAGATGGCAAATAATCAGTTGACTCACTGCTTTAACTTCTTAATCAAATAGACTTACAAATTTCAAGAAAAAGGTAACATTCACATTCAAGAAGTATCTAATGGTACAGTCCCTCTACCCACCCCCCAAAATGAAACTGCCCACCCACTTTCCTTCCACCAGGCAACCAACCATTGTTCTTTTTGAAATCCCAAGAGACTAATGCAGAAGTCCTTCAGCTGCAGGAACTTACCAGAACCTTACAAATGGCACTATGCAGCTGTAGGAATCCTACTCACCTGAATATTTCAAACCTTTCCCTTACCACCTCCTCCCCTGTAAACAAAACAGTTTGTTCACTTGATTCCTTTAGGGTTCAGGATCATATTTCATAGCAACAGCATTCATGAATGCTTAAATGTCACAGGATCTAATTTTCAGTCCAACTATCAAGTTATCATCTGCAAAGTATATAATTTCCTTTTTCTAGAGTTCATGTGTTTAATGTAAGCCATTCAGAAATTCTCCAAAATGCTTAAATACCCCTAACACGAGAAATACCCCTAACGTGAGGCCCTTCCAACACCTTTATCAATGCAAAAATTCTAGGTGCTAGAGATGAAGAGAGCCAAAATGGGAACACAAATTTGTAACTGGCATTATAGTTCATTCTTCTTAGACACACAAATAACTGGTATGAACTTTCCGAAGACAAGCCTGGGTTGAATCCTCCCTGTGTTGCCTCCCGTTGACCTAATCGCTGAGCCTACTCAAATGGGTCACAGCAGGAAGTACCTGTACCTCGCCGGACCAGGAGAATTACTTTTACTACTTCATCTGCCTCACAGTAAGCATTTGTTAGTTATTGAATTTGATAAAACCATGTTACACCACAAACATTATGAAATGAACCTTGAAGAACACACGATTCTGAGTCTTAAAAGGGAACAAGGACTGTTAAAATATAAACTTTTCCTGTAAAGAGAGGTCCTTATCAGTTTTGAAAAATGCTCTCAAGCTTGAAGCTCTCCACTATGTTGTTAAGTTCTCCCCTCCGCTCCCTAAAAACAGCATCAACCTAACAAGTCATTTCCTGTACAGAGGATTTGGGAACAGAAGGGAAAAAGTAAAAAGGATCTAACATCAAATATTTGTTCCCTAGGGGAAAAAAATCAAGAATTCTGTAAAGTCAAATTCATCAGTTCATGGTAGGCAGATCATAGTATTGTGCTTTTCCATCTTTTTTTGCTATTTTCAATTTAAGATTATAATTCAACATTAAGATTTGTACTCCAGCACCAAAAAAAGAAAGCTGTAATGGTAGCTCTTCACAAGAAAATTTTAGCAAGCAAACTAATTCAAACATATTTAATGGGTTACTTTAATATCTTTATAAAACTGTTAAACTATCTTTCTTGGCTTGAAGAATTCCAAGTGTTATCACCAATTAAAAATACCATCATTTTTGTCAACTTCCTATGCTTTTAAATACCAGGATACTTCAAAAAGTTCATGGAAAATGTATTTATTTTGATGTAAAAAAAAAAACCCTGAAATCCATACATGGAACCCTGTCCCCTAGCATTGATTCCGTTTCTATCAATGTCCACAATACAAAAAGTTACAGATTGCTTTAATTTTCCAATTCTTGAGGAGAGAGGGTGTTACCCTGCTACTGGGTATAGGAATCGCAAGTTCAAACAGATTTTACTTTTTAGTGTGATTGCCTTTAAATGTTAAATTAAAAACCCAGATCCCTCCAATACTTTGAAGGAGCCCGGCCTCTAAAATCATTATTATAAGTTTACCAGAACCAAGACTACCTACTGCATTTCAGTCCTGCTTACTCAACAAAACACCACATCAAAGGTAACACTGTTACTTTAAAAGGCAATTAGGTTTCCAGGCTAAGATACACAGACACAGTAAAAACAGATAGGTGTAGCGATGTGTGTATGCGTAGTCTAATCCAATCGGGAAAGCTGTAAAGTCCGAGCTGGTCTGCCCAAGTCCACTAATCCCGGCATTTCAAGGTAAGATTTTGTTAAACTTAACCTTGACAAAACGCCACAAAAGATCTTCAACAACAGGCTGTTCAGATGTATGAGTTACTGAAACCGCTTATTCTCTCCTTCCCGGGCCTGACCCTTTCCTCTGGCACTGTCTTACAGGAAAATTACCAAGACAGCTCTCTGCTGTTCTAGGGAGCCCCTCACCCCACCCCGTATAACCACGTGACTGAGCCTGTATTTGCCTTTGTGTTCAGCACACGCTTACTTCCTTATTGGTATTACTGTACTCCTATATTGTTTTACTTCTATCACCTATTTAACAGTTAAGGGAAAGCATTACACAAAATAACCTTCAAGATTTGTTGATCGTTAGCGACTAAATCCTTGTATAAATAACGGCTTTTTTTTTTTTTTGCCATCCGCTGGTTGTGCAAATCTCCCACGTAAAAAAAATTCTAACCTCTATGTGCCAAAGTCCATAAGATAATTGCTAAGCCACCCACCCCCGCCCCAAAAAAGCGACCACGGTTCACTGGGCCCAAACGACCTACTTCAAAACAAAAATGGGCCTATTTCACATTCCTTCTCGGTTGTCACCCACTTCTCCGCTTGCAAAATCACCCACAAAATCGTTACCAACGTTCAAGCGTGGAAAAAAAAAAACACAACCTCTGGGGAAAAGGAGTACGTACTCTTTTTCGAAGTTCCAAATCTGGACTATAAGGGCCGGCTGGCTAAGCGTCCTTTATTCCTCCCCCGGAGACTGGTTCGTTTATCTAGCTGCCCTAAGAGACCAGAGAGCTCGGGAGAGCGCGCCCCTGCCCCCGCCCGGGCCCCCAGTCCGCCGGGGCTCAGACACCGTCGCCACCGGGCGGCGGGATGACAAAGGAGCCGCCTTTGTCCTGGATTTGGGGGTCGAGCGCCTTCGTCGCCATTGGCCTCCCGGCCCCCTCCCGGCTCCAGCCTCTCTCAGCTCGGCCATCTGCGTCACAAGCCTCGGGCAGGCCGGCCGGCCCAGGTAGCCCTGCCGAGACTGCGGAGGAAGCACGGGCCGCGGTGGGAGGCCGGGCCCTTGGGCGCCATTTCCTTCGGGAGCCGCCCCTCCCCCGCCCCAGCCTCCACCACCCACCTGGCCCTGCTCGCTTCTCTCCCACCCTCACCCCTTGCAGGGAGCTGGACCCCCCTCCGACCTCCCTCCCCCAACACACACACACACCCCCGGGCCAGGCCTGCTCAATCAGTTTTGTCGAAGCTGGGGCATCAGAAGTAGGAAGATGACGGTGAAGGGCGGGAAGCCAAGGCGGCCGCGCCACCGTACCCAAAATGGCGGAGAGGCCAAACCAGCAAGGAAGAGAGAGGGAGAAGGGCTGGACGGACGCCGTCCACTTCGCGCCTCGGCGTGGTCCACTCCCAACGCCACCTGAGCCAGGTCCTCGCCCCGCCAGGCCGCCCTCCTTCCAGTGTGGAGATCGCCCGGGAAGGCGCAGCCCCGCCCGCCTCCGAGCGGCGACCTCCACACTCCCCCTCCCCCGCCCGGCCTCCGCTCCCACCCCCTCCGGCCTCTCCTCCCTCCGACTCGGCTCTCGAAACAAAACCACCGGCCCAACCTACCCCCTCTTTACTTCAGATACCCTGTCGGGCGATAGGGGACGCCGAGCCCGCGCTGCCGGGGGGCGGGGGGTGTGGGTCCGATCGTGCGGAGGAGGTGGCTGGGGCTGAGCCGCGCGCCTCGAGCGGAGCTCCCGACAACCGTCCGTCCAACCGTCTCGGGCCGCGGCAACCGCTCGGGGAGCTGCGCAGCGCCGCGACTGGCGGGGGGGATGGGAGCGGGCGAGCGAGGAGGAAGGGGTGGGGCGAGCGCGCCGCCGCCGGGGAGCCGGAGCCGGGCTGGGGGGGCCGGGGTGCAGCTCCGCGCACGGCGCCTGCGCGAGGCCGGGCGAGGCCGGGCGCGGCCTGCGTTAGGGACCCGGGCGACTCCGCCCTTCTTCTGTCAGAAGCTCCGCGCCCTCCGGGAGCGGGTGGAGGGAGGTTAGGAGCCCGGCTAGGGAACTGTGAAGGTAACGGCTTTTTTTTTTTTTTTTTTTCCGCGGATGGGAAAAGTGATCCCAGGTTAGGCCCCTCCGCGAGCGGATTCCTGCAAGGCCCCGCCCTCACCCAGCGTCCCGAGCGTGGAGAAATGGCGCCACGTGTTTGGGTTCGTCAGAGGCGGACAGGGCCCTGCTCCGCCATCGTGTTTTGCATTATGAAGTAAGAAAAGAAAAACAAAAAAAAAAAGAAAAAAAAAAGAAAAGACTCTGGGCTGCCAAGATAGAAGAGTGTCCTCCGGGCCCCGATTTGGGCTCCAGGACGGATCCGTCCTCTTGCCCTCGCCCCGAGCCGCCCTCCGCCTCGCCGGGGGCAGCCTCGGATCCCACATCCATTTCCTGCCCTCGGCGCCTGCCTGCGCCGCCAGCCGTTTCATGGCATCTCCTCCCTGTTGGCATTGTCTTTCAGTCGGCCACGGAAACGTGCTTGAAATTGCGTTTGTAAGCGTTCCCTAAGAAGCACTTTTTGCGTGGTCGGGCCACCCTGGTTCCTTAAGATACGTCTTGGTTTGTCCTGCCCCCTTTCTCTCTCTCAACTTAAAAAAAATGCAAACCAGATTTCTGTGGGAAGGATGGAAGGCCATTTTAGGAAAGAGATCCGCGCGAGTTGAAGAAGCGATAGGAACCACCTTGGGGCGTAAGCGAGAGAAAGGTGGTGTTGATTGCAGTCGGGTGTTAGTGTAGCATGAGTTAAGGTTGCGTATGTGAACGATAACCCAGCTTCAGGTGCCAGCCCAGATTTGGAGCTTGGTGCTTGCAGATAACTTCTAAGTCCTTTGGGAGTCGGGTGAGGATGGGTGCTAGCAGTGTAGGAAAATACATATTTTTTTTTCTTCCCATGAGAAAGGTCTGGGGTTCGTGGTTTTAAATCAGCCTCACACCTGCTTAATACAAGAAATTCGGTAATGTCTGATGATGCTATCATTGAATTGCTCATATTGGTCCAGAGCTTGCTTGAGCAAAACAATGTACGTAATTCACCAGCCCTTTAAAGATTTATAATTTTGCTTTCATTTTTATTTGAAAGGCAGAGAGAGCTCTTCCATTCTCCAGTTCATGCCCCCCGAAATGCCAGCAAAAGCCAGCCACCCACTGCAGTAGCTCTCTACGGCCCAGCAAGCCATTATTATCTGCGTTTTACAGTAGCAGTGCCTGAGTCCAAGAGAAGTGAAAACCATTGCCAAAGGTCACATAGCCGAGAGGCGCAGGGAGGATTAGAATCCGAATGGTTTTTACTCCATGGGTCCAAATCTTCAATGAACATTCCTGGGGCTGCAAGTCGTTTATTGCTGAATTAAGTGAGCAGACATCATTTTAGAAAAATCCTAATTACTTCCTGTGACAAACTAGGTTTGCCATCTCGGGGCACTTGATGCTTACTGGGTTATTGGCTGGAGACTTGGTTGTCCTGTCACCTCCTCTCTTTATAAAAGTAATTGCGGTGTTGCTAAGGAAGCACCCAAGCTGCCTTGGTCCTCCCTCGCTGGGTTTGAGTCAGGTCACTGCTGAATCCTTTCCATTTTTCAGCCTGATTTGGCAGATGGAATTCTGTAATAGCTCTCTCTGTTTCTCACCAGAATTACATTTATTTCCTAGCTCGATTGGATCTGGCATTCTTTCCATATAGTAGGGTGCTTCCAAAGAACATGGAAAATGGAATTAAAAGATAATTTGTATTATGGTACACATTTTTTAAAAAAATCCATGTATATGGGTAGTTACTTTTTGTGTTGTGAAACAGAATCATAAAATTCATTGTAATATGAATGATTTTTCACAACCAATCTTGTATGTTTTATTTTTTAAGTTGTGATTTTGTTGTTTTGGGCATGCCTTGCCAACATGAATGCTGAGGAAGAACTTGAAATTAGTGCCTGCATTTCTTTTGCCTTTTTATTGTTACAGCAAGTAGGTAGTTTCAAAATTTAAAAAAGTACAGTATACAGGGGTAAATGTAATTGCGATTGGCATTCTATGTTTATTACTTGACTCTTAAAAAAAACCAAAGGTCTATCATCTACTATGTTTGGATTTGCAAGTTAAACATTGTTTCCAAGGCTTGGTAAGACTGGTTCAGGCTGCAGTGATCCCCAGAGAACTCTTTCCAAATTCAACTCTGTGGAACTGTTTCCATAGAGATGGCTAGACCTAAGGGTCCCAGCTGCTTTTGGTTTTTTGTTTTTTTTTTTTTCTTTCTTCTTAGTCTTCCTTTCAGTCATTTGGTACTGTCCTATTAGCATAGAGATCAGGGGGGCCCTGGAGAGGATCTTGTTAGAAGTGTGAGGGGAGAAGAAAATTGGAGTATCACATCCGTCAGAAGGAAACAAGACCGTGGACATGTGAGCATGTATTACACTCTCAGGATGAAGAGGAAAGGAAAATTCCATGCGGAGCCTCAAAGAGGGAGGAAGGACAGATAGAAACAGATTACATTCTTCTAGGGGGGAAACAGTTATTAAAAATTAACTAAATTAGTTGCCTACATACCCTCCAAAAGTACTGCAAAGTGCTTAAATATCTTCATATTGAAGATATGAAAAGCAAATAAACTAAAAATGTAACAAATGAATAATGGAATGTAACAAAAGTTTCTCAGTGTCTAAGGCAGGTAAGGCTTTTGAACGTTAGTCCGCCTTACTAAGCTCTGTGAAATCCTTGTTCTTGGATTGCTGTCATAATGTAGCTCCTCTCCCGTTACTGATCCTTGTCATGATTCAACACTTTTTCAGGCTAAGCCTTCATCACACACTTTATATTCCTGGTATTTTTTCGTTTCCCAAAGTCATCTAGGTGTTCATTGTAAGCATATGGAAGCAAAGTGTGTCATCCAATTTTAATTATTACACTAACAAATGGAAACTCAAAACATCTAGTATTCTTCACCTGATTTTTAAAAATACTGAACATTCTTTTTGTTTCAAAGGATTACTCTGAAGGTGAGGGAAAATAGTTACAAACTAACTACTTAAGTTATGACAACTGCAGAATGTAACTACTTGAGTAATTTAAATAAGATAACTGTTTTGGAATATCATAAACATTCATTTCAAAAATACAAGACAAATAATAGAATAATAAACCATTTACCTAGACGTTTAAAAAATATATTAAATTTTATTTGAAAGACATATTTAGAAAGAGGAGTAACAGAGATCTTGCATCTGCTGGGTCCCTCCCCAAATAGCCACAATGGCTGGGGTTGAGCCCATTCAAAGCCAGGAGCCAAGAGCTTCTTGTGAGTCTCCCACATAAGTGTCAGCAGCCCAAGCACTGGGGCTGTCTTCTGATTTCACAGACACATTAGCAGGAGGATGGATTGGAAGTGCAGCATTTGGACTTGAATTGTTGCACCATGATGCCATGGCCAGTACAGAAGTGTTTCATTTGATGCCTGCATTATGGTGTAGTGAGTTAAACTGGTGTCTGCAATACCTGCCAGCAGCCCATATGGACATCAAAACAAAGAGGAGGAGAGACAGAGAGGAATTCTTCCTTTCCATGATTCATTCCCCAAGCGGGCGCACAATGGCTGGACCTGAGCCAATCTGAAGCCAGGAGCCAGGAACTTCTTCTAGGTCTCCCACACGGGTGCAGGGTATTAAGGTTTTAAGCTGTCCTTGACTGCTTTCCCAGGCCACAAGCAGGGAGCTGGATGGGAAGCAGGACTGTCGGGATTAGAACCGGCGCCCATATGGAATCCCAAGCTTGCAAGGCGAGGACTTTAACCACTATGCTATCCCGTCGGGCACCTAAGATTTAACCTTAATTGCTATCAAAACTCATGTCCCAGGCCACTTTTAAAAAATGTTTGTTTTAGATTTCAGAATAGTTATAGATTTACAGAAAAGTTGGAAAATAGTACAGAGTTGCTATATACCACTCAGGCACTTGCTCAGTTGGTAATGGTTTATCTCAGTGATACCATCTATGATGCATGTGTGACAGCTAATGAACCTCCATTGCTACTAAACTCTGAACTTCATTTTGGGTTTAGAATTGCCCATTGAAGTCCTTGTTCTGATTCAGGACCCCATCC